GTTACAGCAAAATTCAAACCTTTATTTAGTACCCGAATGGTAGGTTCGTCTAACGTTTGTTTTGACAGATTGACAACCCGAGGTACGCACGAGTGTGTATCTGTGGTAGACGGGCACGTTCCGTTATACTCTATGGTTTTCTTTTTCTTTTTGATGTTTAATTTTTCAACGAGTTTTTGATATTTTAAAATATGTTTAATTTTGCACTGATTATATTTGGTTGTTTCACGCTTATTTAAAGTGTCAATGCAATCGTTGAAATCAGATGGTGTCAATACTGTCTTAACAATATTAGACGTCTGTTCAATGTCCCGGTCGTTTCTGCGTAGATCGCGACGATTTTGTCGAATCACTGTCCGTAACAACTTAAAACTTGCCTGGTTTACGATCTTAGCGCTTCCTCGTATGTTCTTTTTGGAAGATATTTTCACACACGTAGGAATGAGACGATGATCACGACATCTCTTCAAGAAAGTTAACGATGTTAATAATCTTGCGCGCTTTGTCTTTAGATCTTCTAACCGGCGTATCTTGTTTGCGGTTTCCAGTCCGTACTGGTTCACATAATACTTTCTTAGATTTACGCGAATGTTTGACATTTTTAAATAAAACTATCTATTCGGATTATTTCGCGGATTTATTTTGATTTTTGGTTCCCGACGTTTCGAATGCTTTACAGCATCCATGGTCACGGGAGAGACTGAGGTGTTACATGTCTTAAAGATATAGTTGTTACAGACAGCCTACCCACAATTAACAAAATGAAAATTGCACCAATTACATTACAATATTTTTAACTTTAAACATTTTTTATAATTTTAATTATAATTGAATATGGAAAATTATTTATTAAATTTTTGCTATTATTTTTATAATTATTACAATTTTAAAAATATTAATTAGTAATCTATATTTAGTGTTGCCATTATTATATTTATAACCATAAATAAAAAATATAAAAATATAGTATTAATTATTAAATTATTATTTGAATTGTTCTATGTGTAATTTAAAAAGTTAAAATTAATTACGGATAATCATTTTAATTTAGTTTGCTATTATTTAAAAACAACTTACTAAGCAACACTATTAATATATACTTTTACAAATGAAAAATATTAATCTGATAAGCTGTCATTTTGATCTACACAGTATGAACTTACTACATCTGCCTGTCTGTTATGTTTATATTTATTATTTGATTTTATTATATTAATAACAGGATCCCATGACGATGGTAGTACCCAGCCATCTTCCCTATTGAAATTTGGATGTTTTTTAATTTCTATGGCTTCTCGAATCATTCTAGGGCGATATCGGTTTTCTTTCGCCAGGATTTGAGGTCTATCGAAACGAATATAATGGCTTGGGCGGTCCTGGCTATGTTTGCAGACAGCAGATGTTGTATTGCGACGGTGCTTCACATCAGCTATGTGTTCTTTGACCCGGGTTCTAATGGATCGTTTTGTTTGTCCAATGTAAGAGAGCCCACAATCACAATCAAGCTTGTAGACTCCTGCATCTTGTAGAGGGATGTGGCACTTGACAGGTGGTAAGAACTGACTAATTTTCTTTGGCGGCTTGAAGTAAGTTTTAATTGAAGCTCGCTTTAGAATGTAGCCAATCTTGTCAGTGACTCCTTTCATGTATGGCAAGACTGCAGGGACGCGCTCGACTGTGGCTGGTTTCACTCGGTCACTGTGACGCAGGCGCGGCACTTGCAGCTTGTTGTCACGCAGAACTTGCTTGACATGTTGCAGTTCTCCGGCCAGGTGTTGCTCGTCACAGATCCCGCGCGCTCTCTGAAACAGAGATTTTCCCACGGTAGCTAACTGTGAAGGATGGTGGTGAGATTCACCGTTCAGGTACCTATCAGTATGGGTCTTCTTTCTATACACAGTATGACTCAAGGTGTTATCTGGGTTACGTTTAACTAATACATCTAGGAAAGCTAAGGTTTTGTCCGATTCTAATTCCATTGTAAATTGAATTTTAGGATTTATAGAATTAAGGTGTTCTAAGAATACAGTTATTTTATCAGAAGGTAATATTGTAAAAGTGTCATCTACATACCGCTTGTAGAAACGAGGGGTCACGGGTGATGTGTTCAGAGCAGTCTCCTCGAAGTCCTCCATGAAGATGTCGGCTACGACGGGGGAGACTGGCGAACCCATGGCCACTCCATCCACTTGCCTGTAGAATTCACCATTCCACAGTAGATAGCCGGATGTTAGGCAGTGTTTTAAGAGTTCAATGTATTCTATTGACATGTTGTGATCTAGTAGCTTCCTAGATATTATTTCAATACAGTCTTCCACTGGTAGGCTGGTAAATAAAGACTGTACATCGAAACTAACCATTGTTTCATTGTCCATGAGTTTTAGGTGTTTAACTTCATTGACAAAATCTACTATCTATCTAGTTACTTAATACTTATCTAGTTACTCGGACGAAGCATTAATGGCCCACATTACCGCAGTAACTGCACCTTAAACATCTTATTAACATACCTACTTATCTAGTTAACATTGGTCAAATTGACCAGCCACAGTCGAGCGCGTCCCTGCAGTCTTGCCATACATGAAAGGAGTCACTGACAAGATTGGCTACATTCTAAAGCGAGCTTCAATTAAAACTTACTTCAAGCCGCCAAAGAAAATTAGTCAGTTCTTACCACCTGTCAAGTGCCACATCCCTCTACAAGATGCAGGAGTCTACAAGCTTGATTGTGATTGTGGGCTCTCTTACATTGGACAAACAAAACGATCCATTAGAACCCGGGTCAAAGAACACATAGCTGATGTGAAGCACCGTCGCAATACAACATCTGCTGTCTGCAAACATAGCCAGGACCGCCCAAGCCATTATATTCGTTTCGATAGACCTCAAATCCTGGCGAAAGAAAACCGATATCGCCCTAGAATGATTCGAGAAGCCATAGAAATTAAAAAACATCCAAATTTCAATAGGGAAGATGGCTGGGTACTACCATCGTCATGGGATCCTGTTATTAATATAATAAAATCAAATAATAAATATAAACATAACAGACAGGCAGATGTAGTAAGTTCATACTGTGTAGATCAAAATGACAGCTTATCAGATTAATATTTTTCATTTGTAAAAGTATATATTAATAGTGTTGCTTAGTAAGTTGTTTTTAAATAATAGCAAACTAAATTAAAATGATTATCCGTAATTAATTTTAACTTTTTAAATTACACATAGAACAATTCAAATAATAATTTAATAATTAATACTATATTTTTATATTTTTTATTTATGGTTATAAATATAATAATGGCAACACTAAATATAGATTACTAATTAATATTTTTAAAATTGTAATAATTATAAAAATAATAGCAAAAATTTAATAAATAATTTTCCATATTCAATTATAATTAAAATTATAAAAAATGTTTAAAGTTAAAAATATTGTAATGTAATTGGTGCAATTTTCATTTTGTTAATTGTGGGTAGGCTGTCTGTAACAACTATATCTTTAAGACATGTAACACCTCAGTCTCTCCCGTGACCATGGATGCTGTAAAGCATTCGAAACGTCGGGAACCAAAAATCAAAATAAATCCGCGAAATAATCCGAATAGATAGTTTTATTTAAAAATGTCAAACATTCGCGTAAATCTAAGAAAGTATTAAGAAAAACTTAATGACTAAACCTGGCCCGACCAGTGACTCGAACCCAGAGTCTATATAGTGCATGCTAACTACTAAACTACTGAGCAATTTGCAAACAAAAAAAAGGTATATACCTTTTAGGCCCAAAATATACACCATAGGTATTGAAATATACTTAGAAAACCGTAAATCTGGAAACACTCGCCTAAAACTACTGAAAGTAGCACCAATATAATTAGATTTTTGTATAAGTAAACTGGACTCATGGTCCATCTGGCACGCATAAAAGCCAAATAAACAAAAACTGCTGTCTAATTACACGCGTGCACTAATTCTGACGTGAAAGGTTATGGTTATACGGTATTTTTCGATAGAAGCCCGAGCTTCGCGTTTTTTTTATTTTTTTTTACGGAAAAGAAACCTGTAAAGAAAAAATAAACCTAAAAAGCTAAATACAAAATTTGAACCAAATCATCAGAGCTATTTCCGAGATACGGAAAATATATTTAATATAATTATATTATTCATTTTTTTGTTATAATACGTTCCTAATTAAATTTATAATATATGTGTCGTTTTCTTTTTTTTACAGAATATATTCATATTTTTTTAATTCTATAATTTCATATTAGAATATGTAATAACTTATTTACTGTAACATGTAAGAAAAATATAGGTACTTAAATGTTTCAGAAGATACTGATAAAAAATAGATTGTAATTTCAACAAGAATAAAATATATTATAATAATAATATAAAATTAAAACACCTGAATATTTTTTTTTATAAGTGATAACAGACAAGACCTCGAAAAGCGATGCCAATTGCCGGTTATTGACCTTTATGTTATTAGACCATTTAGCCGATAACTGTCATTCTGACGTTAAAGATCATGTTTGCACAAATATTGAAAAGGAAGATTTACTTTAACCGTTAAAATAATATATGATAATGTTTCACATAAATTATTGGATCAAAATTTAAATATAAACAGATATAGGCTATCTACTTCCTAGGAAATTAACTAGCTCAGAACGAAGAGCTTAAAATAAGTCAGTACTTGCTGGTTCAAAAATACCAATTATTATCAATGTACATCTTGAGGATATTAAAAATATAAATTTTCATATTTATACACGCAAAATAATTCCTAATCACCGTAGTAAACAATTCAAAGCTAACAAAAGCTTCATCTCAGCATCATAGAGAATACTAAAAAAATAAATAAATTCAGCATTCTTTTTCTTATAAACCAACAAATAACATAAACATCATAAATCCATTCAAAACATATTAAGTGTTTTGTAAATAGTATTACATAAATAGGAAAAAATCGATCATAAATTGGATATTCTGACCTGTAGGTCTTCATTATATCTGGATCTAGTCGATCCTGGTGCCGGCCGCTCCAGCAGCAGTAGCTCAGTAAGCACTATTACTCCGAAGACCGCGAAGAACATGATGAAGATGAAGAAACTGATGTTCGCGCGTTCTTTGGCGCGGGAAGGAGCCGCGCGTGCCCTCCACCGCATCTTTCTAGCACTGTACTTGCATTCATCAGCGCGAACCGACAATGGCCGACAGCAAGCGACTACTAAGTACTAAACGATAAACGGACGCAGATAGTGCATGCCTACGCTTAATCGGTCACTAGGGCCGCTGCCTTCCGCACAACACGACGTCCCCGCACACTGACGCACTGCTAAATGACAGCTCACCGGTTTCAATCCAATAGGGTTGCAAGCTCCTGTGTTGTTTTATGGGAACTCCTTTTGTTTTGAAGCAAAATAATATTTTTTTTAATAAATCTTTTTGTTTGCTGTAAAAACATATTAAGGATAGGTAAAGCACCAAGAAAAAGTATATAATACTGTTTGCATGATAGATTTTCTGTTACTATAACATCGTTTTTATAACCACTCTTTTCATTGTTTCTTTGTTTGCAAAAGTTTTTCTAAATATTATTGAACTAACATAGTATAGCTATAAAATAATCATTTATGCATTATTGTATGTCATGCATATAATTGTTTTATATAATTTTTAGAAATAATGTTAAAGTATAAACAATATTATTTATTGTCATTATACTTTTTCCCTAAAACAGTAACTTTATATAAACTTGCAACTCAAAAAGAAAAACTGAAAAAGCGCATGCGCGCCACCCGCCCCTCGTTCAATGACTTTCATTGACGGCCACTTGAAAAGCTGGGCGAGCTTCTCTAAATTAAATCCTTCACAACAGATTAAAACGTTATATAAATAAATTATATAAACGACAAAACGAAAAGCTCATTAATTTCTATGAAAGCTTAATTAAGTAGCTTTCATTAATTGGAGTGCTAAATAACATAATGTAGGTCAGTAAAACTCCATATATCATAGTGAACCTGCCTAAAATAGGTTATGCTAATTAAAGTACTGCGAGGTGGTCGCTAGCGAATTTCTAATAAGCCATGCAAATATTCTATTTTCGTAATTAATAAATGTGGCACTGGCTTACATTTATTCTGTCTAGTTAAGTTGCGCACAAACAAAAATATAAAAGATTTACATAAAATATGTTTTAATTTTTTATTTTGAATTTACTATAACTTAATGTGCACCTACCTACATGTAAATTTTATCATATCTTTTTATTGAGTATATATTGTAATACTTAGCTTATATAATTAATTTATTTAGCATATTGTATTTAAAGTAACTTTTGATATAGTTCACTGTTCATCATTGTTGACTTCATTGCCTCGTAACACGGATAACGGCTAGAAAATATAAACTCGTTACGATTCTTCTCCTGGTCTTGAATTTTTTTCATTCATTAACAATAAGTAAATTTATTATTATTAATAAAACCTATATGCACATTTTGCACAATAAAAACTTTTTAACATAAAAATAAAAACCGACTTCAAACAAAAGCACTAAAAAGTAAAAAATAACTGATTGGTAGTTTTCATTTACTATACATACCTAATCAAATATTTTCGAAGTCGGTGTGCTTTGCTTTGTATGGGCTGGCACCGATTTCGAAAATATTTGATTAGGTATGTATTTTAAAGGTAGGCTTTAATTACTTAGCCCAACCTTTCAAACAAAACAAAAATTGTCCAAATCGGTTAATAAATGACGAAGTTCTGAGGTAACAAACATAAAAAAAAATACAGTCGAATTGAGAACCTCCTCCTTTTTGAAGTCGGTTGAAAAAAACAACAAGGAAGGTACAATAAATGAAAGACGTAATACGTGGTTAAATGGGTTTTACAAGATAGCCTTATCAGTAAAGTACGTATTTATATTTATATATTTTTATATACAGAGTACTAAATATTCCATATATATACCTATTTTATGTTGCTGATATAAATATACTTTGGCTGATTGAAATGAAATTCTGCTGATTTTAATTTGACTTCTGTTATTCAATCAAAATAGCTTTTGATGGTGTAATGATTGTCTGAATAACATTAGATCTAATTATATCGCTACACTATTGCTTTTAACCGACTTCAAAAAAAGGAGGAGGTTATCATTCGGCTGTATTTTTATGCAAATAATATACCTACATATATATACATATAATAAAATTGTAACTAAGCCCAATCTGTACGTTAATTATTTTTTTGGAAAATCTTATTGAAATAAACATTATTATCGATACAGAGGCCGAATCTATAGGTTTTAGAATTTTTGTCCGTCTGTCTGTCTGTTACCGTATCACAGATAAACTACTGGAGAGATTTTGATGAAATTTGATATGATGATAGCTGGTTGTCCAGGTCAACATATTGGATACTTTTTACCGTAGGAAAATATCTCATTTCAGAGAAAAAATATAAAAACTGTAATGTAAGAGTATACTAATATGTAAAACCTAAGAATTTGCTTTTTGGTCATCTGAACACGAGCGGAGCCGCGGGCAATGCTAGTTACCAAATAATAATTTATTTATAATCAGTTATTTTTTATTTTTTAGTGCATTTGTTTGAAGTCGATTTTTATTTTTTTGTTATTTTGAGTTGTATTATAACATGTTTTCCCGTGGGAATTAGATAATCTCCCGCGGTAAAAAGTAATGACATATAAAGCTTATTCACTCTCCAGCCCTCCAACTATCTCCATACAAAAAATCACGCCAATCCGCTACTCGGTTTCGACGTGAAAGAAAGACAAACAAACAAACAAACAAACACACTTTCACATTTATAATAATAAGTATGGAAGTATGGATATATGTATATTTCATATAAATAAATATACAACACGTAAAAATTCTAGAACGACTCTAGCATGCGACGTCATGTATACTTTGTAAATAAACTATCAGACAAAGCTACAATAATATTACTAGCGAGTAGCGATCAACTCAGACTTTTGATATGGTAACAGACACGGCAGCCCAGTGGTAACACCCCCCCAACGTGCGTTCACCTTGTCGTGGTGGGGGGGCTCAGTAGTGCCCGGCAATCCAACCGGGCGCGAAGCTAAGAAACGCACAGGGAGGTTGCCCACTTCGGTGGGCGGTGGGAGTTGGCCCTCTTTGGGGGGCGGTGTACCATGCGGGTTGCTCCTGGTACTTCTCTGATAGCAGAGTGGACCTTGGAGCAACCACATGGTTGTGGTGGTCTGCTTCGGCAGACCTACCGTCGGGGCGTCGTAGTTGAATGCGTAAGCGATCCTGCGACGCCCCATTAAGACGGGGGAAGGTTTTTTTCTGTATTACTCCGGTGAGTCCCACACGTCGTGCGTAAATGCATTTCCCAACGTTAAAAAAAAAAGCCCAGTGGTACCACGCTCTCTTGAGAAACCGAGTGAAGCGGGTTTAAAGCTTGTATCTCGCAGCTCTCATTTTCATGTGCGAATTATTTTCGAATATACCTATGTATTTACTTACCACTTATCTTACGATGAAAGAAAACATCGTGAGGAAATTTACATGTTTGAGAGAACCAACCAAGTTTTCGAAAGACACGTGAAGTTTGCCAACCAGCACTTAACCAACGTGGACTACGGTAGTATGGGCTGATCAAGCCCGTATTGCAGGGAGGCCCGTGCCCAGCTGTGGGATATAAAAAAAGGCTGAATACATAATATGACTTCGCTCAGATATGAAATAAAAATATTTTTTCATTTATCTATAACTACTTTATTCACATACAGTAATATATATTCATAGCTATTATTTACGAATTTTGTGTGTTGTTAATAAATTATAAATCTTTCACTTCCGTTACAATTCGGGCGCAATCTATCGTACATACTGCTATATGGTACAAAACAGAAACATTCACGGGCAAACAAGCACACACTCAAGTTTTAGAATAGGACCGCATACGGACAAACTACAAACAAATAGAACCATAACATATACAAATGAAAATGATATTCGATTATGCTTATATGCATAAGACAGATATTAACACTCAAAGATATTTCTTTTCCTACCGTAACATGATAATAAAAGTATAACTTGTAGTTGACCGAGAACATATCTACAAGATATTTTCAATATTTTCATTAAATCATTTTTTTTAATTACAATGGCTTTCAGATAGGTACATAAATATTCAATTTTACATATACAGTTCATTCTCGTCACGTCGTCGTCTAAAGCAACAGCTCCTCCGCCGCATTAAGTATTATAAATTTTTCACTTTCCACATTATATATTTTCCGGTTCACGTTGGTCACGTCTCACGGTAAATGCGAGACAGCATAAAATTAATAGCTATACGTTTATCTTATAAATTCCTTTCCCAAGGCATGTTTTAACTAAGCATTACCATTTTAAATAAAACTATCTTTTCGGATTTTGTCGCGGATTTATTTGTATTTTTGTTTCCCAAAAACAAAAATACAAATAAATCCGCGACAAAATCCGAAAAGATAGTTTTATTTAAAATGTCAAATATTCGCGTAAATCTAAGAAATTATTAAGCATTACCACAAAATACTAACATTACTAACATTTTTAGTATTGTGCTTATATACAGATGAAGATGTAACTTAATTTCTTATTATTAAGAGAGGTTAATATTATTTATTATAATGGTAAAGTCACTTCGCCGATGTTGCGCAGAATGAAAAAGAGATTAATTAAATAATCTATACATATAATAAAATTATAACTAAGCCTACTAAATTATAACTAATCTGTACATTAAATATTTTTTGGAAAATCTTAATGAAATTAACATTGTTATCGATACTGAGGCCGAATCTACAGTATTTAGAATTTTTGTCTGTCTGTCTGTTACCGCATCACAGAAAAACCACTGGAAGGATTTTGATGAAATTGGGTATGGTGATAGCTGGTTATCCAGGTCAACATATAGGATACTTTTTACCGCGGGAAAATATCTCATTTCTGTAAACAAATACAAAAACTGCATTGTAAGAGTATACTAATATGTAAAACCTAAAAATTTGGTTTTTGGTCATCTGAACGCATTTATCAACCTTCAATGATAGGATCCAAAACGTTTGTGACCTATAGCATTGTTAGGTACATATATACTTTTCCTAGGATATGAGGGATGCTGTTGTATGCGCTTGAAAATTACGTGCTATTTAATGAATTTTAAAAATCTATATGATAATCTTCATGGCCACACACTTACATCTGTAAGCAATCCAACATAATAGGCAAGAATTTCCGAAATAAACGTATGATAAAAAAAAACATACCTTTGAAAATGAAAGCAACGTTTTCATTACTCTATCCGATACATATTTTTGACTGACTTCGAAAAAGGTTTTCAATTCGTCGAAATCTGAAGACGCCTGAAGTCTGAACCGATTTGGAAATATTTTTTTTTGTTTCAAAGGGTATATTTCCCCGGGTGGTCCCATATAAATTTTATCGAAATCGGTCGAGCGGCTTTTTAAAAAATCAACAATAAACATATTTTTTAAATAAATTGTTTAATCGAATATGTTATGAAAAAAACTTTCTTCTTACAAATTACCTACTTATTACGTCTACACTAAAAATGGAAAAATAAAAAAACTTCAACTTTTAACCAAAATTCAAGCAAGGTCTTAGTAAAGAAAGATTCCAAAAAAAAAATGAAAATTAAAGATTTCCTACAAATTTGTACGGAACCCTTAGTGGACGAGTCCGACTCGTACTTCTCCGTAATTTTTTTAGAAAAGCATTATGTATTTTATTGTAAATACTTTTTTGGACTTATCTCGTATTTGAAAAATGCAAAATACTTTTTGATAAGTTTTGTCAACAATGATAAAATAATGTGATCAAAAAACTATCTTCGAACAAATTATTATATTAAAATCTTTTAAGTAAAGTATCAATAAGCCAAACAAAAGTGATCCCTCTAGAAACAATTAAAAACAATATTTTTAATAGAATAAATAGGTCTTATACGTAACGAAAATATAAGTAATTCATTGACATCAAATAATCACGGTATCGTATAGTGATGCGCTTAAGATCATTTATCACTAGTAACGTACGACAATAATCTTTGATTACAAATGCTCATGCATAAAAAAGTTTTATTTTACTAGAGTGGATTTTTAGCATGGAGATTTATTTATATGATGTTGTTTAAACATCAACTAATAAAACCAAAAAAACTGCTAAAGATATGTATTAGTATTGTCTTGTCTAACCGGTAATTCACCGGTCAAAACATAACCACCAGGATATAGACAGGTGGTATGAGTAAAGGTATTTCCCATTTCCAAATAAAAAAAATGAATAGGTAATTTCTTCGTTCGTCATGGACATTTGTAAGGTATAATTTACGTTATTCTTAAAAATAACGTGATTCTGTAAATATTTATGTCGTCGTTGTAGCCGTCGCTTCAGCCGAAACACGTTCACAGCGGGTCATATAGACCTCCCCGAAAAATTTCCGCGATTATCGGACCTGTGCAATCCGCATCTAGTGGATTCCAGTGACTTTTGTCCGATGCCCGAGTCATCGGTCTACCGGAGATATAACGAGACCTTCCCACGCTTCGTTTTAAACATAATTTAATAACAAAATAAATTATGTTTATTATAATATAATGTAAAAGAAAGTATGTATGAGCTAAATTGCTCACTGTGTAAAATCAGGCGCATCGTTTAGTGGCAGCTATTACTAAATTTATATAAAAAAACTTAAAAAAAACTGATTCCCAGGCACCACTAAAATGTAAACAATAACTAAACGGGGTTTTCATTTAGAATAGATATTTTCGAAGTCGGTGCAGGGGCTGAATACAAAAACAGACATAACCATAACAATTTATTTATGTACGTGACTAAACAACGAAACTTATTGATATTTTTTGAGTAATGATTTGTTTCATGCCTTTGCACAGCATTCTCATACTTCTGTCCCACACTTCCGGATTTTCTGACTGAATTTTCTCTAGCTCGTAATAATTTTGATATAACATAATATTCACCATATGCATTATTCCAACATATTAAATGTTGCAACTCTATAAACAGAAATAGAGCTGCAATATATTATATCTTGAAGCATTGTTTTTTAGATCAATTACTATTTATTTCATTAAATTTGGTTGAAGTTACCATTAATCTGTACGATTGTAAATAAAATCTTGTTTTCTACTTAAGTCTTCATTTAACTGGCTGAGTAATTAAGCAATTCTTTATAAGAAGGTAACTAGTTTTTGGCCGCGGTTGTGATTATGTATTTTAATGACGCATAATTCTTTGCTGCGAAGTAGTTCGGAGTGGTAGTTCGAAGCAAATAAAAAATAAACAATCTCTTTAGTTTTATAATATGAGCATAGATAAACTACTTTAGGTAAAACACAGCCTTTCAAATAATATAATTTAATAGCCCAAAAAGTAACATTATAATTTAACAAATTAGGTCTGAATCAAAAATAAGCTTCTTTAAAGTAGCACTATAATATTTTTTTTATTTTGAATGCACTATTTATCTCTTCTCTGTGGTGCTTCAATAATTTGATAAATGTCATATTATGATTTCTGACTTTTGAGAGAAATGTCAGATTTTCATTAGTGAATGTACTTTTTGGTAGGGGCATCGATAAACTTTAAAAATGGTACAGGGTGAATATCCTCCAGATGATAATTTATTTAGAGCGTTTATAAACGCTCTATATAATACTATTGATGCTCCAGTAACATGGTTCAGAGGTACGTTGTATCATAATAGAAAAGTTCCTTCTTGTTATGTAAGTTTGTTACTAATAAAATGATTGTTGTGCTGCAGAAAGTGTTGTGGAACCAAACCAGAAGAAGTATCCCTGGTACCACAAGGTGTACCGCCGCGTTCCTACCATTGACCAATGTTATACTGATGACGTCCTTTGCGACTTCGAAGCCAACGCGCAGTTTAAACGTGATAGGTTATTTTTTTAAATATTATATCAATTTACTACTTTGTTCTATTTAAATATTAAATAAAAATATTATATAAATAATCATATTTGGTAAAAAATGATTTTTATTTAGCATCATTACTTTTACAGGGCTGTTGATTCTGAAATATTGAGTATTATTCGTACGCGTTATGAAGATTGCATGGCGTATGAGACCCCAGATCATTTGACTATTTGCAAACCTCTCTGGGAAAGATACAAAGCTGCTGAAGAAGCTTGGTTCATTAAATGTAAGTATATAATTTATTACACAAAATAAATTATGTGTTAAATAATCAAAATTATGTTGAAAATATAATATTAGTATAAATTCTATATCTATGCCTATCAAAATAAATAACTTTTCTATGTTTTTAAATAAATTTATTTATAAATGAAGTGTAAAGCTATTTAATGAGAAAAATAACTAAAAGTTATTTAATGAGGACCATGTGTATTTGTTGTTGATAATAATTTTTGATAATGGACGAGCATACCTAACATAGATGTGTTTAGCCCTATATAATCTCCTTTATTTACCAAAAATAAGTGTATTTATTTAATTTTTACTCCGCAATTTGTAAATACTATCTAAGGGACACATTCTTTACACTAATTACTTGTTCCATAAATTATTTAGGTCAAAATCATATAACAATATCTAAAAAATAGTAAATCTGATATGGATTTTCTTATCATTTTACAATCAATATCCCCTTTCTAGATGGTGACCTAGGAGCTTATGCAGATGCTAAGAAAGCATATATGAAACAGAAACATCGTATGATTTGGGAAAGACGTCATGGACCTCTCTCCGAACACACTAAATAAGTGATGTAAACCATGTAATTTATAAGTAGATACCATTAAATGTTCTTACAATAAAATTATAGTGAAAATTATATTTTATTTAACATTAAGAGCCAAAAGTCCTTTTAACTATCTTTTAACTCATGGGACATTAGAGATTCTTTACTCTTTAGTCCAAATTGTTTGCAATAAGCCAATTAATAAACTAATTACCCAGCTTCTAAAGATTAGGAAATTGTTTGGCCAATATTTTAAGTCAGTGTATATATCTATCTATACCTAATTAAAATATATAAAATTCTCATGTTACAGTGTTTGTAAAAAAACTCCTCCGAAACGGCTTGACCGATTCTTATGAAATTTTGTGTATATTCAGGTCAGAGTAGGACGTAAACTATTTTTCATACGCCTAAGTAATAAGTGTGGTCAACCCCAAAAAATTTTTTTTTATATTTTGGACAAAAAAAAATTATTTTATAAAAAAATTATGATTCGGCATTAAAGAATACATACAAACCTAAATTTCCCCTAGGGACGAACCCGAGCAGAGCGAGGCTGAGTCGCTAGTACACATAATATGTAATTAACCATGTAACCTCTAAATGAGAAACAATTCAGGCCATATTCACATAACATTAACATGTTATAAAAAAAAATAATATAGAAAAGAAAGTCCCTAAAACAGGACCTATGATTAAATTAATAAACATAAACATAATAAAATGCAAGTTTCAAAAAATAACATTTATTTTCCAACACTACATTCATTTCATGCAATTATGACAAGATACAATTTCCGTACAAACACCAATTCTCTAGTTGGAACTATAACAAGAAATTAAGGATCACAGAATGACGAAGACGTAGAAAATAATACTAACATCTTCACTTACTGTAGTTGAAAATCTTAAACCTACTTATACTTATAAATTTAAAACTTTATTATTGGTCACAAAAGTAAAAACAACATTGGCTTAAAAGTTAACTTATCTGCTACAGTCTTGAGAAATTCAATTCACAGATGTTTGTGGCATATAGAATCGAACTTCATTTTTAAAATAAGAATAAATTTTATATAAAGTCACAAAGTTAAAATCACCTTAATAGAATTAGCGGCAGAATTATATATAACATTTATTGGACAGGTAGTTGATTTGAATATTCAAATGCAGACTGGCAGTGTTTCAATAAATACAAAAACAATACAATTAGGGAGTATGCGCGCGATTTGAATAAAGGTGAAATATTGTTTTATATAACTTTATTGCTTCTGAATTATGCCTATATCAATATTTTTTAATATAATTTCTTTTTCATTAAGAAATTAATCATAAAAAAATGCAGAAATAGGTACGAAATTCAAAGTAGTTTAAACGCAACGCCATTGGTCAGACCGAATGTGACGTCAAAGTCTATTATAATAGAGCGCTGTTGTTTGGTGTTTGCGATTGGTACTAACAATCTAGATCTGTTCATTCGTTGTATGCACCGTTGCCATAGACTATGACGTCACGCCAAGCGCGAAAATTGTGAGCTTAACTGTATATTTTTAATTATTTTTTTATAATAAATTTAAGTTTTTTGGAGCTGGATATTTTTTTCCAATCATATAATGATGTAAGCTGTTTTATAAAAAAAAACACACATATTCCCTATTATTGCATTAAATCATATACTAGATATATATGCAAGGGCCTGCTCGCATAACTGCTATAATGATAATTAGAAGTTATTAATTATAATAATATTAACATATAATATAAAACATCGGAGTTCCACATCAATATTGCTACACTATGATTTGATTTACTATCAACTTTGTAAATAAATGTGCTTATTGATTAATATTATTGTACCAATCAACAAGATATGTACAATTTATACATAAAAATATATGTTTTTTTTTTTGATTTCACATTGGATAAGTGATTTTTTTGCTGATTATACTTTTGCACAAATATTCTCATGTCTAATTTCAAAATAACCAGGGGTTCAGTCTCAAAATACCTTATTTATACACCAAATATATTGAGATTATTAAAATGTCAAATTGATCAACGAAAATCGATAACTTTGCCGAGTTTCGTTTTTTTAATTAATAACAATAAACAATTATCACACAAAATATTATCTAAATCTACATTGTACATTAGACACGTATTTTATTTAGTTACTTTCATAGGCCCTCTCATGTTTTCACATTACAATCCCTCGCATAAGAAACGGTTTCATGTTTTTTATTAAAATTTTATCGAAAAGTTAGATTAATGTTAAGACTTATATACTATTTAAATGGACACATTGCTAGATAGAAATAACAACAGCGACATTTTGAAAGTGAACTGGACATTTGCTGAAATATCCATTTTGGTCATTAGAGAATTACACACTTGACGCAACATTAAACTTTTAACACATTTATTGGTACTAGAATATCACAAATATTTAGATAGTTAAATAAATGATTGCACATTTACTTACGCTAAAACCACTTGTAACTCTTAATACATAAAACGTTTTTTTTTTATATATTTAATATGTACTTGTACTGATAAGTAACAGTATATAATTACACTTAGAAAATACATGTTAAAATAAAACAACGGCGGTCGTTCGAAACAAATTTTTGGACTAGCCGATAAATTAAAAAAAAATATCCTAAAAATACGATCCAAACTCTTATAAAAAAATATATATGCACTAAAACTATTAATGTGGAACGGCGAATTTGACGGTGAAATATATGTACTAAACAAAATCATTGCACTTCAGGCACAAGCATTACCTACATACAAAGCGGTAAAGCGATTATTTATATATTAAGCAATACTTTTATAAAACATTTGAACATCTATAATTGACTCTTACATTGTGGGTTGAGTTGCAGTAAGAATTTCTATCTTATTCATATTTTAATTATGATTTATTGATATTAATACCGTTTTTAGGTAAAAAATAAAAATATCTATTGTGGAACTACATGGCTGACTAAGCTCACCTAAGAAACCTGTAGATGCATCAAGAATATAAAATGTTCAACATATTAAATAATAAAATCTCTTAAAATAATAAATTCGACAGTGACATTCGACGATTCTAAGTGAATTTATACTCAGTCATATAAAGCCAAATTAAATTGTATGTACTTGTACAATAATTGGAGATCAGTGTATCAAATATCAGAGGATAAAATTCTAAAAAATTAACACTTTAATTATTATTACATTATTAGAGTAGCATTCGAAAAATGTTACAAGTGCATTAATTCAAATAAAATTTCCTTCATCTTTAGGCGCCAGTTTCGTATGATATGTAGTAAAAGTCTTAACGGCTAATACGTAACTGATTAATAAAAAAAATTAAGAGCCTGTCTCACAGATTCCGTTTAAATCTAGTAGAAAAAAAAGATAAAAGTATTCACTCTTTACAATAGCTTTTGTGTGTAAAACAGATAAAAATATAAAGCCCGTCACACACACAGGAAACTGGTGACACAGATTCTTAAATGTCAAAAAATAAAAAGGAGGTTGTATAAAATTTAGGAGTCATAATCACATCATAAATTTTAGGCAATCCCATGGGCATGAAAAGCTAATACATTTGCATAGTAAAATTACAAAAAAAAAAAACAAAAAACATTTTACCGCCCTCTTTACTTACATACAAGACATTAGTGCACTCAGAACATTTAACGAATGCATGAAGACTTAACTTTAATAAAACACACAAAAATATACGCCATCTAAAACATTATTGTTATAGACATCACATTTAATAGGACACTTTTATTAGTCTGGATGATAAAATTCGTTGCGGCCTCATCATATTCATCACACTAGTGTATACATGCAAAATTCTTTATATTGTATATGTATTGGAATGCTTCAAAGGTGGGAAATGGTTTATGCCGCATCAAACTGTGCCGCCAAACGAGTGCGACCTGAAAATTTGCAAATATATTTATGAAAAATGAACGAAGACCAACACAGTATTCACAATATCTACTCTATGCCCCTTTCTTCTAGGATTCTGGTTTGGGTAACAACGCAGGAATATAACAAATTCTATTTTCTTATTAACTTCTGCGCAAACGAAGTTCAAAGTTCAAGATCCATATCGATTTTATCGCATATAAAATACAAGTGCAATAGTTGTATGTGTGGTTGTTACTCTTTCACAGTGTTAACTGGACGGATTTGGATGAAATTATAGTACACAGTTTTAATTTTTGAAGTTATACTTCTTTTGGAACGTTTGGAAAAAATTATGAGAGTAAAATTTTTACATGATGAAATTACCTAATAACTATCTGTTACCATGGTAACCGTTGTTATTTTTATTTTATTTATTTATTTTTATTGAACAGATGTGGTACATGTAGTCTACCTTCTCTCTAGGTATACCTTACAAATTAAACAAATGAAAGACTCTAAAGCTTTTAATGTAACATCTGGACGACGGACATCTGATAGATAAGCCAAAGATAAAAAATAAAAAAAAAGCAGTCATGAGGACTGCCGACAGAAGTGAAAACTAAAAACTATAAACAAACAGTTGTTATTTTTGGATATTCAAATTAATTATTTGATCTTAAATTAAAATTACTGAATTAAAACTGTTTACATTTATCTGGTTTTGACATCTATCGGCACTCTGAGTGTTAGCGTTAACACGTCACGTGACCATATGGATGACGACTTGAACGACATGAATTTACTCCCCATCTAAACCTGCCTAAAGAAGGTTTTACTTCAAAAAGCTTATAACATAATGTCACTTACGTTTATTTTCTTGAATGAGAAGAGCCGTCGGGGCGGGCAGAGCGCTGGCGGGCGGAGAGCACCAAATATTTGTTTTTGGCGATTCGAATACTCGTGAACCCTATTGCAAAAAAAGGATACTGAATTATAGTAATAATTATAAAGATAATCAGGTTTTAAATTATTATTAAGACAGTATTATTATAATCAGGTTTATAATGTACAAAAGTTCAAAATCCATCCAAAGTACTCTATACATATGGACAGAAGGTATATACAACATACCTTCTGTTCAGTTGGATAGAGTATTCCATTATTTTGTGGACGCCGCACTGCTCTTACCGTCTTCGCAGAACACTTCGCTTTGCTTGTAAGATAAGTCTATTGCCTAAGCCTATAGAGCAGCCATACTCAACTTGCGGCCCAGGGCCGCATGCGGCAGCATCAAAAATTGCATTATATCTTTGTTAAAAAACATATCTTTGTTAAAAAAAGTCATCGTTAACTTGGAATTACGTTTTCATTAAGACCTAAATAATTTTTGCTTGCGGCCCTCGACACCATGACTGAAACGTGTTTGTGGACCCTATAAAAAAAGGTTGAGTATGGCTGCTGTAGAACCATAAAAATTGTTTTATTTTTATATATTATATGCATAGCCCAAAGTCTTATTTTTCTCCTATCTCTCCCCACTCGGTTCAAGCATATACAAACGATCGGTTACTATCGAGAATTGCCATCCTACCAAAGTTTTAAAATATGAAAGGAATCTATTGTGCACTAAAATAAATCTCATATGCCTATATCCAGTAAGGTCGACCAACACAACCGATACAATATATCAGAAGATCTCGATATACCAACTCACCTTCTGTCCAGGCGGAGTGTCGTGCACGGAGTAGTCCTCGACGGCGCGGCGCGCGGCGAGGTCGCGGCGCGGCGCGCCCGCGCGCAGCCGCCACGCGCCGCCCGCCTCCGCGAACACCGCGCGGTGCGAGTGGAGGAACTTCGTTACTGCTTCTACACCTGGATGAATTATTTATGTTAATATTGGCTGATATAAGTGATGAATGTGTGGTCTAAAAGGTATATAAATATAGTGGAAGGAAAAACAAGGAAAATCCTTGGAGAAAGATATAATAGTAAAAGTAATATAATAGTAAAAATAGTTAAGTACAATACAGTCAACGGTCCCAATATGTTTTCAGGGTGTCCTATATTAGAGGTTTATCAGACAAAAGATTATAATTTGAGATGTTTAAAAGGCGAATTATAGGTGCGAGGTTCGAATCTATGACTTCCGACGTGGAAACAAATACTTATCTTCAGTTTTATTAGATGTTAGTAGGTTATCTTTTAATTGTCATAAAAGAATAAATATGCCTAATTTTTATTTTTACAAGAATAAAAAAAGTTTATTAAATTTGACTACGATATGAATAAAATATAAAATATATAGCATTGTAGACATCTAAACAGAAAAAGAAAAAACAAATAAATACACACCCAACTCGGCATTGGGAAACGAGGGTCCATATCGTTTCATGTACTCGACGAATATTTCCACCGCGGGCAGAGGACACTCGGCCTCGCGCTCCGACAGTATCTGCGCGACGCGCCACACCGCGCGCCACGCCGGCGTCACGCGCACGCGGCGCTCGCCCGCCACCAGCACGCCGGCCGCCGCCAGCCCCGCCACGTCCGGCTCCGCGCCGCACAGCGCCCGGAAGGCCGACACGAAGTACTCCTCGGTGGAGCCGCGCGCCACGCTGCGGTCGGCCGACAGCACCGCGCAGGCCGACAACGCCGCACTCGCCCACCTCTCCACCCCGTCGACTCTCACCACTCCCCTTTCGACACACCCGCCCGCCGCATACACCAAGCCTTCTAGTGTAGACGCCTCTAGAACATCCGGCGACGGGGCCGCGCCGTATTGGCTCGCATATACCGACGAAAACACCGACATCGACACCGGAGTGATACTTTTCAGTCTCTGCGCCATTACGGCTTGAGCCGCGCGTAAGGCTAAGCGCACACTACGCTCCCCGGACGTCTCGCAGTACACTGTCACGGCATCCGGTATCAATTCGAACAGTTCGACGAGTTTGACGCAACCGTAGTGTGCGACGCGCAGCTGTCGGCCGAAGTGTGCGTGGTAGGCGGGGACGAATCTAGAAAATTCCATTCTCAAGTTGGGCGTATAGCACAGCAATTCTACGGCTTGCACTGCGAACTGGACGGTTCGGGATCTCTCTTCGGGAGTTGGAGTACGTCGTGGAAGTGATATGGTGTCGTCAGGGTTTATGATCACACTCTGCGGGGTCACCTTCTCCATCAGCTCTTCTATAGTACAGACCCCGTAATCTACAGGTGAGAACGCTCGGCCGATGACCGATTGAAATAAATCGGGTATATCATGAACTAGAATTGTGCGACCAGGTTGAGCTTTCAATATTTTTAGGAGATCTGTAGTCCATCGTTTTCCTTGTGCTGCTGCTGATATTGTTATCACGCGATAAGATCCAGAACCTAACACCTGGAAAGAAAGTAAATAATACTTTAGTATAAAAATGATATTGTCGATTGCATATTATAAAGACTAATAATTATAACTAACCACAATTATATTGCCAAGAGCTGACAGAAGGTCAGGCAATTTGGTAAATCCATAATCTGCCACTCGACATTGACGGCCGAAGTGATGATGGAATGCTGGTATAAGTCTGTAAGAAAATCTTAGTTAACTATCAATATAATCAAGCGTACATAGTATTTTGGTTAAAATCATATATCTCTTCTTTTTATTTTGCATTTTTTTTTAAATTAACAATTATAAAGTAGATTAATAATACATATTATGAATACCGAGAGATTACAAGTGAGAAAGTGCGTAACACACATATAGTAACGACTCAAAAGATTAACGTGAAATTGAGAACTTAGACACTAATAATACTACTAATAATACGCTTATAAAGGTACTTAATGAAACTTAACTCGAACACGGGATCCGATCCTTTAGATATTGCACTCGAATATTCTAGGCTGATGTAGTTAAAATAAACACCGACTAGCTAAACACATGCTACTGTGACTACTTAACCTGTGCACAGGATTCGAAACCTTAGGTATTCCACTAGAATATTCTAGAATCTAGACCAATTTAGTCAAAACCAATACTAACTTGCTGAAAGGAATGGTGCATCGAGGTGCGGTGCGCAGGAGGTCGATGAGTTCCCTCTCGAACAGAGCTAGCATAGGCTCCAGGGCGGGCGCGGTGCGGGGACGCTCCCGCTCGCCGCTCGAACGAGATGTTTCACCTTTACATATAAATAATAAATATATTAATATGTCGGGACATGAACACAAAACACCATCTAGTTCTATGGTAAGCTACGAGGCTTGTATTATGGATACCATACAGTTGATTCAATGCCCACATATATAACGTTAAATATAAACACACATGACTGAAGACAAAACATTAGTTCTCATCGCACAAATGAAAGCCCCCAGCGGGACTCGAACCCGCGACCGCTGGCACTGACAAGTAGGGTCACTACAAACTGAGCAAAACGTGTCGTCACAATTAAATTAAAAAAAAAAATAGTAGCCAATGAAAATATCCACTATCCACAAATTGATGTTATCAAATTATCGTGTGGTCATCTCCGATTTCAATATTTTAAATCAATACGAAAATAGATACTAGATATACAATAAATCATATTCAAAAATATAATTACATCGTTAGTTAAAAAAAATAAACTAAAAAACACATTTAGTAAAAGCTTGTTAGGAACAGTTCAGAAAGAAAATTATTAATTTAATTGAGAGCAGTTCCTTGATCATTCCGATCCATCGATCTGTTAGTAATACAAATCTATATAAATAAAAATGAATCATCGAAATGTATCTACGCGCATAACTTCCGATCGACTGCACCAAATTGGATAATTCTTTTTTTGTATTTGTTATTGTCCGAACAAACTTTGTATAGAAGAAAATTAAAAGATTTTTTTTTTTACTAAAATCAGTTTTTTTTGAATCGCATGATATGAGAAGTGAGTGAGTGAAATAGTTCTTATCCCGGAAATCATCCCTTAAGGGGGGTGAGAATGAGGATGAAAGTTTGTATGAGGAAGCAGGCTAGGGATGAACCCGAGCGAAGCGAGGGTGAGTCGCTAGTGAATAATAATAATCATTTCATACTAAAAATGGAAAAAAAGTAAACACAGTATAAACTCACTCTGAAAGCTATGTGAGGGCGAGTCCACCCTATTGGTAGTGGCGCGCCAGGTGAGGTGCCGGGAGGGGCTCTCCCTCACCTCCAGAGAGGGGATGGAGCGCAGCAGCAGCTCCAGGGCCACGCCGCGCCGGGCGTCCGGCACCAGCGGCGGGAACATCGCCTCGTAGCATTCTACGAAACTGTTCAATAGAATTGATAAAATTCAATTCCTATTATACATATTAAAGATTGTGCATGTGTATACATAATATGTATGTCGTGTCTTCGCGCTGAAACGACCAAACGGATTTTGATAAAAATGAGATAAATTATGACCTAGATTAACATTATGGGCTGTGAGACGCATAACGACTTACCGTTGTTTCCCTCAGGTAAATCTCTAATATTATCTATACTAATATTATAAAGAGGTAAAGTTTGTGAGGTTGTAGGAGGTAATCTCTGGATCTACCGAACAGATCTAGATGAAAGGAGGAGGGTTGATAAAGGCCATTTTTCGCCCATCAGCCGCTCGATTTGAAATTTATTTTATTTAATAGTATATCTCATGGCAAGTGTAGAAAACAATTATTTTTAATGAAACTTCTTTAATTAATGGGATAAATAAAACAAATAATTATAAGGTTATTATGAACATTTATTAATATAACCATTGCTACTGTACATTCTAACACAAAAAATGAGTTGTAAATGCAAGATTACAATGAAAAAGGTTTATTTTTACTATTATTGCAATATTTGAAATATGAAAAATAATCAATAATCAGAAATAATTAGAAAGTTTCAGGCACATTGAGCATGTATGTTTTTTTAGTTTTCCTTATTGGTTTCTTCATCTGAATCACTACTGGACCATCCTTCAGCGGCAGCGTCTTGTAGTGTATAGGCATATTCATCTCTTGGTTTCTTGATTTCGGTTGAATTGTGGCGCCAATAACCTAAAAAACCATAATACAGAGGCAACATGTGCGCAACACCCTACGACTCTTGCACCCACTTTACATTGACAGTACCATTGAATGTTTGTGATGTTGCTTTATCTGTTTTTATCCAAACATTATAGTTTTTGGAACTTGTGTGCCGTGATCGTAACTGTACTCTAACAACATTTGTTCAAAAATGTAATTAAAATCAGACATGGTTATGCCCATGAGAGTATAATAATCAGACTCGGAAAGCTGTCCTGGTGTGTCAAAATCAAGGCCTTTTTTCTTTGCTACTTCTCTAATATTGTTTAAAAGACTTTTTATATCTTTTTCACACATTAATGTATTCTCACTTACAGGGCGTAAAACTTGCAAAGCCAATTCACTGAATATCAATCCGGTAATATGAGTTTTACAACATCTTTTTCCCGAAGAAATATATATTCCAGTTTCGATAAATGCTTGAGTTCGAGCTGCTTTCGGTACAGTCATGAGGTAGCTTTTACGTTTACATATTATACAGCACGTATTAGAGTTGTGACAACGAGGTATTGATAAATATATATTTGGTCTCTTCGAGGTGTCGTCGGCAGTACTTGTTGAAGCATGAACTCTTGTTGTCACTATGGAAGATGATATAGGAATATTTTGAGCTCGAACCACACGGAATGCGTATGATCTGCATTTCGAACACAACTTAGAACCACTCTGTAGATCACAATTTTTAGAATTTCTAAGTATCGATAAGATTTTTCTATTAGAACAGGTACGAAAAGCACTATTTGTTTTTTGCCACGTTTTACAACAATCACACTGTTTTCCAGGCATTATTATCTATTAAGTTTTACAACAAACAATCGCAACAACAACCGCAGAACACTATTTCGATAGCACACTACGTAAATACTTTTTGAGCGCAATATAAATCACGTATGAACTTGTTCTCGCAACGCACTGAATACTTTCGCGCGTAATATATTTTTTTCTTATTGTGTGAAGCGCACAATGAACCAAAATAAAATAGTACTCATTTACAAGCTCATAAAGAGTAGTATCAATGTGAGTCAAAGTTTTTGTGGTTCATGGAGCGCTTCATTATAAAATTATAATTTAAAGATAAAAAAAACGACAAAAATATACAAAAAAGGCGAAACACCCTGTTTTTGAACAATGATATCTGTAACTTAGTATAATATTTATCACTTAAATGATTATGAATTAAAAAATATATGTCTTCAACTATACATAAATATATAAAAATAGCCGGAAATCGAAACTTTTTTTTTTGAGATTGTGATGGGCGGAAAATGGCCCATATCAACCCTCCTCCTTTGTTAAGATAGTTTGAGACCCTGGGAAGGACATAGGATACTTTTTATCCTGGAAATCATCCCTTAAGGGGTGAAAATAGGAATGAAAGTTTGTATGGAAATTAACCTAGGGACGAACCTGTGCCAAGTTAGGGTGAGTCCAGTAGTATGAAATAAATATTATTTATAATAATGTATGAAATATTTTTAAGTTATTTAATTTTTGGCCATAAATGATATGACGAATTTAATTTTAATAGAACATTACGTTACAGTTTTTTTTTCTGTTAATTTAAAAAAAAGATAATCAAGTTTATTTAAAGAAATAAATAACTTCATTTCTATCCAAATCAATAAACAATAAAAAAAAACTATTTCTAACCTCAAAAGCGGCAATATTCCACCGTGATTCTCCAACAACAGCTGAGTATTCTTCGCCAAAACGGATATCTTCATATAAACCGGCTGCAATATACGACTACCGTCTTCATGGCCGGTGTTCAACATGGCGTGTACGTGACACTTCCAGGGGGCCTCTTCGGACTCCGTATTAGCGACCGGGGTATGATCAATCAACTGGACCATCCTGCCGAATCCCTCGTGTATGACCACAGTATCTTTGACTTTGGCTATGTCTGATGTAGTCAGGGCACAGCAATGTCGACTGGCATACGCATCACGTAGCCTTAGCAATGGTAGGGTATAGTTCTTTTGGTCTAAGAGTATAGCTCTTAGGCGTATTTTGAGGACGTCTAGGTTTGGTGCTGGCGAGGGCCTACCTAGGGACAGTTCGAGCCTGCGACTTGCCCATTGGTTGTCCAATCGCCGCTTGTGGACGCGGGCTATGGCGAGGCGCGCGTCCCACTCCGACCGCAGCACCACAGTGGCGAGGGGCCCGTCCCCCGTCGCCCACATGGACACACGGACTACTGGCACGTACTGATTGAACAGTTTCGTTAACATCTCCTGTGAATGATACAAACATTTATAGATTGGCTATAATATAGTAATCGAGTTTTATCATCGAATACGGTGGCGTTAACATTGGTTTAGTATAAAATACTGGATTAATAATAATATTTTTAAGAATTCTTAGTTAAGTCAACAAGTTTTGAGCAGAATGTTTCGTCATGTAAAACATCTTAATATTTTTTAAATTAATTTTCCAAAATACAGTAATTATGATAATAATTAAAGTTTAACATTGACCCCATAAATATGTACAGGTAAATTATAGATATTTCTATCTTAGCCCGAGAGCTCGCGATGAATTTCGGGAAGGTCCTTTTGGCAAGTTGAAATTGTGAAAAAATATAATTTCGTGAATTGGCGAAAATATAATTTTTTGGATATTTTTTTTGCAAATGTTATATACTGCGCAGTAACGAAATAACCGTTAAAGCTACACCAGACTCGTGGGACTGGACTCGCCAATTCACGAAATTATATTTTTTCACAATTTCAACTTGCCAAAAGGACCTTCCCAAAATTCGTCGCCAGCTCTCGGAATATCTCTTTGATAAGATACTTATATAGTATAAATTACTTATATTCCCAATTACAGAAGCTATGTAGTGTGTGTGCGTGCGTATGCTTGTACGTACTGTACGTAACTATGCATGTGCATGTGTGTGTACGTATGTGTGTGCATACTGATGTAAGGCGAAGGTTGAAATTTTAGCAGAGGTAAGCCGTTACAAAAAAAACACAAAAAACATTGATATACAATTTTTACATACGTATTAATGCAAAAAGAAATAAACCTATTATAATAGTATATAATAAAATACATCAATTTAAGGAAGATGTCTTGTATGGACGCTTCGGCCGTGGTGTGCATGTATGTGTGCGTGTGTATACCTGCAGCACGAGCGGCTCGTAGGGCGGCAGGTTGGACACGGTGAGCTCGGCGGCGTCGGGCTCGCCCTCGCTGTGCTCGCTGAGCGAGGACGAGTTCCACGGCGACGCCGCGCGGCTGTGCCCCGCCTCGCCGCTGTTGCTGGACGAGCACCCCGACCGGTCCAGGTTCGAGGACCCTGAGTGTCACAGTATAAAACAAAAATATAAATATCCATACAATATATGCCTTAGATCTTAACCGAAACCCCGTCAAATGCAAGGGCTGTCAGAAACAACAAAATACAAATATTCATGGTGAACGCTGGCAAGTTATAGTTCTAGTTCTCCTCGTCGACCCTGAAGCTATATCCCGTCTGTCATATAATTTAATGTAAAAATATGTACCTCCTTTATCATATTATTCAACAAATTGCTAAACCATAAGACCTGATATTTAACAGAATCCTTCGAATATAACTATAAAAAAATTAAAATCCAAATTGGTTATAAATTTTAAAATAATATTCTAGTATTCAGCCTTTTTTAACATCGCACTGCTGGGCACGAGTTTCCCTTCAATATGAGAGAGACCAGGCCATAGTCCACCACGCTAACCATGTGTGGGTTGGCGTACTTCACATCTCTTTTGAAAACTTGCTAGGTTCTCTCAAACATGCAGGTTTCTTCAGAATGTTTTCCTTCACTGTAAGACAAGTGGTAATCATGTTGGAAATGTTTCAATATCAAAACTGCGAGAACAGGTAATAGAACCGGCTTCACTCTATTTCCCAAGCGAGCGCGTTACCACTGGACCACTACTAACTACAAAAGTAATACATATAATAAATCTTACCATGAGTCCCCCGTATCTTCCTCGGCTTAGGCGCTGGCGGTGGGCAGAAATCTAAGGGCGGCGGAGTGGGCGCGGGCAGTTGTTGCAATGCCAGGGCCCATTCGTTCGTAACGCTCGGCGGTCTCTCCACCGGGACCACTTGTACCTGCTGTAATTGTTACATTTTATCACACCAATCGAAATTCAGATTCTATACTAATATTATAAAGCTGAAGAGTTTGTTTGTTTGGTTGAACGCGCTAATCTCGAAAACTACTGGTTGGAGTTGGAAAATTCGTTTTGTGTTGGATAGTCCATTTATCGATGAAGGCTTTAAGCTATATAACATCACGCTACGACCAATAAGAACGGATCATAAATGAAAAATGTTGCAAAACGGGAAAAAAAATATTCATTTTGAGAACTTCCGTTGCGTGCGCTGCATAAACGATTAAAGTTACGTAAAAATAATGTATGACGGAATTGTTCACCTTTAACAGTCCTAAAAAAAAATCCGCAACAGCATATGTCTATATTTTAAGATTGACTCAATGTAACACCTCCAGGTAAATTTCTAAGAAATTAATTAAAATTCTAAGAGATCTATTGTTAACTGACACGCCGGCGTGTCCGCGGTCGTGGAAGGATTAACTCTTTTTATGGTAATGTTTATTCTAAAATAATGCATTATTTCCGAACGTGTTTTTATAAACATGATATTAATCCATATCCAAATAAATATTCATCACAAATATTTAATTTTGAACTAATTTGCCCTTGACATCATTTGATTTCAATGAATATCTTAGGAGATATCATAGTTTTAAAATATACATATTATTAAACTTTACGCGGACTATAGGTGAGCGCGCTCTCAACCCGATGCAAGGCGAGGGCGGCGCGGTCGTGAGGGAGGACGCTGGCCCGGTAGCTCTGCGAGCAAAGTAACTATTCCACGCGGACGAAGTCGCGGGCAAAAGCTAGTAATAGAAACGCAAAAGTTTGTATGTGTGTATGTTTGTACTCCTTAATACAATCACGATGGACGAAGTTTTATGAAATTTAATACACATGCAGAAAGACTATTACTATCTAGGGACGCAATGTGTGTGGATGTGAGTTTGTTAGTTCTTCAAACTAAATGTATAGGATTTAATTATTAGGATAGGACTAAATTTTTACTAAATCTAAGTAAATAATAATATCAAAGCCTAAGAATCATCTCAAAAAATCTAATATTTCAAAAAGTTTATTTCTAAAATCTCAGCGAAAATGATGTTTATATTTTCTTTAGTACGATCAATAGCTATTATCTGGCGATTGACAAGTCGCCCGTTATAAATAAACATATAAAAACTTTGTTGTTAACCTTGAGTAGAAACCTATCAAGTTTGATTTAATTTCAGTATAAAACGCACGTACAATAAACAAATAAAAATAAACAATTAAATCATTTAACTCAAAAACTCTTCCTCTTCGAAAAAGAACAAGTCACTTTCATAACTAAAGTAAACTTGTATAAGTCGTTATGAGTCGTCTATTACGAATTAAAATCCCAAGTCCATATATTAGTCATTAACGAGATATATTTTATTTCTAATATATGTATGTATGTCAACAGCACGAACATTAGCGACACACAATTATACTAACGCTTTATTCGCAATATTAATGTTAACGTCAATGTCTAAATACATTTAAATTAAGCTATAAATATAAATATGTTGGGACATCAACACACAGCACCATCTAGTTTCATGGTAAGGCTTGTGTTATGGATACCTGATAGTTCATACACTACATATATATAACTTTAAATACATACATATTATAAATATAAACATTCATGACTGGAGTACAAAAATTTGTCCTATCACACAAATGAATGCCCCCAGCGGGACTCGAATTCGCGACCGCTGGCACCGCAACTAGGGGTCACTACAAAGCGAGCCAAATGTGTCGTCATGTCGCTATGTATAATAGCTCTGATTCAAAAGTTGTTCATATAATAAAATCGTTAAAATAGAGGTAGAATCGGGTGTGCTCCGTTCAGTATTTGTTGCACACAAATAATAGAGCACTACAAATAAATGACATAGTTAGACATAGTATTCAACACACGAAACGCTTTGTTGTATCAAAACATCACCATTCGAGTTGCTACCAAGCTTCACTGATAATATATTCAGCCCTTTTTAACGTCCCACTGCTGGGCACGGACCTCCCTTCAGTACGAGGGGGGCAGGCCATCGTTCACCAATGCTGGCCTGGCCAAGTGCGGGTTGGCCGACTTCACATGTCTTTCGAAAGGGTTCTCTCAGACATGCAGAGGTTTCCTCACGATGTTTTCCTTCGCCGCAAGGCAAGTGGTAATCATGGTGGAAATGATTCACACATGAAAATATCAGAGGTGCGAGACCCGGGATTTGCACCCGCTCCACAGATTTCCCAAGCGAGCGCGTTACCATCGGGCTACCACTGTCTGTGCCACTGATAATGTAACATTTTAATTAAAGTATAATATATACTACAATATAATAATATTTACCATATCTTCTAAGTGTTAGGGCTTCATGTTTTTCATGAACCTCTTGCAAATAAATCAATGTTTTCGACAATTATTTACTAATGGCCGACTATTACATTTCATAATATATAAAATACTATATCAATTAACTCATTACAACGCCAGTGACATAAGCTATCTATATAACAATAATTGTAAACATTTTCAACAGCAACCTACTTTAAATACTACCACAATATAAAAATCCATACAGGCGATAGCGATTGATTTAAGCGGAAAGCCTGTCAAATGCAAGTGTTGTAAAAAATACCAATTTTCATGGCGAACAATTTCGAAGTTAAAGGGATGTAATGCCACCTCATCATTCGTGACAAGTTACAGGCAGTAGCGGATTTAGGTTCGATGCGCTCTTTTTCTTTCGTAACAGTAAATATAGATTCATTATTTTAACAAAGACATTCTACCCTTGAAATGGTACTATGTTCTGATTGCAAAAGCGCAAGAAAATTAACTTTAAGATATGGTCTTACAGTTTACAGAATACCCAATCGATTTTTAATTTTAGTCGTCTTAAAAATTTTAGCGCCTCTTAAAATTCGCCGCCCTAGGCCCGGGCCTCACGGGCCTAAGCGTAAATCCGCTACTGGTTATAGCTACACCCGTCAACCCTAAAGCAGTTTCCCGACTGTTATATAAAAATGTGTATGACAATCAGGTGCCCCTCATTCACGTCTCTCCCCGAACCTTGCCTAGATACCTTGGTTAAGCGACTGAATGGATTAGTGGACCTATATTATTATAGACCTTATCTATGCGCCTTCGAGCTAAGATGAAGGCCATTTTTAATAAACAAATAAGACTGTGGCCTCGGTTGTGTACACCCACCTGCGGCCCCGGTTGTACAAATTGCGGTTGCGCCCTCGGTTGTCCGGGCGCGGTGCTGTAACCTTCATCACTAGAATACGTCGGTTGGAAGGCGTTGCGCGCGTATCTCGTGCTTATCTTTCGTCCAAATACATCTTCACCGTCCATACGTTTCAACGCTCTATAACAAGACATAATATTATTAAACTTATTTAAATGTAAATTTTTCGAAAAACATATAAAAATTACGTTTATTCGGAAAAGATGAACAGATATAGACAAACTTAAAAATCAAAATTTTACCTAATTACAAATTTGATTGATCCATATCCTTATAACCCTATTCGAGAAACCCGAAATAAATGTATATATGTATAGTATAATGTATATAGTATATACATAAGAATTGCTCATTTACTATTATAAGATAAAACATTTATGTTTTATAGAAACTAATAACTGTCCATAAACACATAGTATGATAAGTACATATTATAAAAGTGTAAACAAATAACTTCTATAAATATGCGTATATCATTTACCTATTGCTTTCAACTTTAGCATCAAAACAGCTGATATATTAGAGAAGTATATATTTGATGACATCCACACTTCAAAAATGAAATATTTTATCAACCTAAGTACACAAAAAACTATTCATACCCAAATACTTGATCACGCACATAAGAATTTATAATATAATTTCCAAATATTTTAACGTCGCATCACAAAATTATTCGGTAAAAAATTCTACTGTAATACGAATATCATAAATTTATAATCAACACCTTTTATCTTTATCATACTTGAAGAAATCTCTTAATTAGATTTTAGACAAATCTAAGCAGAACTTTAGTAAATAAGCACATCGCAAGTGTCGTAATAAAAAGCTTACGTGGCTACTTGCATTGGAACAGAATGAAATGAAATCAAACGGAAAATCATTTAAAATCTTACTTATTACCTACACTGTTTTATCATAATATAACAAGAAAATTGTTACAGTAACGGTTTAGATAAACCTTGTTTACGGTTCACTCGTCACTAAACAGCCTTTGGGTAATGTTCAACGAGCCGTGAATATCGGATTCGTTGATTATGTATAGATAAAAAATATATTTTAGTCTGCTCGTTAAATACAATCACAAACACAAAGTAAAAAGTTTAGAACAATGTAATAATTTACGTAAAGAAAGTTTGGATATGACAATTTAGTGTTTTAATCAATATTTTATAAGACTTAACACCTCCAGGTAAATTTCTAAGAAATTCATTAAAATTCTAAGAAATCTATTGTTAACTGACACGCCGGTGTGTCCGCGGTCGTGGAGGGAATATAGAAAAGGAAAAAAATATGTATTTGCTAAATTACATATTTACATATAGATACGTAAATATTAGTGTAGTCATTGCATTAAATTATGATATAAGCATGCATTTCCGCAGTTTATTCTAGATGTACGTAAGTTTATTCTAGATATAAAATCCACATCCATAACAGCAAAATATATAATTAATTGATTGCAAAGGAAATCAAACGAATTCATTAATAACGATTAAATGTTACAAAATTAACGATTTTAACATTAAAATTATACATTATTTTATAACAAGTATAAAAATATTTGTAAGGAAATACTCAATAATGCACCAAAATCCACAAAATCGTAGCTTAAATACTCAAAATACAATACTTTAAAATGATACTTCAAGTTTAAGGTTTGAACACGTTACTCAACTTCTATTGTATGGACTTAATAAGAACCTTACCCGCTTAGTAACATTTTGTGCTTTTTCGCTTTATATCAGGACGCCTTCATTAATTGGAACCGAACACACAATAAATACATAAAATTTATATAAAATAAGTTATTATTAAATAATTTCATTAAAATATCTATATATATAAAAAAAACTGTGTTCCTGTTTGCGCCTGGCGATGCAATGGCCGATCTCATATGATTCATTCATATATCTCAGATTTTATTTAAGAGGGTAAGTATAAAAAAATAAAGTTTAACGGAACTTGTATCATACCAGCGAATTTTTATTATATTTTGGCCTATTTTTTTTTTATGCTTTGTCAATATTTTGTGTATCCAACAAACACGTTTATTGGAAAAATATGAATGAAAAAATACACAACTTAAGTATTCTTTAAATAGCGAATGAAGAAAAAAATGTAAAAATCTTTTAAAGAAAGAAAAATATCCGAAGATGATATGGATTTTCTTTATATTATTGAAAACGATCTCAAACAATGTTCTGTTCTTTATCATAAATTATTATGCGAAAGAGACGTAAAATCAACTTGTCTGGCCCCTGCATAATATGAGAACGATTGGATGTCGAACTACCTCCTAAAAAAAATTATAGTCAGCTGATCTAAGTTCATTGACCTATTCATAGTGTAAGAGCAGAAATTGAGATATTGACACGTCATTGTAAAATAGCCATATTTAAATCACTATAAATGCAGAATGCATTTTTATTATTTTAAATTTTGAAATTTGTAAAATTTAGCTATTAAATTAGGCAAAATCCTAAGATAAAATAAAAATTAATTTTCATAATACGGTAAATATAAGGTATAAGGTATAAACGGAATATAGTACGGATTTATATGAATTGTGGGCAGTCACAACACGTGCTTATCTTGAATAACCGTTATTATATAAATACGAGTATATACGCATCGAACGGTTATGCAAATATTTATTCTAAAAATCATCCTTCAAATAATAAACATATCGTTATAAAACTATTTAGTCTAAATACTCTACAGACAAAGAAGTTATTAGGACTTTTAAGTAATTTAGAGCTGCTACTAAAAACCACTAGGGAAATGTCTATACTATATTGGAATACTAACGTTATTTGCATCATATACACAATATGTAAATATATTGCAAAGTAATTAATTTTACTAACCACAATATTTACATGATTGGAATATTCTAAGAAACTCAGGCCAATAATTTTTTTGTGTTCTGAGGTTATTTTAAGAGGTATTTTAAATAAAACTATATTTTCCAGTTTTTTTGCAGATTTATTTTGATTGGTCTGTCCCGTGACCACGATTGCTGTTAAGCATTCGAACGTCGGGAACCAAAAATCAACATAAATGCGAAAAAAGTCGAAAAAATATTTTATTTAAAATGTCAAATATTCTCATATTAGTAAATCTAAAAAAGGATTAAGTAGATATATATCTATACTTAATACTATAAATGTTAAAGTGTGTTTGTTTGTTTGTTTGTTTGTTTGTCCTTCTTTCACGTTGAAACGGAGCGACGGATCGACGTGATTTTTTGTGTGGAAATAGTTGGAGGGCTGGAGAGTGACATTTAAGATACTTTTTATCGCGGGAAAACACGTTTTAGTACAACTTGAAAAATTGTTTACATTTTTTTATTTTTATATTGTTTATAATTAAAATTGTTACTCGATAAATTCGAAATTCATCCCATAGGGGGGTAAAATAGGGAATGAAAGTTTGTATGAAACCTAGCTTTTTAGTTTTTTTTTGTAGTTTTAGCGCGAGAGAAACCGCGGGTTCTGCTAGTAGTAAATAAATTTTCATCTGTGATCTAAAAGTCCCGTTAAAACTAACAAATGTATGTGTGTCAAAAGATTCAAACTGGTGTTCTACTTAAAGATTTCGAACTTTCACTTTTTCGACGTTACAATGTGTTTGATACATGGTCTTTAGTCTTTAACAGTATTGTCAAGTTATATAATAGAAGCGACATATGAGATAGAATAGTGCGATAACACAACTATTATGCAATTAGTATGTATCTATATTTTTTTAAATGGTCCTTATAACCCTTATTCTTCTAATAAAATATAGTATTTTCAATATTAAATTAAGAAAAACTGTCATTAAAATATTCGTATATAATATTCGTTAAAAAGTTAATAAACATGTACATAATTAACTGTTTGGCCTACAAATGCTTCTGACGATTTATACTTTAATTTTGTTTACTTAGTCCCGACAATTTTAGAAGAACAACAATAATATACATATTTTAAATATATGTATATTAATAATTGAAACCGAAATTACAGAAACATACAGACAGACTTAGACGTAAAACTGATAATACCTATTGTTTTTCATAAAGGGAAGACGTAGGATGGTAAAAAATACTTATTTAAATCGGCTTACAATCGGCTAGTGTAACACACAAATAAGGATCAAATACCTCCTTCCTCCTTCTAACCGACTTTAATACATGGCATGGGTTCGGAGACGCGACATTGCCAGCTTAATTTAGCCATAAAATGCAAAGGTTAACTGAGGAAGTTCTTTTCCAAACTTGACTATTCCACTTTTTGTGTTTTTTCCACAATCTGAGAAAATAGTTTTGTAGGTATGCGGCTATGTTTTCAACCTGTTATTTTGATGCATTATTGTAGACGACAACAATGGTCATTGCTTTGTATAGGATTCAAAAATTTAGCAATAATATGTTTTGAATAAATCCAAAATTTGAAATGGAATAATCTAGTTTTGATGCGGCTGATTGGAATAAACAAGTTTTGTTATATACTCTAGAGGAATAATCATTTTTTTATTCAAACCACTGTGGATTAATATTGTTTTGGTGAAATTAATCAGGTATCAGAAATCTCTTAGCTGCCTCGGTGGTGTAGTGGCTAGCATGTACGGCTGCACACCCAGAGGTCCTTGGATCGAGTCCCTCGAGTTTTTCTGTATAGTAAGACTCAGTAACAGCCCGGAGTTGGGAAGTCGGCGGTGTTTCACCCCCGTGCCGAGGCAGAGCACGTAAAGCCGTCGGTCCTGCGCCGACACTCTCACCGCGAGTGTCTCGTGTCCCACCGGAGTGTGAGAGTGACGCGAATAGAGAGTGCACGTTGTGTCTGCGCGTACACTAGTGCACTATAATATCTCCTGCGCAGTTGGCTAGTCTCAAGGAGATTGGCCGCCGTGGCCGGTATCGGTCAGGAGAACATGATCAGAAATCTCATTTTTCATAAAGGATTTTGGTATCTTTTATTTTGTTGCAATTTAGATTAAAATGGTTAAATAACTTCTGGATTAATCATATTTTGTTCCAAAAATGCGTATTTGAAATGGGTAATGTCATGTTGACGTGGAATAATCTATTTTTGACGAAATCGTGCCTTTTAATCTTTTTTTTCTGGTGTAAATATCAAGTTTTGGGCCAATTTTATTATTGCGAAATGTAAATTTGAATGTTACCAAACAAAAACACAATATAAGTTTCATCAAAACTGGAATAGTCAAGTTTTGATAAGAAGCTCCTCAACTATAATATTTAAAAATTGTTTTTACCTCACATATTTCTTTCATACCAAAAATAATAACATACATATTTCTCCTACTTTATTATTTACTTTATGTGATCCACAAACAGGTCGGCCATAGCAATAGTATAATAAAGGAATTTATAAACTAACCTAGAAGCATGATCAGGTGTAGGAAACCGAAGCATGGCCGTGGAAGCGGTCACACGGAGGACTTTCCCTCCACAGTTATCTGCCAGTCTTCGAAGTCTCCTAGACACTCTCTCCGGTGGCTGGTCAAGTGGGAGATTTGCTACTTCCATCTCACATGTTGGCTCTTCTTCTTCAGTTTGACTTATCTATTAAAAGAAATGATTACTATGGTATGGTATGGTATGTTCGGGTTGTTTTCCGCAACTCGACGACTATGCGCCTATTTTGCGTGAAATGATTACTATTTATCATAATATTAGTGGTCCCGGTAAGCAGATTTCGAAATTTGTGTTCATGTTTTTCAAAATCCGAAGAAAAAAATTATCTCGATCACAGCATCTTTTACAGGGGTGACTCTAGCTAACAATCATCGCAGTTACCATATGAGTATACAAAAAAATCAACAAATCGGTCAAGCCATTGGGGAAGAAGAATTATGAAAACACTAGTGGCTCACCTTGGGTCCCCTCTAGAAAAACAAATCTATCCCGCGGGAACCGTATATTTTTCTGGGATAAAAATTAGCCTATGTGTTATATACATTCTAACAAACTTTCACGTTTATAATATTAGTAGGATGCAGACCTGAAGTTTTTATACAAAAATGTTTATATGTCTATATATATATATATATATATATATATATATATATATATATATATATATATATATATATATATATATATATATATATATATATATATATATATATATATATATATATATATATAAACTATTTGAGACAGTGGCACTCAGATATAAAGATATTACAAGTTTAATTATAGCACAGGGTAAGAAATCAATGAGGAACCACTAAACTAAGGTTTGCCATATATCAACAATATATACAAAAGAAATGAAGTACTCATGACAAAAATGTATTTGAATCAATTTTACTTTACAAAATACAAATTGATAAATTCATAGTGTTATGGAAAATTTCATGAATGTATGTATGGACCTAAAGTTTGAGTAGCACTGTACCAAAAAACAATGTCAAGCTTACGAGAGATAGATTTTTTTGGTTATATGTAAAATTAGTATAAAGTTGGTTTAACTGCAAATTATCAAAAAAATATATAATGAAGTAATTTTTAAAATGACACATATTTCAAATAACGAAATTGTTTTACTACAGTACTTCATAGTAAACATTTTGCCTTCATCACCTTTAATATCATAAGGTGTTGAATCAAATAGGACTTTACATATTGAAAAAACGTTTAATCCGTTAGCAGTCTTATGAACTCAATAATGAGATAAGAAGTGTCAAAGTTAATACATAAAAATAACATTTGAAAACTGTTTACAAAATTTTATAGTAAAGCATGTCAATATAAGATTACAAAATTAGATTAATTGTTATATTTTATTATCACTGCATTATTGGTCAAGTTTTTTAACTAATGGCCAAGTTGATTGGTCAAGTTTTTTAACTAGTGGCCTTCTATTAAGATTAAATATGAAACATTATTTTTACACAAAGTTTATTTTATTATTTTATGTAATTAACAAACTGTTTATTTAAAGTTTATCTAGCTATTCAAAGTCGTATTGTTATATTGACGTTATCTTCCTTAATCTTGAGTACATACAATACTAAATTACTTGAATCATAAGAGCTTTTAAAATGATGAATCAAGTCAATTGAATTACATATATAATTTATGAAAAATTGTTTATGATACAATATGATATTAATGATATAGAATACCAAAGGTTACCTTGGGATTCCTCGGAAGATGTGCAGTCAATTCATTATAACAGTAATGTGATGAGGCACAGGCTATTAAGGCAGATGAAGTATTCTGTTTATGCACCAATATCACTTCCATATTTTTCCTAATTGAGTAACAAAATATTTAAAATAAAGAATAAATTTGATTTGAAGAAAATATATATTCTATATCAATTAATAAGAAGTGAAAATTAAAGCTTTACATCCACATGATATTTAAATTTTAATTAATTATTAGCATTATTTACTGACCTATGTCTAAAATCACTTAAATCAGCTGCAAAATTAATATCCCCAGAGATTAACAACAAGGATGCAGGTGCTGAATGTAATTCACCAAACCTCCTCATACATTGTCTCAGTTTTTCATCTGCTGCATTCTTTTGAGTTCCACATACGTGAATTAAACTAACCTATTGACAATAACAATCACATATATAAATCACAGAGTAGAAACTATAAGCTATTAATATTTTTAACTGAATTGTTTAAATTATATTATAAGCATAGACTGTAGTAAAAATAGTTAAGAAAACTGATTCACACAAAATATCAACTTACTTGAGCATCATTAAGTTCTTGCAGTCTGTTTGGTGATTCCTTTCTTACATCACAAACAACCACAAAGTCCGCCTCTCTTCTACCAGTAAGAAACTTAGCTCGAATAGCTGCAACTACATCTATCGCAGAACATCCTCTAGGTACCTAATAATAAATGTTCTTATTAATGTTACTGTATCTTTTGTATAAGAAAATAATGTATTAAATTGACATACCTGACAGTTCTCAATATCCCAAAAGATTCCAACAGGAATTGAAACAGCTGTACGTTGCTTGTGATGTCGAAATCTAGATCTAACCCTCGTCCTCTCCACAGGTAAAGCCCCATCGTCTCTTACACTACCACTCATTTCGTCAGACGACTCATCTTCAACGTCTAACAAGATGACAATATTCATATTACATTTGTGCAACAGATTATATTATTTTCATATTACTTTTGTGGAGCAATTTATATTATAACTCTTAACTTATCACTAATAACTTGTTTAAATTATGAAGTACACTATAAACATATGTTCATTGCATAATAATACAGACCTGTAATCCACAGACGAGGGGGCATTGGTATTTTAATAGCTGAATTAGACATACTAACAGCTAAACCTTGAGCTGAATGACATCTCTTGCTTTTAAAGGTTTTCACACAATTATCAGGGCTTGATATTAAATTCATCGTACTCATTAATAAATAACACGACTATCATAAAATATTTCCTACATAGATGTGAACAAAAGCCACAATCAAAATTAGGCCACTTGCGCCCTGAATAACAATACGAACAATAAGTACGGAAGAAACAGTAATACTAAATACACTACATAAATTGCTTAAATCGTATGGATTTGCGTCTAACAAAACAATTATATACAAAATGTAAAAACAAATTTACACTTCGCTACGCCATTTCCACTATCCACATTCCACAGACTAAAAGTTTGAACATTACAAAATACAAAACAAAGGGTCAACCATCTACGACAACAGTCTGTATTTTATCTATGATGTAAATGTGTAGTCACATTTTTGCCTAGTTTTTTTTTAAACATAAATTTATGTGTAATAAATAAAATATTTTTTACTATCATTTTTCTCTTATATTTACAAGAAACATGAACACTAAGTAATAATTATTAACGTGCAAGTTATACATATAGTACAACGTCGCTCATAAATTTTTATTATTCATTAATAAGTATACAATCTACAATTCTTCAAAGTGATTATTTTATTTAGAGGCACAAAAAATTAGATAGCTTTTAAAAATATCTACTGGCTAAATAGAAATGAATGGGCTAAATACCAGTGAATCGAATAAAGCTTAATTGATATGTAATAAGGAAGTCACGCTGAAAATGGACACTTAAAATTTGCTTTTGTGGTACAAAAGATAAATTGAAACATTCATAGACCATAGGAGGGAAAATTTTTACTCTATGCATAAAACGCAATACAATCTATGGTGAATATGATTATGACGTTTGTCATTACTCATTTCCGAACCGAAATCCGAATACTGTTTGGCTGTCAATTACAGTGATCTTGCATTTACAAATATCTACTTCTAGAATTTTGTACGAATTGTGACCATAATCATACAGTGACAAACAATAATCAAAAAGTAAACTTATTATTGAATAAGAAATAAAACAAATTTGAGTGAAGCCAGTCCTTAGTACTAGACTAACATTGCAATTACCTTTCAGGCAGCAAGATGACTACGAACGGTGATATAGGAAGCTTGGATGCTAGCGGTAAAATAGTTAAAATGGAAGTATGTTTTTTTATAAACTGTTTCTACTATCGCTAATATTATTTCACAAAAAATATATATTTATGAATATATTTCTTTGATAGGTGGATTATAGTGCCACTTGTGATGAGAAGATTCCTCTGTGGAAGTCCTGGGCTGCCAGTGGTAAAGTTCAAGAAGCGATAGATCAGCTGTTAGCTCTAGAGAAGCAAACCAGAACAGTAAGTGAATGATGAATAATTGGTTATGTTGTGGAGATTTACATATAAAAAAAACGTAATAATTCTAATAATTTTTTTTTAATTTTACTCAGGGTGCAGATATGGCTTCTACTGCTAGGATCTTAGTAACTATTGTCCAAATATGCTATGAAGCAAAAAATTGGACAGCCCTTAATGACCATATTGTTCTTCTATCAAAGAGAAGGTAAATATGTTGTTATAATTATATTGTGTATGTTGTATATTAAGAGTAAGAGATTCTAAAATCTATTTCTAATTCTAGGTCACAGCTAAAGCAGGCAGTTGTGAAAATGGTCCAAGAATGCTGTACCTATATTGATAAAACACCTGATAAAGAGACTAAAATAAAACTCATTGAGACACTTAGATCAATAACTGAAGGTAAAATTTATGTTGAAGTTGAAAGAGCAAGACTCACTCACATACTAGCTAAGATCCGTGAAGAAGAAGATAATGTTGCTGAAGCAGCTAAAATTATTCAGGAGTTACAAGTCGAAACATATGGTTCCATGGATAAGAGGGAGAAAGTTGAACTGATTTTAGAACAAATGAGACTCTGTCTAGCTATCAAGGATTATATTAGAACTCAAATCATATCTAAGAAGATCAATACTAAGTTCTTTGAAGAGGATGATACACAAGTAAGATTTTTTTATGTTAAAAATTCAATAAATAAATAATTTAATAATTTATTTTTAAAAACATTTTATATTAAAAACATGATTAACTAACTAATAATTTTTCAGGTATTAAAAGAGAAGTTCTACAGATTAATGATAGCAGTAGATCAGCACAATGGTCAATATTTAGCTGTCTGCCGTCACTTTAGAGCCCTCGGGCAACTTGGTGGCTCTGATGCCCTTGTTGGTAGTGTGATCTTCCTTATCCTGGCCCCATATGACAATGAACAGGCAGACTTGACCCATAGATTGAATGAGGATAAAGATTTGGATAAATTACCTGAATACAAGTAAGACATTAAAACAAGTGTTTATATAATTAATCTTAAGTGTGTTTTGGTTTTTAATAATATTACTTAGTCTGTTCATCAAAAAGTTTCTCAAACTTATTCACTTATAATCTGATTTTAAACATATGTATAACATAACATAATTTTACTTGTTACAGACAATTATTAGGTCTATTCATAACACCTGAGATCATAAGATGGAGTACTCTTTGTTCTACATATGAAAAGATGTTGAAAAAGACTCCATACTTCAACACTTCAGATGAAAAAGGACAGGAACGTTGGAATGATCTTAAAAACAGAGTGGTAGAACATGTAAGTGTACAAATAATCTCCTACAAAAATTTTAAATTTAAAATTTATAAAAAAAGAATTTATAAAAATGGTACAGCAACTCTAGTCTCTTAGGGATGAAATCTTTTTCTGAAATTTATTTGACCCAAGCATAAGACTCAGGTATGATTTTATTAAACAAATGTTTTTCCATGATGTTGAAATTGTTGATTAATGTATAATCATTAATAATGAATGGCTGGAAAGTGGTTTTAGGGATCTTAATCCCTACATAGGTCAATAAAGGCCCTATAATAGGTTTGCTCAGTGACATAAAAAGGCTGCTAGTTACTTATAATACAGTGTACTAATCCATATAGTTTTCAAAGGAAGGCATCTAAACAGGGCAACAAAGAGAGGTGTAGGCGAGGACACTGTCATACGTACATATATATAACAGGAAACAATTTAAGGGTTAAAGGGTATAACTGTAGCTTGCCCTCATTTGCCAAGTTTTTTTTGTTGGCCGCGAGCTCTCTCGAATGCTCGAATTTGCCACAGATTAGCCATGAAAATCGGTATTTTTGTAGATGATGTTTGACAAGATTTTCATTAAAATCAAATTTGATAACATACCATACAGATTTTCTTTTTGCTTTGCTTATATTGTCAATATCACCCTCAATTGCACACTGGAAGATGACTATGTCCAACAGTGGACTGAAAGAGGCTGATGATGATAATTTATTTAGACCATATTATACAAAGTAGAAAATTATAAGAAATATCGTGTACAGATTTTATGAATTTTAATATAATATAATTATTCTATTATATTTTTGGCTCATTTTGACGTTAGTGCCGCTAAGGGCATTCATTTATGTGATGAGCACGAATGTTTGTACTCCAATCATGGGTGTTTAATGTTAATATTTATGTATTTAAAGTTATATATGTGTAGTGTATCAACTATCTGGTATCCATAACATAAGCCTTGTAGCTCACCATGGAATTAGATGGCGCTGTGTGTTAATGTCCCAAAATGTTTATTTATTTTTCAGAATATCCGCATAATGTCAATGTACTACACACGTATCACGCTGCAACGCATGAGCGAGCTGCTCGGGCTCAGCGTGACGGAGACGGAGGACGCTCTCAGCCAGCTGGTGGTCAGCGGAGTGGTGCGAGCCAAGATAGACCGTCCTGCTGGTGTTGTGCACTTCAGGTGAACTTGCTTATCTTTTAAATATTAGTATCTTTTCCAATTTTTTCCAGGATACTTTAAATCTCTGTGCATGTTTATGATTACTGTAAAGCATCCAAAATGTGGGAGACTAAAACTATCATCAATATAATTATTATGTATTCACTGTTCAGCCGTTTTAATGTGAAGGAAGTGTAATGTATGTTACAAATATATACATACAAACTTTAGCATTTAAATATTTTTTTATTTATTGAAATTTCAGTACATATATAGCGAAAACAGTTAAAAACGATAATAATTGCAGAAGTTAGGAACTGTGCCGAAATTATTAAAGCCCTCCACCAGTAAAATTACAGAAAAAAATATGTACATACATTCAAAAACTAATCAAAAATAACATTTATAAAAACAAAAATGTAAACAAACTTTTTAGGTAAATTAAATAATCTTACAAAAAAATTAATTATTTTAAGTAAAGCAAAAAAGGAATAATAATTAATGCTAATATTGCAAGGCATTATTACCTCGTCTGTCGATCGACCTTTTAAAGGTCGATGTCAAAAATACCCCTGTCTGTCAAGCGACCTTTTAAAGGTCGATTGGTCCCGATGTCATTTAATGTGTGATTTCTCGCATTTAAACTATATTTATTTTTATCTAACTTTTGTAACGTGTAAAGAAAAATACAAGCAATAATATCATACTACATGTCAAAAAAGTAATAATTCCAATAACATAAATTTTTGTAATTTGTGCAGACAATTTATTTAAATTTTGGCGATCTTTGAACTCAATACTTGTGAGTAAAAAATTAACAAAATAGTGTAAAATTATTAGTATAAGGATTGGAATATGATGGAAGGGTAAGTAATTAACAGTTTTTATTTCATAGGATGTGTATTGAATAGAGATTTTATACAGAAATTATTATATTTGTCAAACATCGTAAGCATTCACGCGCGGTAAGTCCTTATATTTTCACTTTTTCTGAATAAAAAATACACTAGTGATAGCATAATATTTTTATTAACATGATTTAAATTTGTAACTAAATAAGTACGTAAAATTGAATTTGTAAATTTTCTATTAGATTTTAAGTAATGAATAATATAATAACACGTAACCCAAATTCGAGCCGCCATTTTTGACGGCTGTTGGATAGTATGGGGAAGGCTATTTTAATATTCATTAGAATATTTTCATTGATGTTTTTTAGCATTATTTGAAATTTAATATTTTATAAATATTTTAACTGTTTTTCTAAAAACAAATGAATTTTGTTAAACAGTACGATTTTCATTTTACAGATATAAGTTCAACTTACACATTACTTTAAAACATTATAAATATAAAAAAACCTAACTGCATAAAAGCTAACTAACAAGATAAAAACAAGTTGACGAAGGATTAAAGTATTATGCAGTTGGTGACATACACATGTACATCTCGCGACAAGGATGAAATGTATTTTTTTATTTACAGCTTTTTAATTTTATTAGAAATTTGAAGTTATAATAGGTCTTTTGAAATTGCCGTTCTACAATACTTACTGGCCATTGGAAACGTAATTTATGATCGGCCGGCAATAAATTCTAAATTCAAATGAATTTTATTTTAAAAGTATGGAGTTCTATTTTTGAATTCAGTCGTTTGTTTATTAATTAGTGTTTTGTTTTCACTACATTTATTTGTTTTTCATCAATATAAACACAATAAAAATACGAGTATGTGGAAGCTGACGATACTCAATCTGTGGCTGAGATAGCAGCAGCTTTCAACGTTAGCATCAAAACAATATTGGTCCATTTGCATCAAATTGCATCAATAGCATGGGTGCATATTTTGATTAATAGAAATGAAAAATATTTATAAAAATACAATACTTTAACTTTCTGTATATAAAACGACAATTTCATAGGTAAAGACTTAATATTTAGCAATTTCTAAGTAAAGTTAGCTTGTAAGTTGTATTCTCTTAATTTTTTTTGTGATCACCAAAAATCTTTATTTTGAGACCCCATTCGATTGATTTGGAAGATTTTTTTACAGACACAAATTAGCGCCTGATATCCGCTATTTTACTTTTTAACTATTTTTAATTTTTAACTATAACGCGAGTATTATAGGCTATATATAGCTTATGACACTCGCGTAAATACGAAACTAACAACTTATGAATCATAGAAATCGGCCCACGCGTTTGGTCTCTAGAGAGTCATACATACATATGTACATACATACATACATAGACTGATAAACACATTACCCTGCTTTGCGTCGCGCAGTCGGGTAAAAAATAAGTTTATTTGCATCTCTTAAACTAGTATCATGTTGCATTTTATGTTTATTGTAGCTGCACCAAAATTGCTTAAAACATGCCTTATTAGATTACAATATTATGATCGGAGGGTGAACAAGAAACACCAATTGTAGGCAATGTATAGAGCGGAAGCGAACAAGGGTGTAGTATAAAAAACTATTTATTTTAAAAAAAACCGACTTCCAGGCACTAAAATGTAAAACATAACTAAACGGAGGTTTTCATTTAGAATAGATACCTAATCAGATATTTTCGAAGTCGGTGCCAGCCGACAATATTTTAAGATATGAATATCTAATACGTAAATATGAATTTTATGTATCGAAATATATTAGATTTGCTTTGCATCGGCTGGAACTGACTTCGAAAATATCTGATTTATATATTATACTCGTACCACGCCATTGTTCGTTTCGACGACGTGACTCAACATCGAAGACGTGGTGAACATTATATGGGTGGTTAGTATAGTTACGTATGTATCTTTACTTACTACTTAATTAGTATTTGTTGCTTTTAGGATAGGTGTTCATTTTTTTTTTCATTTAAAAAAAATATGTATAAAAACTTCTACCTGCAAGCAATATTCATTAAAAAGTGCCCTTTACCTAACAAAAGGCGTCCAAAATTTTCAATTTCAGATTTAAAATATCTGTGAGTACTAATTACAAAGTTTTTATACTCTACTATATTTTTTTTACTACTATAACTATAGAGTCCATCAAATACTCAATACAGTAACTGGCACAATACTTCAATCTTATAAAATATAAATGAATAATTTAAAAGTAACCCCGACATGTAATTCACCATTTTGTGGTAGCGACCATCTTGGATTCGAAAATTATACTAGTCAAGCCTTTCATTCATTTGATACCCATATTGAGGGAGTAGTGAAAAAATATGTAATCCGCTATTTTGTGGCGGCGGCCATCTTGGACCGATTTTCATCAAACATAGGTAAGAACACTTCCGAATAATTCACCTTTCAAAGAAAAAATAAAATCGGGTCATCTCTTTGGGAGCTACTATGCCACAGACAGACACACATACACAGCACGTCAAACTTATAACTCCCCGTCGTTTTTGCGTCGGAGGTTAAAAACTGTAGAATAAAAATAATTCCTGTCCGAATTAATATTTGAAGTTGTTTTATTTTGTATTGATGTTTTTATTATCATTTTATTACCTTATCATAATCTGTTCAGATGTGATGGAATGGGTCGTATCCATACTTTTTTAGCTGCCCCTTGTAATTCTTATAGTGAAATTGTTAGTTTTCAGAATTGATTTCTGAAATATTCTAATAAGGCAACATGTATTTTTATTATATTTTTCTAATTTTAAATATCACTAAAATGTAAGATGTTAATATATTTTAATGAAATTTTAAACAGAATTTGCTCAGCGATCCAAAGTTCGAGATGACGTTTTTTAGCACTTATTTTAAAGTGTTTGGTTTATTGTTTAATTCTCGTAAACTAAATAGTTATAAGAACTCAAACTACGTCAGTATTACGTATGTGGACTAAACTATAATATAAATGATTATCCTAAATCTCTCGATCTTCAATGCTCTCAGAATTAAAGTATAAAAAATACCTCTTTTTTATCCAGCGCTAAGTCGCTATGATTGAGACATGTTATTGTAAAAGCTTGTGGTATAAAAAAAATGTACAGTGAGTTGTGTTGTTTTAATCAATTAATATAAAATATTGTATCTATTATTAAATGAAATAATAACTTTTTTAAATAATAGTTCTATTTTGTAATAATTCCTGTTTTCATACTATAACTGATAAAAAATCACTTACAGTAATTTCAACTTAGAATTAACTATATATTATTAAATATAATTGAACTCATTTATATATATATTCGTAGTTTATTTTAAAACGATTCTAACGATATAACCTTTATATATAGCTTATATATAAAATTTTAAGAAATATTGTTATTTTAATGATGCGTACATATATCGCGCAGGCCCTCGGAAAGTAGCTGACAGATGCGCCATATTCTTGTAAAATGACAGCGACAGTTGAGGGGTTATAGTCTGATTTTTAATTCCATGGAAATATGACAGCTGTCATTCTTTGACAATTCAGATATCATAAACCTTTTCTGCTTTGTATTTTTTTAATATAAAATAACAAAAAATATGAAACAGAATTAGATCAAGTAAACTATATGTATGACATTGTAAATAGTCTTTATTTTGTGCAATCAATGCACGCTAACTATAATGTAATTTTTTTTAATGGTTAAATGAAAAAAAACGGGGTAAAAGAAAATATAAGAAATGAAAATATTTACTAATCATTATTACTCATATCATCCTTATCGTCATCATCCACTCGGATTATAAAAGAATCACTCACACTATCCATCAGATCATTAAGAGGGCACATTTTATACTTTTCTTTTATAATATGGTTTATGCATTCTTGCCAAAAACAATAATAAAAAACCGTGAACAATCGTTGTGGACCTGTCTTTTTGGTACTTTCCAATTCTTTTTGCCAATTGCAAAGATTTCACAAACAAAGGGGTTTTTCTAAAAAAAGGCTTGCAACCTTTGTATTATTGAACTGGGATTCCTGTAATAGAAAAATAATTTCCTTAATAATTATTCTAATTTCGATTTAAATATGATAATAAAAAAATAATTACCATTTTAGAGCTACCAATAATTTTTAAGTCTTAGTTTTTCTAATTGAAACCTTAAATTCAAGAAAGGTTTATTTTTTTATTTTGCTAAAATGCTTTCCGTTTTTAGTGACAATGTTTCAAAGCTGACAACATTTCTGAAATGTCAGAATTCCGCTGAATTAAAAATCAGACTATACATTAATTCAATAGGGAGATAATTGATATGTAGTGAACGGGTCAGTGTGGATTGTGTGAGTAAGAGTGTGAATGTTATGTTTTGAGGACGACACATTTGGCTCAGTATGTAGTGACCCTACTTGCTGCGCCAGCGGTCGCGGGTTCGAGTCCCGCTGGGGGTATTCATTTGTGTGATGAGCACGAATGTTTGTACTCCAGTCATGGGTGTTTATATTTATAATATGTATGTATTTAAAGTTATATATGTATAATGTATCAACTATCTGGTATCCATAACACAAGCCTCGTAGCTTACCATGGAACTAGATAGGTGCTGTGTGTTAATGTCCTGACATATTTATTTATTTATGTATGTGTGAATGTATATGTGCGTGTTATTTTGTTAAATTCTCTGTCTGATCACAATTTAAGGTTAGAAGCCAATTTGTAAGTTTTATCTTACATTGTAGTTTGATTTATTACCAACTCTGGTTATATGAGAGTTTTCTCTCAGATTATGTGACTCTGATAGAATCTAACTAGTTTTTAAAGACATGAGTCTTCCAATCCGCGATTCTGCCGTCATAAACAAAGTAGGCCGCAACTTCGTCAAAGTTGATTTCGCGATATTTGAAGTTTTGTCTTAGTACTTAGTAGTAGTTTTGACGTAGGTACGTTGAAAATGGTTATGGTATCTCCGGATTCGTAAGACTTAGAGCTTTATGAGTAAGACTATCAAATAGTATTTTTTTTGCTGATTCTGAATCTGTATTTAAGTCATTTTTGACCAAATTGTTAGTTACGGCCTTATGACAATCCAATGTTGTCCTTGGGAGTGGGGTTCCCTCTGGGTTTGTAATGAAACTCCAGTGATTGGATTGTGGTTAAAAATTTATTTCGCTCAACACTATTTATACAAATCATCTAAACCAAACGATAGAGCGTTTTAGAAGACCCCTCATGCCATTTATTACAAATATATGTACAACCCCAATATATTTAAATTTTGAACATAGAATGTACTTTATACTATGCCAATACTAACTTATCATATAGAAACTTATACACCTTCTTTATTATGACGGCAGAATTGGCGTGCCAGCTTGGTGGACTATAGTCTGATTATCCTCATTAAAGAAGGCCCGTGTGCTCAGCAGTGGGGCATTAAAAAGTGCTAAATACATATAAGAATAACATCAAATATTTTTTTCCAGACTGAACATGGATTCCTCTGACCGTCTGAACGAATGGTCAAGCAACTTGAACACTTTGATGCAGCTCGTCAACAAAACAACACATCTCATCAACAAGGAGGAATGTGTACACAAACATTTGTTGGCTACCGCTGAGTAAATTTATAATACTATTATTTTAATTTCAACACCATTTTTATTGTAATGGATCATACAATTGAGTTGTAATTTCCTTATCTAAATTGGTAAATAAATTATAAGACTTTATAGTTTTTTTTATTATATGTACTACATTTTAATACTGAGGATTTTGATTTCATAAAAATAACAATGTAACTTATATATATATATATATATAACATACATTGTTATATATATATATATATATAAGTTATGTATATATATATATATATATATATATAATTAAAATTTAAAAATATTGATTAAAGGCATGGACATATTTTTTATACAATTTGAAAGCAAAAAAAAATGTATAATAACCTTGAATAACTTTAAATTAAAGGCGCTTTGCTTTTGAATGGTAATATGAATTCCAGATGACCTAATACTATACTGTCCTTCCCATACAAAAAATTGGATAGCGCTAATTCGGTTTATGTTTGTTTCCATAAATAGGTAATAGATGTCGTTGATCTGCACACTGTCTAACTAATTCATTTTAAAAATATGTATAAAGTAAATAAACCGTAAAATTACGCAAATTTTATTCACTAGCGCATTATTTCTTCATAATAATTAACTTGGAGATTTTGTTAAATCATATTTGGGAATTATATAAATAAGAGAAAAATATCTTTTATATTTTAATTTTTATATAAACTAGTTACATATTATATTGTAAATTATAATGCAACATATAATGCCATCTATTGACATTTATTTTAACTATTTATTCTTTGTTCCTGATGAGATCGCATGGATGAATAATTTGAATAAAGAATGCCAATTAAAATCACAGATTATAACTATACAGTACCTATAGTGCAGACTTTAAAACTACTTCCAGTTTTCTGCGCATGTCCGAGAATTAAGCTTAACCTTTCAAGTGTCTGGAAATGAAATTTTTTGTTGTCATCAAAATAATATTAACGTATTCACGCTTTTGATAATATTCTTTTAATATTTTGACACATTGAGCACTATATGTTACGACCGCCATCGGTCGTCGATTTTTTACGATATTCTTAAGCCTCACTCTTTCTCCTAAGCAGTTTTTTGTTTTTATAAAATAAATCCTATAAGCAAAATATTATACTTCAATCAGTTGATAAATAATTATAATAAAAAAACAAATTGTCCAGGCGTGTTACTAAGTTAAACAATTTATTTACTTGAAACTGATAAGATAGTGAATGTTTTGGATTATATGTTTCCAAATCTTTAGGGATGCATCTCAAGTAATTTTAATTCATCAGAATCGGTGATTTTAATTTGCTGAGACATTTAAATATTTTTAGGGTTCCGTATCACTTCGTTGCACGATAAAAAATATTGCTATTAATGGCGCGCATAAGGATTTTTATCTACGTCATAGTTTTATTAAATAAAAATATATATATGTAATATTAAAAATATTATACCTATCTTTTCTATTGTTGAATATTTAATACTCAACAATTATAGATCAGAAAACTTATATGTATGTACTTCTATGATATTCTAAATAGTTGTTTTAATTCGCTATTAGTTATTGTAAACATGCACATTGCATTGACATATTTCTATGAAACCCTACATTTCACACTTCTATGAAATTCGTTACTTTATCGGTAGCCATTTGCTGTCGCAATATAGCCGCCTTTTTCTAATTAATATTGTATTGTAAATTAAATATAGAGACAACCCTACCAAAAGCGTTCTTTAACTGCCCGACACGGTAACGGTACGATAAGTTGGTGCCAAGGCAACTTACTAATATACATAAATATAATCGTTCTATAATGAATAGAATTAGGTATAGGTGCTATAAGTTTTTATCTCGCTCGTCGAAGGACACTTCGTCAGTCTTTTAAACAATTGTCTCCTAAATTTTCATAAATACTATAAACTATACTTAGGTACTTGTTATGTCTATATAGGACCTTTACTGGCAGGAAGAGACTTCCACCGGATGTGGCTTAATCTGAATTTGAAGTGTTTTTTTTTATTCCGGAGAAAGAATTCGAGGGTTCCGAATTCGATTCCGATATATCATCACAACATATTGCTTTATACATTTCTGTGCTCCGATAGCTGCGAGCTTATAACCGGCGTCGATAAAACGTTATCAATTGTTAACGTATCGGTCAATGAAAAAAATACTAATTATTATAAATATTTGTTGCTTTAACAGTCTAGTAGTAATAAGTATCACTCCAAAGTCTGTGCACCGTACAAAATGTTATCTTGTGTAACTTCTTTAGTGATTTCAGTGAGTTTAGTGTTAATATTTCGATTTATTAACAAAAAGAATAAACCGCCAATTTTGGGAATATATCAACAGCGTAACAAGTATTATTGGATTAAGTTTATTTTTATGTACACTTTTCTTCGAATTCGGCAGGTAAGTTAACTTTTAGTTTTAAAAAAACGTATTCATGGACAGTATATGTAGTATCAACTTAATACATTTCGACTTTGTTAAGTGAAGTATCAACAGTTCGATATAAGCCTGTACTATGTTGGAAAGTCACTAATAGTAGGTGACCAGCACCATACTATTATTAGCTCATATACCTAGTACCTACTTGTAGTATATGTTTTTTAGTGTTCTAAAAAATGGAAATATATACTCCAATTCAAAATATTTAATACTAGCATTGCCTGCGGCTCCGCCCGCATTCAGATGACCCAAAACCAAATTCTTAGGTTTTACATATTAGTATACTCTTACAATGCAGTTTTTGTATTTTTTCTCAGAAATGAGATATTTCCCCGTGGTAAAAAGTATCCTATTTGTTGAACCGGATAACCGCTATGCTATATATGGATAGCTATCACCATACCAAATTTCATCAAAATCCCTCCAGTGGTTTTTCCGTGATGCGGTAATAGACAGACAGACGGACAAAAAAACGATAGATTCAGCCTCTGTATCGATAATAATGTTTATTTCAATAAGATTTCCACAAAAAATATTTAATGTACAGATTCGGCTTAGTTACAATTTTTTTATATGTATAGATTAGTAGGTAGTTGTTGGCGACCGAAATTTAAAGTCAAATTTTAATTATTATAATACATGTGCTCAACGGGCACGAACAGTTCATAAAAGAATATTAGATAGATATCATTGTCTATAACATGCCTTAATATGAAGGAGTGAGTTAGATCACTCCAATTACAAAATAAACTTCTAAAGACGGATTCAGCTTTTGTTATAACTGTCCAACATGTGCACATTGTTTTAGCTTCAGAGCACTTATCATGAACAGTAACATGAGTATATTTACGTATGTATAATAAGAAGAGTGTAATCTTATAAAAGCTGCTACAACAACTAAATTTCACCCTTATTCTTGAATATATTTCTAATAATACATAATAAGTACTTATATGTATACTTTTACAAAAATTACAGCTATGGATACACGTAAGAAAGTTTCTAGCCGTTGAATTCGGTAAAACCGATGAGACAATTTTTATCGAGCGGTATAATATCGCTTTGGAACAAAAGTACGATTTAGGAGATCATGCCAAGGTAAAACTACTTACTAATAATAAAAAATATGTCGAGATATTATGCTGTTGATAAAAATATGGATATTGTACAAATATTTTCTTCGCCAGTCTTTAGATGCAGTTTATTTCAATGGAATGTCTCAAAATGGAGAAGCGGTAGTTTGTGGGCTCGCGAGAAGACCACAACGTATGTGCGACTCCTTTTTATATTTAAAGGTAAGGTAAACACCTCCAGGTAAATTTCTAAGAAATTTATTGTTAACTGTAACGCCGGCGTGTCCGCGGTCGTTGAGGGATTAATAATTAATTGAATAACATGTACCTACTGTTTAAGATACGTAGGTTCGTAGTTATTTTAGAACAATAAAAAAGCATTGGGACATTGTTAGACCTAGACAGTATCGATATGTATTAGGTACTTTCGATTACCTAGTAGGTACTTTTTGATGTTTTGTAAGTTTACTTAACATGGCGTGTATATTTTAATATATAAATATAAACTGCAGTTACTATCTCATATTTAGATATATTTTAATGTGTACTATCCATACTATTATTATAAATGTGAAAGTTTGTGAGTATGGATGAATGGATGTTTGTTCTTTTTCACGCCAGAACTGCTAAGCGGATCTGGATGAAATTTAGCACAGAGATAGATTATAGTCTGGAATGACACATAGGTTACTTTTATCCCGGAAAAATGTACGGTTATCGTGGAATAGATTTGTTTGTGTTTTTGTTATAAATATATCAAGACATATGTTGTCCCATTTGTAGAGTTCATTTATAACTAAATCGGTGGCGATTTTATAAAATTAAAAATGATTAGTGTAAGTAGGCCAACTTATCCAATAGATGATTGCAGTGCAAGCAGAGTATCTCTTTCCTTCAATCTAAAAGGTTATCGCTACTCTATATAATTAAATAAGCTAGCGCTTATCACTAAAAGAGAAACAGCATTTAAAAAGTTACAAGAACTTAAAATAACACACAAATTCACTTACCTTTAAATCTGAATGCAATTATTAATTTTGTTTAGATCAATGGTGAAGATCTCCTTCTTTCGCCCAGCCTCCCAGATACATATTTACAAAAAGGTGAAGAGGATGGCGACGAATACAGTGTAAAAGGACTTTCTATAAGTAATGTTATGCCAATGCGCGTTTGGAACTTGTCGTACGTTGGAGACATGAAGTAAGTTTTAGTACGATATATTTTATAGTCGATAGACTAAATTATAAGCAGTGTAGTAACATAGGCAATTAAGTGAAAGTGCTTCGCAAATAGGAGCAAACATCGGTTTTTTAATATAAATTATAAAACTCTACATACATCACATGCAAAGGACAAAATATCACGTTTATACATATTGTTTGTTTATTGCTTTAGCAAATTTATATAATCACTATCGCCGTTTTAATAACAATTATACAGTTTTTAATAACAATTATACATAAAGAAAGTATTATCTAAGAAAGTATTAATTATACATTAGAGTTGGAAAAATGGACAATAATTTGAAATAGATAATTTTTCTGCAAGATTTTAAAGGCACTCTGATATTTCAGGCCAAGAAGTAATCCCAACAAAACAGTTAAAATTTCCGCAAGTTTAACATGGAGTGCAGAATGGCCGCAATTTGAATATAACACACAAATGGCGCCGCAAAGTATGGCCGATGATATGGCAAGGGAGCCATGGTCTAGGGATTACTTCAGACTAGTCAAAAAGTAATTTATAATTATTTTTTTAATAAAAAATTTTTTTTGGCTTTTTAAGTAATAATGCCGGTTCCTTGACGATGTATTTCTTTACTATGATGGTAAGTAGTAATTAAATCTTGTTGAAAATGAGATTAGCACACGAAAATCTTAGAGGTGCAAGAGTGTTAGTCCATTTGTAGCGCAAGAAACATATTAAATATTATCTATACTAATATTATAAAGAGGTAAAGTTTGCGAATTGTGAGTTTGTGACGTTGTAATCTCTAGATTTACAGAACCGATTTAGATGAAATTTGGTAACAAGACAGTTTGAGACCCGGGGAAGGACATAGGATACTTTTTATCCCGGAAATCTGAAAATGGGGATGAAAGTTTGTATGGGGAATCAACCTAGGAACGAACCCGAGCGAAGCGAGGGTGAGTCGCTAGTATAATATATATATATATATATATATATATATATATATTAGATAAGGTTATGAGTAAACTAAATGACGACAGGTACCATACCCCGCCTTAAGTCTTAACTATATAAATTTTTTGTCCGATAACATTCTATCGTTTAGGTGCCCAATGCTGAACGTATACTGATATAGAAAGGAGAGGTTTATTCCAAAATATAAAGATTAAGTAGATCAAGCCACGTATCAAATGAATAATTCTACGAGTAAAATGTAAATGGTCAAAATGTATATATTTTCTGTTTTAGATTACATCAAACCCACTATGAACAAATGGGATGTCTAACAGGAACTGTGGACATTGACAGCAAAACTTACCGCATAGACATGCAATGTCTCAGAGATCGCAGTTTTGGTATACACTTGTTATAAATATTATATTGTATTTATCACCTACATATATCTATCTATATATCTAACATTTTTTATATATTTACTGTCGCAGGTCCTCTCCGAGAATGGCGCAATTTCCATCGTTATGTGTACCATTTTATTTTTCTCGAGAATGGCGACTGTATGGCTGTAGGAAGTGTATCCCAACCTGCTACAATGTCACAGTAAGATAATATTTTAATCTTTAAACCTACATCTGTAATTAATATTATAAAGAGGCAGAGTTTGTTTGTTTGATCGCGCTAATCTTAGGAACTACTAATCCGATTTGAGAAATTCTTTCCCCGTTTATAGAAGAAGGCTATAGGCTATATATCATCCCGAAAATTGTTTGGTTCCCGTGGAATAGATTTGTTTTTGTCGTCCCTAGTGATTAATATAAATGTGAAAGTAACTCATTCGATTTGTTAAGTCTGAATATATTTCTGTTTGGCAAAGACATAGATTGCATCATAGTAACGAACAGGGACATTGGCTACCATATTACTATTACACACCAAAGAAAAAAAGTATTATCATTACTATATGTTTTCACACTTCTGTATATAATTCTAGCCTCACAATAGGATATTTATGCCGGAAAGCAGATCAGAGTGTTGTCGCTGTGGACTCGTCAGATTATCAACTTTACCAACATGCAGAAAATCGAATACTTCCAAAAGATTATGGATTTACATTTAAAGCAGGCAAGTTTTTATATCTTATATATATTACTTATTACTAGCTTCCCCATAAAATCTCATCCTCATTTTCACCTCCTTAAGGGATGATTTTCGGGATAAAACTATCCTATATGCTTTTCAGGGTTTCCGAGCTTATTCAGTACAAACAAACAAAAAAAATCCTCGTTATAATATTAGTATAGATTAAAGGCAAAATACTAATATTATTAAATACGTACATGCGTTTTTTAAGAATCCTGAGATTAACACACACAACTATTCACAAGATTAAAAGATCTTCAGAAATTTTACTAGACGAAGGTTCGAAGTGAAAATGGCCAAATGAAAGTCGATATTTTCATATTAAAAGATACGATACTCTTGTGAGGTCAGGCAAAGTTCTGTTTGGACATAAAGGGGATAAAACATTTGTGGCATTTCCAACCGCCACCATTTTTTTAAATTCGCAGCGTACTGCGATTGCCAAATGCCAATAATGAACCCAAAATGTCTCGGTAACAAAATCATGACTTTGGGGTAGAATTTTGCTGATATTTTTGGCTTAAACGTCTTCTACTACTTCGAAAAAGTAAATTTGTTAACTCTTGTTTTAGGAGAAAAATCATATGAAGTTCGTGTACAATTAATAGATGAAGATCAATTCTACATTGGCAAAGATAGAGAAGCAAAGTTGTACGAAAGATGGAGCAACGTCGAAATAAATGGTGTCAAAGGCAAGGCTTGTGTAGAATGGCACTTCAATAATACACAAAAATAAGCAGTAGCTATATTGTAAAAGTGTTGTAAATGATTTAGCTCTGAACGAATGTCTTCTTCTTCTTCCTGCCCTTGTCCCAATTTTTATTTGGGGTCGGGGCAATATGTTTTATTCTTCCATTCTACTCTATTATTCGTCATTTCACTGCTTACTCCCTTTCTAGTCATATCTTCTTCTACACAGTCCATCCATCTTTTCTTTGGTCGTCCTCTTCTCTTGTCCCCGTTAACTTCCATACACAAAACTCTTTTCACCACACTTTGTTCTTCCCTCCGCATCACATGTCCATACCACGATAACCTATTGCTTCTCAACTTTTCATCCACTGGCGCAACTTTCAGGCTCCCTCTAATGTAATCATTCCTCACCTTATCCATTCTAGTCACATCACACATCCATCTCAACATTCGCATTTCAGCTACATGTATGCGTCTTTCATCCGTTCTCTTTGTGGGCCAACTTTCAGATCCGTATAGGACGGCAGGTCTGATCGTCTTATATATTTGTCCCTTTAATTTCATAGGGAACTTGGGGTCGCAAATTGCTCCCGTTACCTGCCGCCACTTCATCCACCCTGCATTGATTCGATGCTGTACAGTCTGGTTTATTTCGCCATCGCTTTGAAAGAGGGAGCCAAGGTACTTGAAGTTGGAGCAGACTGTTATCGCTCTTTTATCCAGAGAAATGGTTTGAGGACTGGAGAGACCGCCAAAATCGCAGAACATATATTCAGTTTTGGTTCTGCTGATTTTTAAGCCAACATTCTCCAGTCTTTGTTGCCATTTTTCCAATCTGCTCTGGACCTCGCACCCGTCTTCTCCGACCAAAACAATGTCGTCTGCAAATAGCATACACCAAGGTGCCTCCCCCTGTATGTCCGATGTCAGAGCATCCATTACCAACAGAGACACTGAATTTTTCGGTGTTCCCAGCGATCGATCTTACATGAGTGCTAGACTCTCTGTACATAGCACGAATTAATTCCACGTACTTAGCAGGCACTCCTTCTACTTTCAAAGCCCACCACAAGACCTCTCGGGGAACCCTATCATACGCCTTTTCTAGATCAACAAACACCATATGCAAGTTTTTGTGCGCACGTCTGTACTTCTCAGATATTTGGCGCATTGCAAATATGGCGTCTGTTGCCCCGCGTCTTGGCATAAACCCAAATTGGTTTTGTGTTATCACACTCTCCTCTCTCACCCTTCTCTCAATTACTTTCTCCCAAACTTTCATACTATGAGACATGAGCTTTATTCCCCGATAGTTGTTGCATTCCTGTACATCTCCTTTATTTTTAAAGATGGGCACGAGAGAACTGAGACACCATTCCTCGGGGATTACTTCTTCATGCAACAACTTATTGAAAAATAAAGTCAGCCACTGATATCCGTCCTCTTTCAATAACTTCCAAACTTCAACTGGTATACCATCGGGTCCAACTGCTTTACCATTTTTCATACTTCGTACTGCCATTCTAACTTCGTTCCAACTAATCTCATTCACTAATCCAATATTAACTTGCACATCGCTTAACACTCCGCTCCAATCATTCTCCTCATTCATAAGTTTTTCGAAATATGTCTTCCATCTATCTTTTATATCTTCATTTTTTATCAACACCCTTCCCTCCTCATCTTTCATACATCTTACATGCTTGAGGTCTTTTGCCTTCTATTCCCTGCTCTTTGCAATGCGGTATATTTCTTTTTGCCCTCTTGGTTCTTGCAGATGGCTGTACATACTGTTTTGAGCTTGAGCTCTGGCTACTGCTACCGCTTTTTTTGCCTTCTTCTTCAACTCTTTGTATTCACACTTTTTTTAGCTCTGAACGAATGTATTTCCAAGATATTACATTAAAAAAACATATCTATTGTAGAATAATCACATTTTCAATACTTTTAGTCCTTATTAAAATTATCAAATATGTATGTATAACTCGATCTAGACTTATAGCATTATAGATTGTTGTCGTACGACACAAGGACGGTTTAACAAGATCTACATATAATAGTTATTTAAAAAATGTTAATTTTATTTAAATGGCTTATATACTATTTTTATGACGAACTTGTACAAGTTTTATGACGAAATATAACTGCAAAAAAAATATATTTTGTTTTAATTATTTCCAACTTATATTTGTATGTGTACTTTTGTTTTTAAACTTATCTAATTCTTTGCTTCTCGAATTAAAATTAATAAACGAGTACACTGTACATGTTAAAAAGCGTTAGCGATTTATCATTATAGGTGGCAAGTGTTTATGCACACTGCGCAGTATATCTTCGCTTTGCATAATTTATATTGTTTTATTCTTAGATACCAATAGAATATTAAAACTGTAATATTATAAAAGTAATAGTGTATTTGTTTGTTTGTCATTCTTAAAACGGGTCCCAGCAATGAATTATTATCTATGCTTCTGTTTACCTACAGATGAAATTGAGCGATGCGAGCATGTGTTACTATATAATTGGGCTGTAAAACAACTTACCCAAATTCCCATGTTGCTTTTCATATAAAAAAAAATATATTTTGAAACTTATCTAAGGTATAAGATATAGTAAGAATAAGGGTTCTAATAACAATAAAAAAAAACAATTTAGTGAGAAATATTAAGTATATTTAGCATACATTTCGTACAGAATAGATAATATATTTATTTTAAACATGGACTAGCAAATTATGACGTCACACTGACATTTAACCAACGGTATCACTGTACAGTGTACGTACTTAATGTATTATTTTCATTTTTTCTAAGCTATTTATCTATTTTATTGTAAAAAGTCAGTTCTACAATTATCCAATCATCTGTTGTGCACATTTGACGTTAAAAATAAACTTGTAAAGATAAACGTTCGATTACAAATTTCACAGATATCATTAGAAATGCAAATTTACAGAAACTAATGTTACCAATTAGTACACTAGAAACAATGGACATGTAGAAACTATATTTATACTGTATATGTACATAGCACTTTTTAGAATTTATTTTGGACAAAGCTATACGAGACGCAGGCTGATACTCATATATTTTAAAATAATATAAATTATTCTGTAATCTGTACTAAATTCAATACAATTCTAATAATAATTAAACGTCGAATTGTTCAAAATAGTTTTGGTTCTCATAATTACATCTATGCTTATACTTTATAAATAACAGCTGTACATTTGGTATCTATTGCGAATAAAGGCACAAGGATTTATGGAAACATCGACCTGTGACTTTACTGAAACATTATATTTAAAAAACAAACACTGCCTTTTCACCTAATTTTTCCTAAGGAAGTATAACAACACACTGATTGTTCAAAACAGATAACTTGTATCTAATCATAATACTTAATATTTTTATTACAGCAGCACATTTTGTGTAGAACCGTTGTAATATTGGCTTAATTTTGTAATACTACAAATTACAAATGGATGTAATATTAGCAATATGAGGTCGAGGTAAGGAAACCATTTCTGTAATGAAAAAGTGTTAGCCGAAAAGCGTTAAATTAGGGTGGCGCTACTGTAGCAAGTGGGTTTTTAAAGAAAAGCGCAAAGTTATTTGAGTACCATTACGTTATCTGACTGAAATGAGGTTTTGCATACTGCAGTTCCATAAATATTCTTGCATCTGATGATTTGATATATCTAGATGAGTGAATATTAACATAATTGTAACAAAATCGAAAGTTCTTATAGATAATGTTACTTATTATGGAAGACAAATTGATTTCCGTACAGTGTGCTCAATTTGAATGAAAAATGTAGATACTTGTCAAATATTTTTAATCTGTGGTTCTGGGAATAATTAATAATTATTTTAATTAATCTTAATAAGTTCAAAATATTTATTTTGTTATCCATATTAAAATAAAAAAATATATATTAAAAATTACTAAAGTTTTTCTAATTGTATTATAATAATATATATATATTTAGAATATAGTGCATATTTATAAAATGACAAAAAAACTGCTATAAAGTGCGGTCGGACTTACTTTCAGGTTTCAAATTAGAACAAACAGGATCTTTCAAACAATTCCGTAAATAATTACAACATTATTTAGTCAATTCAAGTCCACATGAGTACAATTTATTTCAAAGTAAACGTTTCATAGTTCATAAATTTCAATGTTCAATGAAAATAAACACAACCATAAAAAAAAAGTATAAAGTAGGCAAGCATTTCAAAATAAAATGGTAAAATAATTATGTCCATGGAAAATTAATATTATAAAACAAAGAGACAGTTATAACTTCTTATGAAATGATTTTAATAATTTGCCTACTCTACACTTTTGACCTTTAATTGTACTAATATAATTAAGCTGTATAGTACATTTAAAAACTCTATTGCCCGATTTCACCAACAACCCATAAGCTACCACCTACGTATGGGATCCCTAGATTAAAAGTCCTCTAAGCTAGCCCCTAAATTAAATTTCGTTTTACGATCGTCTTTAAGCCCATATTTCGAGCACCTAAATTTAGGGGGCCTTTTAATATTTAGGTGACCCCTAACTGTCGGTGAACAGTAACTGTCCCCTAACAGCCCCCTAACCATGCTTAGGGGATCCCTTAAACTTAGGTGGCGTTATATATTTCATTAAAAATAACTTAGCCGTAAACTCTTTCGCTTACGTGAGCTATTTTTTCTATAAAAAATGAATTACAGCCAATTTAAAACAGGCAGTTTAGTTCAATGTATAAAAAAACTCTTAATGAGTTTAACGCATACTGTTCAACTTAACTTTTTCTGGTTCATAGCCACAGATAATATATTTTTACTAAATAAATAACTAAAATAGTTTTTAAGCTATACGCTATACCTAGCTATGGAATGGGATAGACTAGAATAGGTCCACCTGACACTTCAGCAAATATCGACTCTAAAAATGTATACATAGTACATAATTATGTATATTAAATAAACTAATACTTATTCCATTTCAATCCCTTAATATACCTTTAACAAGTCTACATCAAACGTTCATTGCATTATTAAGCAAGTTGAAAATTTGTGCGTTTATAATAAAAAATATGATTATCATGTTTTTTTTCCATACAAATTTGAATTTTTCAATCGATCTTATATAATACAAGAGAATAATAGTTTAGTACAGAAGGCGCACTCCGCACTGTAGATAGGAGGCAAAATCGATGGACCCATACAATAGGGTCGCAACGCGTCGGCCGAAATGCTTTATACCTACAAACATTCGTGCTCATCACTCAAATGAATGCCCCCAGCGGGACTCGAACCTGCGACTGCTGGCACAGCAAGTAGGGTCACTACAAACTGATCCAAACGTGTCGTACATATATGTTCCGACAAGTACATATGTTATCAGACGTATTAGGCGTATTCGGGTGTCATCGTGAGTAATAAGTAGAAAATTGACGAAAGTCTATCGTTTAAGTCTTACTCAATCACTATGCGCTCTTTTGGTGGTCGATTAACTCGAAGTATGTACAATACTTTGACATGTCAGAGTATGCCACAGTGTACCTTTCAGCACCATGCTGCCTTTACATGTTAATTTTATATTGTCTCACGAATTTTTTTGAAAAAATCTTACTCTTTAAATGTCTGGTATTGGGCGGGTTATTGTGTTATTATCTGAAATTCGACCGGATAACAAAATAGACCGGATAGGCCGGATACCGGATATCCGTTTCATCTTTAGTATTTAGTGTTAGACTTAGCTCCGTGCGAGCTAGTTAGCTATTTATTTTAATATCTTTATTGAATGAGCCTTTTGTACTAAACTATGTATTACGTATTCTGTAATAGTACCAAGTAGCGTCAACATTATCAGTCACTGTTAACCACACATAGTGTATGATATTCTATAATAATTATATTTATATACTAATAAAATCAAGTATATTTTGAGTCACGTGAACTTCTTTGGTTAAATATTTTATAATATCATACATTTTTCTTTATATTTCCATTAACTACGTTATAAGGTCGTCGCAACTCCTTGTTCGTATTATAGATACATACTTAGCTATCAACACTCACAATTTCGGTCATCTGATTACTGATTTTTTAGAAGTAGTCTCTACTTCATTTTTTTTTGTTTTAAATATAGCCATAGACTAGATTCAAGATTAATCACAGATTAAAAATTGAAAATGTTTTCAACATTCGCTTGTTCTTTGTTTAGGCAACGCTTTGTAAGGCAAATATTTTAAAATATAGGTACAATACCTTCAGAGACCTTTATAATATACAAATTCTCTCTTAAAGATATAACTAAGAGTTATACTTTCTCAAAAAGTTAAACTTTATTACATGATTCAGAATCGAAATTATGTGATAATGTTTCATATATCTACAACTCTAATCATTTCTACTTCATTCAAATATCTTATTTACGAAGCTTTTTTTGAAGTTTTTTTAATTATGACAATTAAATATTTTCAATGGGCGTTGTTGTCAAAATTCTTAAAATAAATATATAGAACAAATGATAAAAAATATAATACTACTACACAAAGCTGGTGTAATAAAGTAATTATATTAGTAATACTTTCTTAGATTTATGCGAATATTTCAAATAAAACTATCTTTTCGGATTTTTTCGCGTAATTATTAACAGTATAATTCATGATTGCTAAAGCATTCGGAACGTCGGAAACCAAAAATCAAAATGAACGCGAAACAATCCGAAAATATAGTTTTATTTAAAATAACTATTTTAGTATTCTAGTCTTGGAAATTAACAAAAAACAAAAAGCATCGCTAATTATAGTCTGATTTTTAATTCCACGGAAATATGACAGCTGTCATTCTTTGACAATTCAGATATCATAAACCTTTTTTGTTTTGTATTTTTTTTTAATATAAAATAACAAAAAATATGAAACAGAATTAGATCAAGTAAACTATATGTATGACATTGTAAATAGTCTTTATTTTGTGCAATCAATGCACGCTAACTATAATGTAAATTTTTAATGGTTAAATGAATAAAACAGAGTAAAACAAAATATTTTACAAACAAAGGGGTTTTACTAAAAAAGGCTTGCAACCTATGGATTATTGGACAGGGATTCCTGTAATAGAAAAATAATTTCCTTAATAATTATTGTAACTTCATAATATGATAATAAAAAAAATAATTACCATTTTAGAGTTATCAATAATTTTTTAAGTCTTAGTTTTTCTAATTGAAACCTTAACTTCAAGAAAGGTTTATTTTTTTATTTTGCTAAAATGCTTTCCGTTTTTAGTGACAATGTTTCAAAGTTGACAACACTTCTGAAATGTCAGAATTCCGTCGAATTAAAAATCAGATTATAGTTATATGCTATCGAGGCTTCTAATACATTAGTCAATATTTTTCTAAATCCAAATAGTTTTCATTTCAAAAAAAAATACTAAATAAATTGGCCAGAATCATTGTGCAATAAATAAAAACAATAAACATAATAATTATAACATTATTTTCGTTAACATAAGACCACCACCAAACGTCTCGACTTCATATTTATTTGGAACCATGTTCGTGTGAACTAGCCTTAATAAGCCAAAATGTAATAAAATATAGCAAAGGCGAAGTAAATATCTGTAACTAATATAGTCTATTCAGTGGCGTAACTGGCCTTTTTGGGCCCCAATGTCAAAAAAATGGAAGTGGGCCCCTAGTCTGTTATGAAAAGGAACGTGAACCGAGCGTTAAACGAGAAGTCATTTGGGGCCCCAGCGCCCCCTTGAATCAGGGACCCATGCCCCCTTGAGTCAGGGGCCCCATGCGACTGAATTGGTTGCATTGGCATAACTACGCCACTGAGTCTAGTATATTCAGGACAAATGCCTAAATAATAAAGCTAGTTACTAAAATATGTTTTATAGCTATAAAAATACTGAATTAACTACAACCTATATATAGGAATTAATTAAAGGAACGGATAAATGTTTGAGAAGTTGGTACTTTGGCCCCGTGTAAATGATGACCATTAAAGTTAGATGTCTTTTTAATACGCCACGTATTACTAAGTATGCGATTTCTAAATAGAAAAATTTTACAAATGTTGAATGTCACGATTTATTATACATTGGCACAGATGTCGAGTCTACATATACAAATAAATGACATAGACTAAAAAATTATACAGACAGAGCTCGCCAAAAAAAAGTCATTTTGCCATACATATCGTTTACTTTCTTTAAAGGATAAGGTAAATTTTACATAGGTATTACTTCTCTTACACATGAAAGAGAGCATAATATTAGATTCTTTATTTTTTCCTTATAATAATAAAATCAGTTAGCTATTTTTTATTAACATTTATTCACTTATCACAGCAATGAATATTGTATTAAGTTTTGTAATCTGTTTATGTTCTATGACACTCTGTCTATATTATTCTTTAGTCTGAGATTACACCTTAAAAGTGGGACATATAAAATACTTTAAAACATTCAGTACATTAAAACTATTGATAATATTTGATAATAAAAGATATTAAATTTATTTAATTACTGATATATCATTGAATACTGACAATTTCAAAACACATCGTGACTAGATTCTGTTTTATTCATTACATAATATGCTACGGAACTAAAATTGTTGTAGAACACGCCATTTTTAAAAATCATTTATAATAAATAAACAATGTAAAAATATTTATCTCATTAAATAATACGACGTAAATAACTAATAACAAAATAATGTTCTTTGGTACATAAATATGTAAATTATAATATTATGTTGATAAGCAGTCAATTTACGTTTCTACACATCGATCAAAAAATTACAAGATACACAATCAACGACAAAAAAATGCTCTCACTGAATAAGCGCTCATTTGAACATTTGAGCTCGCTTTTATTTAATTTTTTTTTGTGAAAACAACTTTAAGCATCGCATTTAAGGTTCAATTTGCATCGTTGTATATTTATTTAAACTAGAATAATTACCTAAGCACAATTGGTGACATTTTTAAGAGAACTTTTGCATGGGATTGTGTATCTTGTACTTTTTTGATTGATGTTTCTACTGTTTAATTTTCAAAACAGTCTTATTCGAGTCCTATAAGTAGTTGCTATTATTGTATAACGCAAGTGTAAACTAAAAAATTTTAATATAAGTTTTGATTTAAATAAAATAGGCAGTATTCCATCGAATGGGATGTGTTTAACCGCAAGTGGATTCTTGTGGGAAAATTATTCAAATACATTACTTATATGAATTCAATACACTTCGCCATTGTTAAAGTGCGAGTAAATTAAATCTTTCACTTGAAATTTTCATATATTTCAAATATTTTTTCTCCTGTTAGAGACGTTGCATAAATATTCACTAATTATTTTGAGTAACAATCAATAATATAATGAATAAATATTAAAATAAATTTTCCTTAAACAAATATTTAGTCTGTAAAAAACGAATGAGCAATTATAATCGATGAAATAGTGCCTCAATATACTACTGGTATAAAAAAAATTATTTTACCCATTCAGGTATTACTGAATATTGCAAATGGCGGAGGTGCCGGGCGCGTGGTCGAGCAGCGCCCGTCTACGCTTGATGCCTTCCAAATAAACTTCTCGATTGAACAAACCGGCCGCTAGAGGAACGCTGAAAGAAATAGTATTATCTATACAGATAAATAAAATTGAAGTATCTGTTTGTAATGTCAAAATAACAGCGTTTTACTAAATGCATATGAAATTATGTACGGTACATAGAAAAAAACTCATTTTCTTTTATTTTTGTCCGTCTGTTTGTTCCGGATAATCTCCGAAACGGCTGGACTGATTTTGACGGGACTTTCACTGGAAGATTGCTGATGTTATAGGGCGTAACGTAGGCTACTTTTATTTTAGAAAAAGAATTAGGGTTCCGCTCAAAAAAATTAAAACCTATAAAATCGTAAACAAAATCCGCGTACTACTAGGGACGCACCCGAGCGAAGCGAGAGTAAGTAGCTATTTAATTTATATTCTTCTATTTACATTCAACTTATGATCATGGAAATATTATTATTATACATCAGTGGCGAATGGTGAAATTTTGACAGAGGTAAACCGTTCCAAAAAAAAAACACAAAAAAACATTGCTATACAATTTTTATATACATATTAATGCAAAAAGAAATAAAGCTATTATATATATTTCCATAAGAACATTTATACATTTAAAAAATTAAATGTATGTAAAATTATAGCAAAATACATTTTAAGGTAAGACGTCTTGAATGGACGCTTCGCCAATTTTATACATACATATTACAGAATAACTTCAAACAAAGGAGTAGCTAAATGTTTAAAGATAGATTGTTGCGTTGAGCAGGATACAGGAAAAAAAATATACGTACATATCAGTGCCAGGCCTGAGAGCGGCTGAGAAGAGCGCCCACACGGGCTTGTGGTCGCTCGTCACCACCGACTGCACCGAGTTGTATGCCACACACTTGAGCCCGGACGGCGCCGGCACGCTGCTTATACGACGGAGACCTGTAGAAAAATAGTTGAACACCTATACATATTAGGCAGTGGTGGCGAGTTCGCTTGGGAAACCCGAGTGAAGCGGGTTCAAATCAAGGGTGAGAGCACCTCTGATATTTTCATGTGCGATTTATTTCCCATATGATTACGACTTTTCTTAAGGTGAAGGAAAACATCGTGAGGAAATCTGCATGTTTGAAAGAACCTAGCAAGTTTTCAAAAGACATGTGACTTCCAACAACCCGCACATGCCCAGCGTGGTGAACTATGGCCTTATTGTATTATAAAAGGAATATATACGTATATCGTAGTATTAAAGAAAGGCCGGTGCCCAGCAACGGGGCGTTGGAAAAGGACTGTATACGGAATACTGAATATGTAGGTGAAGACGATAAGTTTTCAAAGTCGGAAAATGATATAAATTTTTATACTACATTAAAATATCTAAGATCATAACTTAAATATTTGTGGTTTCTTCTTAAGATACGATAAAATAGCAACATTGACAATATATGTGTATTTCAGACGATTATATCATCTTTTATTAAAACGGAGAAAGGTTTTGTGACAGAACAATGTGAAAATTATAGAAATATAGTATTATATTTAAATTAATAGATATAATACATGTTTTATTCGTTTTTTGATAAATCTTTAAAAAATAAACATTTTTTTTTATTTTTAGCTTAAATTTTGATTTCCATTCATGAAAAAAAAATCATGAAATTTCTCTATTATTTTAATGGTTACCATCATACAGATACTTGGTTAATATTTATTTTAGAGTACCTACCTACGGTTTTTTCTTATAAAAAAAAACCTAAGCATTACTCATATCAGATATACTAGCAAACTTGTAGGTAATAGTTCTATTTTGAATGTGTAATTTTCTGTTTTTTCCATTCTATTTATTTATCTGGATTTTTACGTAAGACACAAAGCACATATCTTTGTGTCTTACGTAAAAATCCAGATCACATAATATATCAGTAAATATTAGATATACAAATATTAAATATAAGAATAGTTTAAATTGACGACACATTTGGCTCAGTTTGTAGTAACCCTACTTGTTGTGCCAGCTGTCGCGGGTTCGAGTCCCGCTGGGGGCATTCACTTGTGTGATGAGCATGAATGTTTGTACTCCAGTCATGGGTGTTTATATTTATAATATGTATGTATTTAAAGTTAAAGTATATGTGTAGTATATCAACTATCTGGTATCTATAAAACAAGCCTCGTAGCTTACTATGGAACTAGATGGTGATGTTTGTTATGTTCCAACATATTTATTTAGTGTTATAATTATTAAATTTAGGAATTTAATCAATATTATAATACAGAAAGCTTTATAGCCTACCGGAAAACGCGGAAGATGAATTGGTAGCCATAGATTTAGCTTTGTACAGGATGCGGTCGGTGTAGGCCGGCACGCGCTGCTTGCTGGACGTGTCGAACTGCTGGCTGCCGGGGTCGTACTGGGAGATAAACCATACTTAATATTATAAATGTGAAAGTGTGTTTGTTTGTTGTTCTTTCACGTCGAAACAGAGAGACGGATTGGCGTAATTTTTTGTGTGGATATAATTGGAGGGCCGGAGAGTGACATAGGCTACTTTTTACCGCGGGAGATTATCTCATTCCCACGGGAAAACACGTTATAATGCAGCCAAAAAAAATGGTCAGAATTACTTGAAACTTCGTATTAATGCTCTTCAATACAACTAAATAAATACGTATTTTAGCATTTTTCGAAATTCCCATAAGGGGGTAAAATAGGGGATGAAAGTTTGTATGAAACCTATCTTTTTAGTATTTATTTGTAGTTTTACTGCGAGCGAAGCCGCGGATTCTGCTAGTAATACTATATATTAAATAAAAAACATATATAAGTTTAACATTTAAATATAAAAAAATACACTCATATATATTTGTTCAAAGTTAAAAGCAAATGTATACACAATAATAAGATTATTGTATGAGTAATCAATGAAATCAAAAAAAAAATTCAAGCACTACGACATAATCAAAATCACTCTAAATTAAATTACTAAGCTATGTATATAGAATATAATATAATAATTAATAAATACATACAAGAAAAAAAACCCAAATATATCGCCACTAACAGCGCAACGAAAAACTTTGTAACTCGGTATTGAAATTTAAAAATGGAATTAAATATAATCATATATTTTAAGTTCAAATTGTAACAATACTAAAGTACAATGATGTCCCTAGCAGACCATCACCTTGGTACTTATTTGTTTTTAACAACAAATTTATTTATTTTAAAAAGCTTAAAAACAAAGATTTATATACATAATTATATACATAAAAACAATTTTTCGGCTTTATTAAAATAAAATGTGTATTTTATACCAATAGAATTGATATTTAAAAGATAATAATAATAAGTCTATATTATAAACTAAATCTTTCGGTAAATTGGTCGTTTGGACAAATAAGAAGTGAGCCGACGAGGTGTCATCGCACACCTTGTAAGTAGGCGGGAAGGTGATGGGGGCTTCCCGGAAGTCGCGGAAGGCGGCGCCGTCCTCCAGCACGGCGGTCAGCTGGTCCGCGTGCAACAAGCCGTGCGGCAAGTTCGGCGGCAGGGGGAACTGTGTGGGGAATTTATTTTAAATAAAACTATCTTTTCGGAATATTTCGCGGATTTATTATGGTAGGCACTGTCTGTAACAAGTATATAACGCCTTCGACTAGACGTCTGTCTACAACAATCTTAGTCTCTCCCGTGACCATAATTGCTGTAAAGCATTCGAAACGTCGGGAACCAAAAATCAAAATAAATCCGCGAAATTATTCGAAAAGATAGTTTTATTTAAAATGTCAAATATTCGCGTAAATCTAAGAAAGTATTATGATGTCATTTTACCAACATAACAAGATAGTTGATTGGGCCTCTATTATCTATTCTAATATTATAAAGAGACAGAGTTTATATGTTTGTTTGATCGCGCTGATCTCAAGGACAACTAATGCGATTTGAAAAATTATTTTTGCATTAGATAGCCTGTGCATTGAGGAAGGCTATAGACTATATATAATCATGCTACTACTCAAGGGAGCGGAGCAGTAATCATAAATGTCAACGAATCAGGCAGACTTCCTTATATTATTGTGAAGGGAAGAGAAATAAAAGTTAGTTTTTTTGTACTTTGAACGCGAGCGAAACCTCTATTATATCATTTTTCACTGCCTCGTTGGTCTGGCTAGTATGTATGGCTGCCGATTTAGACGGCCCGGGTTCGAGCCTCGGGTCGGGCCAAAATAGTTAATGGGTTTTCTGCCACGAAATACACAGTATCTGTTGGGAAATTGGCGGTGTTACACCCTCGTGCAAGACAGACCATGTTTAACCATCGGTTCTGCGTTATATTTCTCACGATTCGTGTAGAGCTTCCGTCCCACCGAAATGTGAGTGTAAATGGAATAGAGTGCACGTGTGTTTGCACGCACACTTGGGCACTATAATATCTCCATCGCAGTAGATTAGTCTCAGTAAAATTAGAAGAACATTAATTTTATTTTATCTCATCGATCAAAAAAGTACTAGATACACAATCAGCGACAAAAAATCACCTCTCTCTTCACCGAATGAGCGCTCGTTTGAACATTTGAGCGCGCTTTTAATTTAATTTTTGAAGTTACATTTATTTTGGCACGCAAAAGAGTGACATGATGAAGTTAGCCGCATTCCGTTTACATACAGAGAGTTGTGACATACGGGATGAAATCTTTAGGTATTATTGTTCCGTTACGTCAAAGAAGTATAACTTCTTACGTGCGTACATAAGTACACACACACGTTGTTGTTTTTTTTTTGTGAAAACAACTTTAAGCATTGCATTTAAAGTTCAATTTACATTGTTGTATATTTATTTCAACTAGAATCTCTTAAACACAATTGGTGCCAATTTTAAGAGAACTTTTGCATGAGATTGTGTACATATCTAATACCTTTTTGATCGATGTTTTATCTTAAGCATTCCTCAAATGCATAATTTAACAAATAGATATATTTTGTATTCCATGCGCAACTCTGCAACCGCAGCCGTTTTAATCAACGTCGTTGGACGACATCTTCTTCTATAGAGGACCGATCTTTATGATATTTACAATTTATATTTTTATTTGATTGACCTTTCAGTTGAATTTCAACAAAAAATCCACTATTGAAGTAAATAATTTTAAAGACTAGTTAGTTTAACTTACTTTTGTTTGTTCGATCCACCTCAAAACAGCGGCTCTCGGTTCTCCGAGTCTAAAATTTAAATCACCACACCAAAACACATAATCGAAATTGTTTGTGACATCTGAAAAAAAAAAATTCGCTCTAAAAAACTTATTACTTAGGTACCTATTTTTTATCTAAAATGAATCAAATATAAATATTATATTAATGTGATAATTTCGTACTAATACAGAGCGGAAAGACGCACTATTTCTTATCATACTAATATTATAGAATAGGTAAAGTTTGTAAGTTTGTTTGTAGGAAGTAATTTCTGGAAGTACTGAACCGATTTAGATAAAATTTGATAAGGAGATAGTTTGAGACCCCGGAAATGACATAGAATAGTTTTTATTACGGAAATCATCCCTCAAGGGGGTGAAAGTTTGTATGGGGACTCAACCTAGGGACGAACCCAAGCGAAACGAGGGTGAGTCGCTACTTAACGTTATAAATTGACTTCACATGAAAAAGTGAGATTTGTCTCATTAATAATAATTAATCAAAAAAAAGTTATTACAACCTTCGGATTGTAATTTTTAAGAAAAAATACACGGAGCTAATCTTAAAATTTATTATATGTATTTTTAAATGTTTATTATTTAAGAAAGAATTAAGAAAATCCATTGCATTAATCTGATTGTTTTTATTCACATGTTTTACAATAATATGAAATCATACAAGTAGGTCGTTCCACTGCACTATTTAAACTAATAATTTTAAAACAAACACAAAAGAAAATAAAACAAACCTTTACTCCTATGTCTACATGGTAAATTTTTGGGCAGATCAATCGACCTTATGATCCTTTTTATATCTGACAACCGCTCCTTGACCTTTTCTTGATGGGCAGTTAAGTGAGCAGTAACAAATAGGAACGTAGAACCAAACAAAGCAAAGGATATAGCCACGGCCCCTTTCGTCCTAAACGCAGTGCCGGGACGGACGGACAAACTCGCGTCTTCTGGTAGCGAGCAGAACCATATGAGGTCCCTCCTCACGAATACAGTCAAATGAATTGTTCCTGAAATATGAAATCTCTACATTAAGGTTATACCGTACTGGCTGGCTGTTTTTTTTTATATTTTGAATAGAGATAGTTTATTCGTCTAACAATAATAGTAATATAAATTTATAATGTAAATATGATGATGTGTTCTCCTAGCCGATTCCGGCCACGGCAGCTAATCTCATGGAGACTAGCCAACTGCGCAGGAGATATTATAGTGCACAAGTGTACGCGCAGACACAACGTGCACTCTCTGTTCCTGTCACTCTCATACTCTGGTGGGACGACGCGAGACACAACCGGTGAGAGTTAAGGCGCAGGACCGACGGCTTTACGTGCTCGCCGAGGCACGGGGGTGAAACACCGCCAACTTCCCTACTCCGGGCTGTTACTGAGGCTTACTATACAGAAAGACTCAATAACTAAACTTGGCTCGAGCCGGGACTCGAACCCAGGACCTCCGAGTGTGCTGCCGTACATGCTACCACTACACCACCGAGGCAGTTAAAAATGTAAATACATGCACGTATTAGTTACTTTTTTCAAAAAATTATGCCCGATCGTGTTAATGAGATGTTAGTGTGAGAGAGACTACAGCCAAATCTTAGTGTACCAACGACTATCGGATATCAAATTGACATAATATGCTGGATGATCTCTTTTTATCTAAATAGTTTAGTTAGTTTTGAAAAGTGAACATTTTACAGGAGAGACTTCTTCATGTTTCCTGTAAAGCATTCGAAACAACTAGAACCAAAAATCAAAATAAATCCGAAATGATAGTTTTATTTACAATGTCAAATATTTATATTTGCGTAAATTTTATATGAAACTTTTTCTAATTTTATTCCTGTAACTTATAAGTTTGTTGAAACACGTTTATTTACTTCGAATTCTGCGAAAAACTATTGTGGTTTCTAGCAGGAACAACGAATGAATAAGTAATGTGTATTATGTATTTTACTATGCTTTAAGAATTATTTAACAAATGTTAAGCTTAGATGGTAATCTGAATGATGCAATAACCACATGAGTACACGTTGCATCACAATCCTGATTTGATCCCTCCATGTTCTACATATCAATTCATACATAATGAGATGATGTGAATTTAGATAATATATAAACTTTACAATTTTCCACCACTAAAGTGTTAATGTAAACATTCGAAAATATTATTAAAGAGGACAGTCTTTAGGGCATTGTTAGCATTCTGCCATTTTCTTTATTTTTTAAATAGGTATTCAGCGCAAAATGAAACTGGTGCAAATGAATAAAATTAAAAATACCTACATTTAAACAAATTAAAAATATTAACAATATGATTCCGAGATATTTAAAGGTAAAGAACGCCATATGAAAACGATGATTATAATAATCAATATAAAAAAAAAAACAAATTCTGTATAACGAACTATGTTACGTTGATCGCCATAAGAGCAATGTTATTATACGTATGTATATATAGCGATCTTTACCTCATAATATTTCGATATTTTTACTGATATTTTTTATTTGTTTTTTTTTTTTTGCGTTTCACTTTTTTTTAATTAATTTTTGAAAAAAATCAGGCGGCGAGTAGTTGAAGCCTGCTTCCACAGAAACATTCAAATTTGTGAGTGTTTGGGGATTTTTCAGAGTAATTCCCAGAAACTTGGAATGGCAATCAAAACTAGTCATTTTAGTTATTTGTCACTATTCGAAAGGTTCTATTAAATTGTATTCGCAAGAAAAAAATGTATCATTACAAAATAAACAACTAGAAATGCTTACCTAAATAATATGAATGAAGTAATAAATGTGATGGTCCCAACACTTCTTGTATCGTTATTTCCCACTCAGTGCGCTCGGAATATGACTCTTGGGTGCCGATAGCGAAGATATCTGGCACGTGTTTAACTTCGTTTGGAAAAATAAAATCAGCTAATTCTCTGTAAAAAATATTATTTTTATTTGAGTACTTGAAATATTTACACAAAAAATGGAATGTTTTCGTAAAATGTAAATAGGACCAAATTCAGGACTTTTTATAAAATAAAAAAAAGACATGTCAAAATAGGTTTAAAATAGGTCAAATATTCTTAATTATTTTAATCAATATAAAAACCTGCCGCTATTTATTTTGCGACAACCTTGTCTATACATATAATAAAATTGTAACTAAGCCGAATCTGTGCATGAAATATTTTTTGGAAAATTTTATTGAAATAAACATTATTATCGATACAGAGGCGAAATCTATAGTTTTTAGAATTTTTGTCTGTCTGTCTGTCTGTCTGTTACCGCATCACAGAAAAACCATTGAAGGAATTTTGATGAAATTTGGTATGATGATAGCTGGTTATCCGGGCCAATATCTCATTTCTGAGAAAAAATACAAAAACTGCAATATAAGAATATACTAATATGTAAATAAAACCTAATAATTTGGTTTTTGGTCATCTAAACGCGGGCGGAGCCGCGGCCATTGCTAGTAACCTATAATTTACAGGCCTGTGTAGGGCGAAGATATATGTTACCAACATAAGCAATAGAATTATTTAAAGCACGTTGGATTAACTTTTTCAATAACTTCAAGGAGGTACCTACTTAATAATTTGTTTTTTTTTGTGTGTATCATAAGCTATATCTTCGCCAATCGTAGATAAAGCTATTCTGATACTCTCATTTTAATTTACATATTTCTAAAATGGAAATTTTTAAAATTTTATATTTCGAAAATGGGAAATATACTCCCGGGTGGTAAATATAAAGTGGAGGTAAATAATAAAGAAAAATTTCACTCCTAAAATATTTTTTTCCAGGTATAATTTGCGATCAATTTTATAAACAATTCAGATACTACTGTGAATTGTCATGTAAAATTGATCCTCAATAGGATCTAATCTCATTCATTATATATGTAATATTAAACCCAGAATTATATAGCCGTACCTAGAATAGAATTTTATAGACATCTTGTACATTTATTAGTATATTAAGGTGACTATATATATATATATATATATATATATATATTATATATATATATATATATATATATATATATATATATATATATATATATATATATATATATATATATAGACGATTCAAAAGTACTTGTGATAAGTCTAATTGAATTAAGTTTATTTCATTTCATTATAGTCAGGCGCGTTATATACTGGCACGCCGAACTACGAACTTCCTCTATTATTTTAAGCATGTGTAAATTGTGATGAATTTCGTCATTCATAATGAACCGTATAAATGAATTCGTAGATTTTTTGCATTCTTTGGAGGTTTGTAATATTTGGAGTAACACGCACTACGCCAGCGTTGAGCACCGTATGCCCATATTGGTTGAAGTTGTTATTTTTAAATAAGTTTGAGTAAAAAGTAAATGTTATTTAAAAAGTAATTATTATCAATATAAACATACTTTGGTGGTGCTTGACCATTCATATTCCATGTACCAACAAATATTTTGACTTCCCGATCTGGAAAGACATGCTCCAATTCCGCTGCCCCAAGTAATGAATGTGATGCTAATCTTCCATACAAGTAATTTCTAAAAACAAAACAATTTTTATTTTTACAACATATTTTTTTAAGAAAAAAATAATGATAAATGAAAGAATCTATAATATCAAAAAGTATAATAAAAGCACATTTTTACAAAACTACATGGATCTAGCATTAATCAGTCCAGCATTGTGTAATTTTCATACAGTATTCTTTGGTTAGTTACTATTGATTTTGCTTTATTTTCAACTGACTTCAAAAAGGAGGAGGTTCTCAATTCGACTGTATGTTTTTTTTTTATGTTTGTTACCTCAGAACTCCGTCATTTATTAACCGATTTGAACAATTTTTGTGTTGTTTGAAAGTGTATACTTCCAGATTGGTCCCATTTAAATTTCAAAAAAAAATACCACCCCTAAGGGTGGAAAAATAGCTAATGATGAATTTAACCTACTTCTAATTGTCATATTGACTTGAAACTTTGCAAGTGTTTCTATTTCCGTTGATAGTACAGTGGTTTGGTATTGTTGACCTGATCTGATGGTAAGGCCAGAAGGTGGATAGGTGGAACTCTTCAACGGCTAATAGTAGATACTTTGAGTTTGGGCTTGTTTTGTTTGATTTGACAAGCCTAATACGTTAGAATTCTTACTTTGAAGTCGGTTTTTATTTTTTTATTAAAAAGTTTTTATTCAAAAGTATACTACCTATGTAAGCTCCTTAAGTTTCTAAAAATATATTTATTTTAAATAAAACTATCTTTTCGGTTTTTTTTTGCGAATTTATTTTGATTTTTGGTTCCCGACGTTTCGAATGCTTTACAGCAATCATGGTCTACAATCAAAATAAAATCGCAAAAATAACTGAAAAGATAGTTTCATTTAAACTTTCCAACTAAGGGTTATTACTGGGACTTTCTTAGAAGAAAGACTCAATAACAAAATGGCCCGACCAGGGACTCGAACCCAGAGCCTTACTTAGGATGTGCAGCCCTACATGCTAGCCACTACACCACCAAGGTAGTTAAAAAATTTTTTAAAGATTAAATATTTAAGTGAAGTAGATTGTTATTGAACCAAAAATGATTAGCCATCAATAAATTTCATTCAGTTTAAAAATACCTTTGTCGAGCTTCCTGTGTAGGTATAAGACGTAGCACTTGTGCAGCAAGCAGGGTATTGCGAGCCAAGCTATCTGTGCTGCCCGCCCGAGAAGCAGATCTTGTAATTGTTGATTTAGTCCTAGTTGCATTGCAAGGCACAAACATGGACGACACATTAACGAGTAACAAGACAACATTATAATTTTAAATGTCTTATAGCCTTTAGGCTAACAATGTATAGTATTTATTTATTTTCATAAAGTGACTTCTATGTGTATTATTTATTATAAAGTAACATATACAATTGAAATGTGTATGTAATATTGATTAAAAACTATTTTTTTATACCTTTTCAGCATTGGTGCATTATATTTGATTATAATTAAGTTATTTCTAACTACTATTTACTAATTATATAATTAGGTTATTCCAAAAAATAAAACATATTTACAACATATTCTACCATTTCTTATTTTTGCGTGGATGCCACTTTAAATATAGCATAAACAATGTTACAAACATATGTATATTATTAACATACCTTCTTTTGCGATCTAAGGAGCTGCTTCTGTCACTTTCAGGTGATGATGATTGGTACAATGGTTTTGATTCATTAGATATTAGATGATCAGCTGACAGCCTTTTAACAAATAACTTACTCTTTGGTTTTATACCTTCAAAGGAACCTGAATGCTCAAAATACTTTTTGGTTTCCTCACTTTTAGGAAAATTTACTGTTACTTTGGGAATTTCTTCACTCTTAGTCTGAGAAACAGTCTGATCACTTATGCTATTACTAGAATTATTTATTGGACTACTAGGTCTCGAGATTGAGTCTTCTTTAGAACTATGGCCTTCAACTAAGCTTTTAGGTCGAGATCTTCTAAAGAATGTTTTGCAGCATTTAGGATTACTTTCGTCGTCATAGTAATTTTGGTGAGCTTGGTTTGTGACATCACTTATAGGTTCTCTATTAGAATTGAAACGATTTTGAATGTTATCAATACTTGATTCAGAATTATGTGCGCTTTGTGCTAAAAAAGGATCAGCAGGAGACATAGGGCGTGAAGTTGACTGGCTCAATTCATCATTGGAATCTGTATCTACATAGCACCCAACTTTTGGAGATTTTTTCACAAATAGACGTTTCCGTAAAGACAATTTCTGCTTGGTCCTGGTGGGTGATGTTGTCATGTTTGGTTTAAAACCACTATAACAACAAATTTAAGTTACTAATTACATTTTAACTAAATATAGACAACATAACCTACAATAACATCTTTCTGTGACTAATGTCATTGTGTCATTCTTCAGCTTGGAAATGTCATCTTTAGTTAATTAATCACGTTTAAAAATTTATTTATTAAAATCACAAAAACATTGATGTCGATTTCATAATAGTAAATATAATTTTAAACATATAATTTCAAAGCATTTAGCATACTACTGTGTTTGTTATGTCTCTGTTACCATAGTAATATTAGTCACCGATAAGGTTAGTAATGCATCATGCACCGGCTTTATCGATATTGAAACAAACAATTTATTTATTTATTTATTGAGAAAACAACAGCATCACATGCGATAAATTATTGTAAAAATCAATGTGTACTAAAATAAAGCCAATTATAGTTTTCTTCTTTTATAGTTAATATGTAGTAATACATATAGCAATACACTATAATGATTTAACCATCAAAAAAAGTACATATAGATATATTATACTCAGAGACACAATTAACCGCCCACCTACATTTTCCGATGTAACTTCAAAAATTCATTTCGGAATTAATTTTTTCTTGGCAATATTATAGATTGGATAACATCAGATATAAAAAAATAATAAACAAATCGGATATTGCTTTAATTTTTTTTAAATGAAAAAAAGTTAGAAATTACCGAATAATAAACAAAAATAAAGGTAAAATGATAAACAATCTAAAACTTTTCTGTTGACATTAAAAACATAAATTTTAATAACAAGTATTGCTTCCTCTGGCTCTTATGACCTCCTCCAGTCGATTTGGAACACCATCCATTATGTCCTGAATATCTGACTGCGGTATATTCCGCCACTCTTCGACTACAGCAATCTTCAGCTCATTAATGGAGGAAGGGGCTGGAACTCAACTTCGTACCAGCCTTTTAAGATTGTCCCAAACATATTCGATATGGCTTAGGTGCGGGCTTCGAGCTGGCCAGGGTAGTCGTGCTATATCCATTGTATCCAGGTACTCCGTAACCACTCTAGCAACGCGCGCACGTGCGTTATTATGCATTATTTTTGTTTCCAAAATCATAACCGCATTTAGTGACTGTCCCAACATATTCGCACAATTACGCATTAACGTACCATCAAGATGTCCTCGTAATTCCATCTCTCCTTTCTCACTTCCCATTCGCAGAACCGTACTTGGAGCTAACTCACCCATTCCGAGACTTAGTTGATTAGCTAATTACTATGCAAGAGAATTCGACATACTTTCCGATCCCCCTAGTAAAATAAAAAAAATATTACTGTTTATGAAGTAGACCCAGCTGTGAGACAAAAATCTTGTATTGTTTGTATTAGTTTTTTATTTTATTGTTTTATTTTGTTTCTTTTTTCTATTACTTACGTGTCATTTTTGTTTTTATTATTTTATTTAAAATTTACCTTTTTTTGTCAAACGCCACTTTTCCTGTCATTATGCATGAGGTGTTTATCATTATAAGTTGCAAACTGTAAAATATCATTTTATATGTATGTAATCGTGTATTGTGTACAACTTGATAAACCGAATAAATAAATAAATAAATTAAAAGAAAATCTTGTCCAATAAATTAGGCAAAAGGGATGACATGAGGTTCTAAGACCTCTTCCACGTACCTCTGAGCGTTACTGCCTCTTTCAAACACAACCAACTCTGTGCGAGCCTCATAAGAAATACCAGCCCATACCATTACTGAGCCACCTTGATAGCCTACTGTTTTAACAACAGCACATTGTGCAAACCTCTCACTGGGGCGTCGGTACACGTGCTGCCGTCCATCGGGACCTCTTAGAGCTACTCTGGACTCATCAGAGAAGAGGACGTTCTTCCATTGCTCCATGGTCCAGTTCCGGTATTGTTGAGCAAATCGAAGGCTGGCTCTTCGGTGCTCTGTGGTCAACGCTGGAACTCGAGCTGGCCGGAATCCAGTCAAATTACGCTCTGCAAGCCTTCTTGTTATAGTCTCGAATGCTTACGCTTACATTTCGTACTTCATATAGGCAATTACGGGCTTCGAGAGCCGTAGTGAAGCGATTTCTTAGAACGTTGGACACGATGAAACGGTCATCTCGTTCAGAAGTGCACCTCCTACGACCTTGTCCTAGTCTTCTAGTGTAAGATCCAGTTTCTCTGTATCGTCGGATGGCATCACGTATCGTGTTTCGAGGATATCGGCGTCATACGGCCTATATGACGCTGGCTATATCCAGCACCTGACAGCGCCACCGCTTTAGCTGCACCGGCTGCATCCAATGGCATTTTATTGAGTAAAGAGCAACTATCAAACTCTGACGCACCTTATGAATCAAAAAATGTATCTAAAAACTTCACAGGCAATACTTTATTTACTATGAAAACAATAAGTTGGAAAGTCAATTTTCGACTATACTCAGTAAAAGAGACTCTCATTTGATGTTATCTTTGAAAACGGGGCATAAATTCTTTTAATTTATCATAAATTACCCACTTAACAAATGGTCATTCAATTTCATAAGCGTTTAGTTATTGTAAACAAAGTTACGTCGCTTTAGCCTGGTGGGCGGTTTATTGTGCCTTGTACAAATATATAAAAAAAAAAACAAAATATATTTTTTATAACAATGAAAATACGAAAAAAGGTACCAATAGAAATAAAAAATAAAAAGACACATTACATACAAAAAAATTCTACTACATCCTTGTAAAAATGGGAAAGATTTCTTGAAAGGAGGACGCCACACCTATGGCCTATTTACATTCAGTCTGCGGTTAAGATAAAAATAAGAAATATATTTATATGATTTTTTCAAAATTAATACCTTAAAGGGGTAAAAGGGGATAGTAAAGTTTATATAGACAATTAATTATTTTTGAAATCAGAATTATTTGAAACTTGGTTTTAATGCTCTTCAGTACGATTAAATAAATACGTGTTTTAGCATTTTTCGAAATTCAATCCCATAAGAGGGTACAATGGGGGATGAAAGTTTGTATGAAACTCTGTAATTAGTATGTAAAAAGGACAAAAAATTATCTTAAATATAAAGATTGTGAATTCGCCAATTTTGGTCATCTTATTGCTTTAGCCCACAATTTCTTCAGTTTTTGTCTTTTGGAAACAAATGATATCCGTTTTCTTAGCATCCTGGTAATGCACAATTTGTCATTTTAATTAAAATTTAAATAAAATGAGAAAAAAATCATCCACGCTTTATAGCTTTACAATATACTGAGGGCCATAGTGATCGCGACATCTGGCAGGAGAAAAAGCTAAAATTCTTCCACTTCCCCTTCCTTAAAAGTACGGACGATAAAACTGTTTTTCAATTCCATAATTACATTAAAATCAATCAAGATTAAATTTGCAGTGTATAAAAGTAAAATGAAGATGATGTGGATCGCGGCATTAATTTCAGTTTGATGAAATGCACGAATTTGATGCATGATTGCATGAATCTACAAAGTTCAATATACATAGTTGTTATTACAGTAACACCCCCGACCCCAACTTACGCTACCCTGTTTTACGCGAATTCGGAGATACGCGGTTTTTCTTTTTGATCATCGCGCGCATCGGCGTGTTCCGTTTACGACAAGTTTGAACGTGTTCCGTGTGGAATAACAATTCTAATTCCGTAAAACATTACGTACGCAGTGCAAATTCGGTTTATGACAAGTTCGGACGTGTTCCTTGTGGAATTATTTTACGTACGCAGTGCAAATTATTGGTTTACTTATCTTTAATAATGTCATCTAAAAGATCAAAACATGAGTCATTTGTATGTAACAAGAAACGAAAAACACTGTCTTTGGAGAGTAAACTAAATATTATCAAAGACTTTAAAACGAAAATAAAAATTTGTGAATTGGCAAAGAAATTTGACCTACCAGAATCAACAGTCCGAACGGTTATAAAAAATAAAGAAAAAATTACTGAAGCTGTAAAAGGCTCTCAATCTTTGAATTCAAGCATTATTCGTAAACGTCATGGTATTATCGCTCAGATGGAAACAATGTTACAGTTATGGTGTGATAATCAAGTAAGTCTTAAAAATTGTCCTGTTGACCAAAAAACAGTGTGCTTTCAAGCTAAGCAGATTTTTCAGAGACTAAAAGAAGAAGCTGGGGAGGCGGCCAAAAATGAAGACTTTAAAGCTAGTAAGGGCTGGTTCAGCAGATTTAAAAGTCGTTGTAATTGGCATAGCATCGCAGAAAGTGGAGACACTCTTTATCCAGAAAAACTCAAGAAAATGATTGAAGATGGTGGCTACTCTAGCCAAACCATTTTCAATGTAGACGAAACCGGTCTTTTTTGGAAGAAAATGCCTAAAAGAACTTTTATTCGGCATGAAGAGAAAACTTTTCCAGGTTTCAAAGCCGCCAAAGATCGATTAACAGTGATGGTCGGTGCGAATGCAGCTGGTGATTGTAAATTGAAACCTCTCTTAGTTTATCGCTCAGAAAATCCAAGAGCCTTGAAAAATAAATCTAAAGCTGGTTTGCCCGTCATTTGGAAATCTAATGCGAATGCTTGGGTGACAGCTTCTCTTTTTGAAGACTGGTTTGGTCATCATTTTATTCCTGAAGTCGAACGTTATTGCCAATTGAAAGAAATTCCATTTAAGGTGATGCTATTAATTGACAATGCACCAGGTCATCCTCCTACAACTCTCATTAATTTCGATCCACGGGTGGAAGTTGTATTTTTGCCACCAAACACTACCAACTTGCTTCAACCAATGGACCAGGGAGTCATTAAAACATTTAAAGCTTACTACACAAGGCGATCATTTGCACATCTAAATGAAGCTATGAGACAAAATAGCGAGCTTTCTGTTAAAGATATTTGGAAGCAATTCAATGTTTTAGATGCTGTAAGAATTATTGGACAATCTTGGAATGAGATTTCCCAAAAAACTTTGAATGGCGTCTGGAAAAAGCTGTGCCCATTTTTTTTCACCACAGAAACCGAAGGAGAATCACCCTCAGATCCTGAGCAAATCGATGATATAATAGAAGAAGTGATCGATATTGCCAAACAATTAAATTTAGAGGTGGATGTTGATGACGTCCAAGAATTGCTGGATTCACACAATCAAGAGCTAACAATTGACGAGCTTATAGAAATGCGTGAGCATGATCAAGACATTGAACAAACTGATTCGTTAGACCCAGTTGAATCGGAAAATCAAATGACGATTTCAAACTTAACAGAAGGCCTCAGTACAATTGAAAAGGGGTTACAAATTTTAGAAAAAATAGATTCCAATGAAGAGCGCGTTTCTACTACAAAACGGGAAATAAAAAAGTTACTGGCATGCTACGAGGAAATTTTACGTGAGAAGAAGAAAAATTTAACTCGTCAGGGGGCATTGTTAGAATATATGAAGCCTTCGACATCAAAATAACTTTTATTTACGTTGTTTTATTGCCATTATTGTAAATTGTTTTAATTATCTAACATTTTATTAAACATGTTTCTTCTAAATTATTGCTTTCTTTAGACTCTGGTCTCGATTACACAGACTTTATACGTATTTATATGTAAGGTTGAACCTCGACGTACGCGAATTCGACTTACACGGCTATCTTTTGGTCTCACCAATCGCGTAAGTCTGGGTTACTATATACATAAGTTTAAATAGGATACGGCAGTTATTTATCAGAGAGTATTATTACATTTTCTATGGTACTTCGGGGCTTGCTATCAAGACTATTATATTAAAAGAAAATAATTTATTACTTGTATTTAAGTTTAATTAATTTAAAAATCACATACAAAATAATATTATTATATAATATTTATAAAATGAATGCATTATATATATATATATATATATGCATTATATATTAACGTTATTTAAATTGCTTACAAAAGCAGATAAAGTATTGTTATGGTAATAAATATAAATAAATGGTTTTGATTATTTCCCGCGCTATTTGTTCCAGGAACGTATAAATTTGTGCCGTTGTAAGCTGGAGTAGGAGACAAACTACCTCCTGTTACCGATTGAATTCCATCCCCTATAAAAATCAAAAACTTAATATTATTTACTTAATAAAAAGTTTCTCTTTGTTAGGATATATTCTGTAAAAAGTGTTTTCCTTTCCACAACAGCTTTTAATATTTTATTTATATAAAATAATTAATTTACTTTATATCCAACGAAAAATTTAGAATGATATTTCATATAGTTATATGTCTAAAATTAATAGTAGATGGGATTGATAGATAAATAAAAAAAAAACAATAAAAATTAGGCTCAATCTTTGCTTGCAAATGCTTCAAAGTTTGAGTTGTAGTTTATTGCTCTAACATTAAATAAACACTGCTCTTACCTATATTACAGAGATCATTAGTGCAAGCCCGATAGTAAGTCCGAAACGTTTCATCTTCTACTAGATGATTTAAGAAAACCGGGTTATCTACACAACCACGGGTAAAACTAGCTACGACGCCTGCTGGATCCTAAAGAAAATGAATAAATAACTAAGTAGTATTCAACTTAAAAACTACAATTAGTCTTCATTATTACGGCTGTTATAAACGGACAGACACACAGACCTACGAGTATATAGTTCAGGCCATTATTATGGCAAAATTATAAAGCATCCGTTTTTGTTATTTGGTTACTGAACCCTAATTAATATTTGTCATAAATGTAAGAAGAAAAAGTTATGTACATCATAAAAATTAGGTATGTGACTATCTGATAGACACATATTATAAAGGTACACTTTTGTAATCATTTAACATCAGCAGTGAACATTTAAGTTGAGTTCAGTCCTAGATGCCCAATACTCAATATTTGGCCTACGTACTGCTTTAGGTCACTGTTTAGTACTTTTCGTACAAAACCGCACCAACGCAAATGAGTAACAAACATACACACATATAAACTTTTGCATTTATAATAGTCCGATTATCACATTAAACATTAACGATTTCTTAAAATCAGTTCAACATTTCTTATTTTCTCCGTATTACTTATGTCGCATTCCCATAAGCCAGTCAGCAAAAACTTACACGAAATTCCTGACGCTGTATGGTGCAATACGTCATAGTGCATTCTACCCTTGGCGTGCTGTTGGTTATGGTGAGACAAGATCTGTCCGTGTCGACTGAGGAGAAACCACATGCGTAACATCGTAATCGTCCTAGAATCATTATTAAATATTTCATTATATCTAATTGTATTATTTCTGCGACATTTTTATGTTTGTATTAGTAGTTTAAGATTTATACTTTAACTTATAATAAGAACATAATATAGGTTTAAGCTAATATTTATGAAAAGTCATCGATTTCTAAATTTTTCCGAATAACATCGATATTAAAGAAAACAAAATAGAAAGATAATATTATGTAGGTAGGTACTCTATATCAAACTGAAACCTTAAACGAAGCACTTTCTTAGTCCTTGTAATTACTTACTTGTTACTTCTAGGACTTTAATTAGAAATGCTAGTATACCTATTAACCTAACGGAGTGAAAGTTTTGTCTTACCTATAGATTTTCCAACGACACAAGCGAATACAAGCAATATAAACTTTGTATACATTATTTTGTACACTGTACAGTAATGACTAAAACTAAATAAGTTTTCTTGATTATTTTATCTATTATATCTAATCTATTTAAATTATTGTTTGCGTTAACAATTCATAAAATCACAGTATAGATATTTTTCATTATCAATACATTCTTAGTATGTTATCATTTTTATGAAGATTATAAATTTATTTTATATAAGCACACTACTTTAATGAAACAGTATGCTTGGTAATTTGCTGATGTACTGGTACGATAGATTTATTGTGTACCGTCCTGCATTGATTGTTTTAGTATAAAACAAAAAAAAGAACGAATTAAGTGCCACTTAATAACTGTTATCTGTATATAACCCGCGAGAGGCTTTAAAAAAAGTTAAAGTTGTTAGGGCATTAACCCACAGCACCATCTAGTTCTGTGGTGAGCTACGAGGCTTGTGTTATGGATACCAGATAAGTAGTTGATACACTACACATATATGTTGCTACTTTAAATACATACTACATATTATAAATATATACCCATGACTAGAGTACAAACATTCGTGCACATCACACAAATGAATGCCCCCAGCGGGACTCGAATCCGCGACCGCTGGCACAATAAGTAGGGACACTACAAACTGAGCCAAACGTATCATCTAAATAGATTTGGCTATTTGTTCATACACGTTAATCACACGTAGACCAAATCTTGAAGTAGTGAAATATACAGAAAAAATATTGTTTAAATATATATCTTTTTAATTTTTCATAATTTTCAGAAACACTTGAATTCTTAAATTAGTAATAGATGGTATGGACTTAGCGTAACCAAGAATATAAAAAAAAAACTTTTTTTTTATGCGGCTCTTAAAGTGTGAGTAAAAATTGTACAGCATGTAAATCAAGTATTCAATTCGCATTTTGTTGAAAATATCTAAAGAATTTTGGATTTCGATGCCTAGTAATAAATACTATTGTAGACAAGTCACCTCATCAAATAAAAATTAACAACTAACTGCCTCCTTGTATCAGTTCCTGCAACTCGCAGTCTCCAGGGCAGTGGCCGGTGTTTATCTTAATAGCCATTTCACTGCCGTCCATCTGCAGTGAGTAATCGATTGCCAAGCAATTACCGACCGACGTCTTGCTAACGGAATAACTAAGGTGTTTTCATATTTAAGGATGTAAATTATTTTAAAGCCTTTTTTTGAAGAAGGCCTTTGCCTATGGTGCCCTCAACGTGTGTTCATGTTGTGGTGGGGTGGGGTTCATTAGAATCTGGGAATCCAGCTGGGCCTGAAGCGAAGAAACGGACTTAGGAAGTAGTGGGCCACCTCGGCAAAACTCATCAGGTATTACATGTGGATTGCTCCTGGTATTTCTCTGATAGCAGAGTGGACTGTCGGAGCAAGAGTCTGTGGTCTAGTCGGTAGGCCAGACGTCGGGGCGTCGTGGCTGAATCTATTATTCAGTATGTATTGATTAGCGATCCGCTCTTGCTTCGCTCAATGGATTCAGTTATTACGCTAACGATAACGTTCAGCATATATTGTGATTTATACTCATTTTTTCTTGAACTAATATATTCTAAACACATAACATACCTACTGCAAAAAGCGCAACTTTTTCTCTATTGAGCACCAATTTACTTGTGATGGTAAAAAAAAATTTTGAATTTTCAAGGACTATGTAATAGTTTCAAGTGGTAAAACAATTAACATTAAAACAACTATACATATTTCTGCTAAAATGTAAAACTTAGACAATTGGTACCTTATTTTTGTGTTTTATTGTCTACCTTTACCTACAGATTTGCCATTAGTAGTTTTCACTTATATACGTAACTAGCATTGCCCGCGGCTCCGCCTGCGTTCAGATGACCAAAAACTAAATTCTTAGGTTTTATATATTAGTATACGCTTACATTGCAGTTTTTGTATTTTTTCTCAGAAAAGAGATATTTTTCCGCGGTAAAAAGTATCCTATATGTTGACCCGGATAACCAGCTATCACCATACCAAATTTCATCAAAATCCCTTCAGTGGATTTTCTGTGATGCGGCAACAGACAGACATATGGACAAAAAATGTAAAAACTATAGGTTCGGCCTCTGTATCGATAATAATGTTTATTTCAATAAGATTTTCCAAAATATATTTAATGTACAGATTCGGCTTAGTTACAATTTTATTATATGCATTGATATACAGCCACTTGAGCAGCGCACGTTGATAACGCTGCGAGTACCACGCAGCGCTTTTTCTGTCGATTTGATTCGCTAATATCCTCAATATATCTAGCAATACTATTTAGTTGTTACACTAAAACCTTTATCGAAAAATGCAGAATATAATAGCAAAACCTACATTAAAATTAATTCAGTAGTTCACGAAATAGTGCGCATATATATACGTACAGTACAGATATACGCTCGACGACAACTTACTTTTATGCGTAAAGTTCCATAATATGAGGAATACTGTCTGTAAAATCTATATGTACCATAGGAAAATTCTATTATATTTAACTACATAATATTTATAAGGTTTGTATGAAACACCCCCATGATTACAGACTGCTTGGCTGCAGCGCTGAGACCACACTGCCTGGCTGTCTGCAATTATATCTCTCATAAACATAGCTTTTACTATAACTATCTGTTTGATAAAGTTGATTTAAAAGTGATACATTAGATATATTATTTACGCTTCATTTTATAGTATTAAAAATGCTATTGCTAATATCTATACATATAATAAAATTGTAACTAAGTCGAATCTGTACATTAAATATTTTATGGAAAATCTAATTCAAATAGACATTATTATCGATATAGAGTCCGAATCTATAGTTTTTAGAATTTTTGTCTGTCTGTTTGTCTGTTACCGCATCACGAGAAAACCATTGGACAGATTTTGATGAAATTTGATATGATGATAGCTGGTTGTCCGGGTCAACATATAGGATACTTTTTACCGCGGGAAAATATCTCATTTCTGAGAAAAAATACAAAAACTGAATAGTAAGATTATATTAATATATAAAAGCTAAGAATTTGGTTTTTGGTTATCTGAACGCGGGTGGAGCCGCGGGCAACGCTAGTCTAATATAAAAATATAAAAAAGTCAGGAACTATAAGGTTAATAAAAATACACATTGTTTTTACTCTCTATTTATTGTAGTCATACGCAATATTAAATATTTCGGTGTATTATTAAATTACAGAATAATTTTTCTTTTATTAAACCGTCGCCAGTGACATATTTCTAAAATAAGCAAAATAATTGATAATGTTACTCCATAGGCCAACATCAATAACGCAGGATAAAAATCTCTCATGTAAACAGAATCGAAATTACCACCGTGAGCAGTACATGCTGGCTTCTTTGCGAACAGTAACCGAGTCTCGCGAGAGTTTATACCGTGCTCTACATTTCTAAATAATCTGTAATTATTAAATTAGATTATCTTGAATTATTTCTTATACATAATATTTGGAAAATTTTATAAAGGTATTCATCAAAATTATGATTTTTTCTTTTATATAATAAATATCAAAGCGAAAATTAAATCTTGAGTTGCAAAATTTTATAACACTTATTTTTACTTTGAAAGTGTTGAAAAATTTTACCCAATTTTAAAGATTTCCTTAAAAGGAGATTTTTTGCCACATGCCTGCCACGGCTTGTTTTCGTCTATATATGCTATTTCTTGTAGTCCACATTTTTCATGCTCTAGAAAATATTTTTCTACCAATCTGTATCCACTACCCAGAAACATATTGAAAGCAAAAGGTTTCTGAAAAATAATATCAAGTATACTCGTAGTTATTTAAAAAATGGCGGTAGATATAAAATGAAAACCTACATTTTAAGAAATTTAACTAGTTACAATTAGTATCGATCTTTATAATGTTAATAAAAGCAAAATATCTCTTTATATATAGAAATATTCTTACCTTTTGTAGTTTAAGAACTCCTTCTTGTAAACTTATGAAATTCGCTTTTGATCCTCTCGGAGCTATTTTCTTGTCATAAATAGCTTTCTTAAGTGGCTCAGTTGCTGCCTGAAAATTAGATAAAAGTATATAAAATTCAAAAATAAAAGAAACAATATTAGCTATTCACAATTTTAGTGGTTTACCGAGAAGAAATATCGATTATAAGGTGTATCTTCAACGCCTAGTTCTAGTTTAGAGTTGAACAAATCTGTCAAGGTTCGAATTTGATTGGACGTGGATTGTAATAAAGCAACGATATTTGCTGAATACGACGTATAGAGGAATAAAAACACAAAAAACATAATAAACATCAGCACCCGTCCGAGAGTTCCTGTACAAAAAAAAAACTATTTTTAACGAATATAAACTACTTAGTAGATACTTACAATAACATATAAATGTAATGTCAATAAGTGAGTAAGAAATAGCACACATTGTTTTACTTATGCTAACTTTCGCTATAATTGTATGATTAGTTTTAAGTTTATATTATTATTATAATCTGAATTTATTAAACAATAATTATCATGAAAAAATTGAAATATGTTTAAATCGCGAATCATGACATAAATTTTTCAGAGAAAAAAATGATTTTAATTTACATTCAGTTAAATGTATTTGGAGATGGTGAAAAATAATAAAAGAAACATGTGTGTGTGTACTTATGTACGCACGTAAGAAAGTTATACTTCTTTGGCGTAACAGAACAAAAATAGCTAAAAATTTCATCCCGTATGTCACAACTTTCTGTTTGTAAAAAGAATAATAAACTTTAATAAAAATAAATGACAATCATCAGCTAACTTTATCATGTCGCTTTTTGGCTGTCGGTGTGCGCGCGCATCGTAAAAATATTACTCACATAATTTTTTCCAAACGTGCCAAAAGAAGTATAACTTCAAAAAATACAATTTATTTTCATTTTTAAAATGTGCGTCTTATGCTTTGTTGTTGTCGTTATTTTTAAAAATATCTCTTCAAGTAATTTTATTACTCCACATTTCTGTAGGAACGTAATTCACAATCAATCGTAAAATTTAAATAAACACTGATGATGAGGTGATATGTAATCAAATATCTCGAATAGTTTATATCTACCTATTGGAGAATACACACCTTTAAATTCAGTACAACTTCCTTGTTGTGTAACTGCACCAATGATCATCATAGCAATCTCACTTATATCAGGTCGTAAAACCATTCTATCTAACTGTTAATTTGTTGTTACATTAGTAAATTCGTTAAAATTAATTTTATACAAAATGTTGAAAATTCATTTTAATAAAACTAAATTTTTATAGTTATCTAGCATTGACCGCGGCTCCGCCCGCGTTCAGATGACCAAAAACAAAATTCTTAGGTTTGACATATTAGTTTACTCTTACAATGCAGTTTTTGTATTTTTTCTCAGAAATGGGATACCGCGGTAAAAAGTATCCTATATGTTGACCCGGATAACCAGCTATCATCATACCAAGTTTTATCAAAATCTGTCCAGTGGTTTTTCTGTGATGCGGCAACAGACAGACAGACAGTCAAAAATTCTAAAAACTATAGATTCGGACTCTGTATCGATAATAATGTCTATTTAAATTAGATTTTCCAAAAAATATTTAATGTACAGATTCGACTTAGTTACAATTTTATTATATGTATAGACAATAGGTACATCTTGTTATACAAAAATAAAGCATACATTATTATATTTTCTATTGTGTCTACTTATATTTTAGTTACTTCAAGCAAATTAATTCTGTCTGTCTGTCAAGTAATTATCTTCTTGTGCATGCCTAAATAGAAATAAATATTAAAATATGTATTAATATTTAAAAAAAAAATAAAGTCATAGAGCAGCTACTTACATTGTTATCGTCTTGTGCCATTTTAATACTTTCCCATTTAGCGTTGATTAACGCAATGATAAATATAAAAATTATAAGTCCAAATATACAATACCAAACTTTTGGTTTGAAAGGTAAAATGAACAAATTATTCTGATATGAGAGAGATGGTTGCCGGAACACAAATTTTATCGTAGGTATTGAAGGTACAGATAAAAATTGTACTATATCCAACCTCTCAACGGTCATAAAAAGCACCACGCCTTTTTAATAAAAGAAAAAAAATAAAAATTATAGTTCGTCTTTAAGCTCAAAACAATATAAGAATAGACTATATAAATAGGCACTATAACCTTGATATTAAGATACTATTCCATTAGCTGCTGTTTAGTTTAATGCCCTCTAAACCCTCAAAATATGTACGCAGAGGAATAAGTCTGTATTGAACTACGAAATGGAAGACTTAAATTTGATAACACAATAATAAATAAATATGTTAAGATATTAACACACAGAACTATCCAGTTCCATGGTAAGGTTCGAGGCTTGAGTTATGAATACCAGATAGTTGATACACTATACATATATAACTTTAAATACATACATATTTTAAATATAAACATCCATGACTGGAGTACAAATATACGTGCTCATCATACGGATGAATGCCCCCAGCGGGACTCGAACCCGCGACCTCTGGCATGGCAAGTAGGGTCACTACAAACTAAGCCAAACGTGTCGTTATTTAATAGTTGATAACGATACGAATCAGACTTTTGCAAGGAGTGTTGTGTACCAACTAGCCCATAATAATTTGCCTTTCGTATAAATTACACAGGAAAGAAATTACCTAAAATTCTACATGTCGATCAAAAGTATAAGACAAATTTATTATTTGTAAATTATTTTTTTGGCTGACTTTTTCTGAAACACTTTAATAAAACTGTAAAAGCTTAGTTAGCAATTACCTACCTACTAACTCAGCGTCTCCGCGAGCGATATGGCCAAGCATACCAATATAAGAACCATTCACTAAATGTCCCCAATTATTGGCGAAGAGCAACACAGGTGTCGCGTTCATGAACTGATATAAAGGTAGAAGTTGTCTATAGCCTGCTTTCGTTACCAAATCGATATGTAGATCTCTGTATAAATTGAGAAGGCTAAATTGTTAACAAGATATGTTTTTTAACAAAGTCAAATTCGAAACTATTAAAGTCCATTTAAAAACTTACCTATACAAGTACTAAATACATACTTTTTAATTTAATTCTATTGTTTATGACTGATTTACTTATATAAGATAGATTTTTTCATACTAAGTAGCAGTTTAGTATGTAGCTAAATATTAACGTGAATAAAATATGTATCTAAAATGTATAACTTGATACTAATCATATTAAGAAATTAATTTGATTAAATTTAGATTATGTTAGATATAATATCAAAAATTACTTGAGACTAAATAAGGATTTTTTCGTGCTATTATCGGTGATTGCCAACGACGCGGCAATGGGGAAGAGGTCCATATTTTTCCTTCGCATGGACAATCCAGTATACATCTCCTTGGTGTTATTTAAACGATGTTTAAGACTCCAAGTACCGAAGCTTTCTAATTTCCAATCGCTGCAGTTTGATTTCAGTTTATAAGCTGTAATTAGGTATTGCAATTATATTTCTTACTTCCTATAACATAATTAAAAATAAAACAATAGGTATCTAGATAGATAGATAGATGCTTTATTGTACACCACAAAGAAACATACAAAAAGTATATATAAACAATAGATGATGCACAGCAGGCGGCCTTATCGCTATAAGCGATCTCTTCCAGGCAACCTTAGGGCGTAGGAGAAATTATATGAAATGGTAGGCGGTGTACTTACTACACACAATTGCATATCCTAAATACAGACATACATACATACATATACATACATACATAAATGCATAAATACAATGCATACATACATAAATGTAGATCAGATGAAAAAGTATAAAAAGTTCAATCTATGACACTATAGAGACAAATAATATGATTTATATTTGATATTATTTAAAAGAAATGATGAAAAAATCAAATTAAAGAATAGAAGGAAGTAAAAATAGTGGTCAAAAATTACAAAAGCATTCATAAAAGGATTTTATTATGCACTATATTTAGTACGTATTGTATTTATATTGTACTTACGTAAATACAATGAAAACGTGTCGCCATTCCTTTCAGACACAATTACTTCCGAGTCAATTAAAATATGGAAATATTTCAAATCGTTTAGCATTTCTTTGTTATTCTCGGTTGATCTTGCAATCAAAAGCCAACGGTAAGGACTACGAAATTTGTTTGTACTGTTTACCTGTCCGATATTGATAAAGTTTTAACAAAAACCGCACACTCAGCTCAAAATTATTTAACAGGAAATGTATACTTCTTCTACGATTTTTTTATGTAATTTATAGGACAAACCTTGAGGCATGATACCAATAGACTAGGCCTAGCCTATTCGTCAAAAAAAGAATAACGAAAATTTATTCACACTTGGCGATAATCACGTAACAAACCCACAAAAAAATTTGACAAATTGAGTAGGTCTCTTTTTTAAGTCGACTCATATAATTGAAAATACCGTGATGTATTTCCCTCTTGGAGTTTTTATATTCCACCTTCAGACACTGTGATAAATCCTTTAATTATACAGCAGAAAAGTTGGCGAAAATTTCCGTACTAGGTTTTAATATTATAAAAGAAAAAGTTAAAAAAAATCTTACTTTAGCCAGAAATTGTTTATTGTCAGAACAATTAGTGTCACAAATAATCATCAAATCTTGTCTTGAAAAAGCACTGGGTATATCCTCAACATCTCGTATGAACTGCACCGGTTTTGGTGGTGCCATATTATTTAATTCATTGATAAGCTTTTTTTTAAATGCTAGCAAAAAAAGTATTTAATCGCATGTCATTATCCAATTTTATACAAGAGTGATTTCAATGAATTCGTTCAAAATTATTTTATAGCAAAAAAATGCTAAAGCCAATTTAGTGCTGGATTTGATAGCTTCATTACTTGAATTTTCTTACTTGAATGCTTAAACCTAATTTTAAATAACGCAAATATAACAAAGAGATTTTTAAAATATCTTACGTGCTCCCCAACAAGCGCGGACTAAAATTCCAGATGGTTTGTTATAGAAAGCTATAACATCTGCTATCATATTTATTTCATTTTCCAATGCTAGAACTTTACTACTAAGAAATATCAGTATCAGTATATAGCACATCATTTTGTCGTCTTAGAAACTGTTATGGTAAAAGAGGTTGGTGGTTGATGCTTAAATAATCTTTCTTACCTATCTATTCTAGTTACATTTCCGTCCTTTTTAATTATACATTGGTTAATTGTAGCCTTTTGATAAGTACTGGTTGTAATGCATTCGTTTGCTAATTACATAGGCGGTACGTTTTGTTTTAACGTAATTACCTACTGGTAATTGTCTTACGTTAGTAAATATGTATAAGTAATTTTGCTTTACAAAATTAATTTTATTATGAAACATTTTTGTTTTCATAAGGGCGTTAATATTATATACAGTTATATATATATATATATATATATATATATATATGACATGCACTAGGCATGTCGTAGAGTCCTAGTGGACTTGTTTTTTAATTCTTGGGAAATGCATCCTGTAGACATACAGGTGGTTATGTGGGACTCGCCGGCTAGAAAAGCCAGTACTACCCATTAAACCCCGACAAAACCTCCCCCGTCTTAAAATGGCGTCGCAGGATCGCCTACACACTCAACCAAAACGCCCGGATGCGACGACAGGTCTGCCGAGGTCTGCCGAGGTCTGCAGAGGGTTCTAGTGGAAATAGGTGATCTCAACTAAGATCACAATTGCGGCGACTAACTAGCTAATTAATTAATTTGACTGTTTATTATTATTAATTACCTATTTGGTTTGGTAGAAACAGACGTATATATGTATATGTTCCTATATATGTAATACAAAACACTTATAATTACATTTCAATTCTGCTATAAAAAGCAACTGTAAATGATTAGTCAGCGTGTAATGGGGTAATAAAAATCAGGAGTTTGCTTAATTATTCATTTATTTTTCCTACTTATTGACCATTATCAACCATTAAATATACCTAAAACATTTTAAATAATTCTAGTGCGCATTACTACGAGTACTACCACGGTAATTGTAACATTACTGTGCTACGACTAACTTTGTACAGATTCAAAAAATCCAATTGGATATAGTTGGAGGGAAAATGTATATGTATAGTCTATCTACTATACTTATAATACACTAGCGACTCACCCTCGCTTCGCTCGGATCCGTGCCTAGGTGGATTCCCCATACATACTTTCATCACCATTATCACGCCCTTAAGGGATGATTTCTGGAATAAAAAGTACCCTATGTCCTTCCCAGGGTCTCAAACTATCTTCTTACTAAATTTCATCTAAATCGGTTCAGTAGATCCAGAGTATACCCCTTACAACGTCACAAACTCACAATTCAGAACCTCACAAACTCAACCTCTTTAAAATATTTGTATAGATATACTCGTAGTCTATCTATTCCATACTAACCGTCGGAACTTACTTAGGGACGAAGACGAGTGAAGTGAGGGGAAGTCACTAGTATAAAATAATTATTTCCTAATAGCATTAATTATTTGTTGTCGTCGATAGTATAACACTTCCACCACGCTGACTGTAGCCGCAACGAGAGCTCCGTATGACAGTATCAATAAAGCTGGATAACAGTCTACCATACTGACGGATACGAAATTAGCCTGTCTTCCAGAACATTTGGGTCGCTTTTCGTAAAGCAAATGATTCTCCCTTTGTTGCAAACCATGTTCTTGAAGACGTTTTGTCCTTGAAATACGTAATTAAAATTTGCAGTTTTATAAGGGTGCATTTATATATTTTTTTTTATTTATTAGAACAAATATATATAAATATTTGCTATTGGCCTATTAAATTTTATTAAAAAAACTATAAAACATGGCTTACTCATTTATAAGGTTATACTATAGTAGAAAAATATACTACAGATTTCCACCTATTCGTGGCATTTAGCATATAAGTACAAATATGATGGACCGACATTAAGCAAGGAATGTTAAACGTTATACAAATTAACCCTATCTTACCTTAATTCTTTAAGATACTAAGATAATAACAAAATACCGATTAATTATTTTTAAATTATTTTCAAAAATAAAAAACCCGACTGCGTAAAAAGCAAACTAAAAAGATGAGAACAAGTTGATGAAGAAACATGATGATGTTCTCCTAGCCGATTCCGGCTACGCGGCCAATCTCATTGAGACTAGCCAACTGCGCAGGAGATATTATAGTGCACAAGTGTGCGCGCAGACACAAGTGCACTCTCTATTCCTGTCACTCTCATACTCTGGTGGGACGACTACTCGACAAGACCGGTGAGAGTTGAGGCGCAGGACCGACGGCTTTAAGTGCTCTCCGAGGCACGGGGGTAAAATACCGCCAACTTCCCAACTCCGGGCTGTTACTGAGACTTACTATATAGAAAGACTCAATAACTAAACTTGGCCCGACCCGGGACTCCAACCCAGGACCTCCGAGTGTGCAGCCGTACATGCTAGCCACTACACCACCGAGGCAGTTAAGAAGAAACATAGTATTATGCAGTCGAAGACATACAATACAAGTAGCAAGATCCGCAGCTAGTATAAAACGTATAGTAGGTACATACGTTTAGATAGATTTCTCAGACATGAGATATTTTCCCGCAGTAAAAAGTATCATATATGTATGTTGAGTCGGATAACCAGCTATCATCATACCAAATTTTATCAAAATCTGTCCAGAGGGTTTCTCGTGATGCGTTCCTAGACAGACAGACAAAAACTCTAAAAACTATAGATTCAGCCTCTGTTTCGATAATAATGTCTATTTCAATAAGATTTTTAATGTACAGATTCGATTCAGAATTTTATTATATGTAAGTATAGACAAATGCACGTTAATATTATACCTATTTAAAATATCTTACCCTATTTTGAACATTTCCAAAAACTGAGTATTTTTCTGGACAGCCAACCAAGGGTCAATGACACGCAGGTATTGTATTTCTTTTAGGCCACATTTTTCTCCTTCTTCGAAATATTTTCCAACAAACTTATAGCCAACGCCAGTTTCCATATGGAAAGCGAACAATCCCTTTAAAAAGATGAGTATCATACGTAAAATACAATTTACAAGAAAATACAATTTTTACTATATCTTCTTTTTGCTGTAACACGCATTTAATACCTATACTTATTTAAAATCAATTTGTCACGTCTTTCCGTAATTTTCAGGTCATCGTGAGGGGCTGATTAAAATTAGTAACTTACCAAGTATTTCTTGAAAGTCGAATTAGATATGGCTAAGGCTTAATGTAAGAAGGTCAACTGCGAGAAACCACAAATTCTTCGGTCACATTTATATTCAACAAACGCAGATATTTTACATTAAAGGAAACATGTGCATTCCGAGGAAGTACTTGCATTTAAAGATTTATATACTAAGTCGAATAAGTCGAGTGTTTTTCGGAAGTATCTAAATTTTGTCTTATGTGTTTACTTGTTTGCTAAGCGGATATAGGTAAAATGTAAATATCAATCACGAGTTTAATATCAGTTCTAAATAAAATTTACGATCGAATTGTTTTTTCGGTTTTTTCATAGATTTATTGTGATTTTGATTTTCGACGTTTCGAATGCTTTAACAAATATTGTTTGGTACTTTTTGTATTTTTAAGATCTGTAGGCGCTGTCTGTATCTTTGAGACGTTTAAAACCTTAGTTTTTCCCGTGATCATGATTCATGTAAAGCATTCGAAATGTCCGGAAACAAAAATCAAAATAAATACGCGAAAAACCTCGAAACCGTCAAATATTCGCGTAAATCTAAGAAAGTAACATTTACGACCAAAAGTTTATTATGAACGTAAATATTTTATTAAAACGTTGATCTTTTGAACCTTTTTCATTTCTTTAACTCCATTTTCCATAGTCATGAAACTTGGTATACTTCCGGGAGGAGCTACTTTAGTTTCATATATTGCTCGACGCACAGCCTCTGTTTCAGTCTGAAATAAGTTACTTGGATAAATTGAGCAGGATTATAAATATGTGTTCATCATAAGCATTGATCTAACTACTTATAAGAAGTAGGTAATATTAAGATTACTTTATACGTATATGATTTTATCATATGTACTTCTTAATATCGTTAGCGTCCGGCAGTTCAGCTGGGCGCGAAGTCAGAAACACACTGGGTGGTGTGGGCAGTGTACTATGCAAGTTGTTCCTGGTACTTCTTTAGATCAGGACTTTAGACCTTCAGGTTTTCGTGAAATTTAATAAAATATAACGGGTTTAAAAATTACCGAGAAATAGTATCTGTTGAACACCGTATCATGGACGCCGAACTTCATCCTTGAGTTCAGTAAATCATCCAACGTCCTGATTTGAGACGAACTCGATTGCAATAGAGCAACAATGTTAGCGGAGTACGAGGTATATAAAAATGTTAGAGAGACGAACAGCAGTAATAATACCATTCGACCTAGGGAACCTATGAGAGATAAATTAATATTAAAATCGATTTATTTCTATTTATGTTTTTCATATATTACAATTTAGAAAGGGAAGATTTTTTTGACATTTACCTCGCTAAGAGTTACATAGTGATAATACGAGTACATTAACATTATCGTATCTATATACGTTATTTGACGCTTTAAAATGTAACTGAAGAGTTAGACAATTGTAAATATTTTACACTATAAATTGTTAAAAAATCCATGCATTTACCGAATTATACCTTTAAGTTCAACAACGCTTCCTTGTTGACATGTACATCCGAACACGAATAGCGCTATATCCACTAAATTTGGTCGCAAAACTCCTGCGTTTTCCAGGAGCTGAACGAATATAAAAAAAAATGCCAGACTGCGTATAAAGCTAACTAAAAAGTAGGTAACAAGTTATTGAAAGAAAATAGCACTATGCTGTCATATTATATGTACTATTCTTGCTGCGAGACTATAGCTACAAGTATGTCTTTCACTACATAATACTATCTCCGTAGTAAGTAAACTACTAAATTCAAAAATCCTTTGGGCTTCGTCACAGTTGGATAAAATGAATAGATTTGTTATTTAATATAAATTTTATAAAAAATGTATAAAATGACTGTTGATAATCTATTAATTATGGCTTTTATATTTTACACTTACTTTTTTAGACAGTACATTTTTGTTCCACTCCCATACGGTTACAGCGCAAATGACCAAATACAGTAAACATAATAAAGCTATAGTACCGATCCATAAAGGATAATTGAAAGATAACGTAAATAAATTATTCTCATATGAAAGTTTTGGTTGTTGAAACACAAACTTGGAGCGAGTTGGTGTAGGGCTGGATATGTATTCTACTACTGATAGTCTTTCAGATGTGAAGAACATTGGAGACCCTAAAAAGTTAATATATTTTATTAGCAGTCTCCTACTTAAAACGGACTGCAATTATTGCTTTAAATACGAAAGTTTATACAAACATATACATATATAAATATGTGAACGTTGGTTATTTCTTCAAGCTGAAATGGCTAGACAAATTTTGATGAAATTTAGTACACATGTACGCTATGACCAGGACTAAGACATAGACTACTTACTGTTAGTGTCGCAACCAAACGAAGTGGGTTTAAGTCGCTAGTGTTAAATAACAACATAGTTGTAACAAGTGATAATTTATGTACCTAAGCAGGAAAATTTACTACATAGTATAAATCTAACAGGTGTTAAATAAAAATTCTAATAATTATCGTTAAATTGATTCAATTCCTAAGAAATATTTCTATTATTACCTCCAATGTCCACTTCTTGCCTCGCCAAATACCCTGTCATGCCATTCCACGTCTTATTATGACGATAGCCCCAAGTCTCCGTAAATACGTACCTTCTGCTTGCGTTTAGGAAGTCCAACAGCTGATTTGAGGTTGGAAAATTTACCTTCGTTATTGTGTCTATGTGATCATTGCTATAATAGATATAGAATTGTGGAAATTCTTAAAACGAAACATTTATTTTAAATAAAACTATCTTTTCGGATCTTTTCGCGAATTTATTTTGATTTTAAATTCCCGACGTTTCGAATGCTTTACAGCAATCATGTTCAAGGGAGAGACTGAGGTGTTAGATGTGTCTGAGGTATTATATAGTTGTTACAGACAGCCTACGCACAAATAATAAAATTAATTCAAAAAATAGAAAAATGGCACCAAAGTACCTTACAATATTTTTTTAAATCAAAATAAATTCATGAAAAATCCGAAAAGATAGTTTTATTTAAAATGTCGAGTATTCGCGTAAGTCTAAGAAAGTATTACAAAACATGTAATTAAGTTTATGATTACTGATTAATATTGTACGTTATTCTAATGATTTCTTTGTTCCAATCAACTTATACTATTAAAGTAATAGAATTTATTTTTGCAAGATATTTAAAAGACGTGTATCAATTAGTATATTTTCAATGACGCTTTAAAAGGAAATTTATCCTTAATAAAGATTACAATTTTAAGAATTTTTACACTTCATCAGCCAAGTGGTTAATACTATCATTATCTGTTAGAACGTAGCAAATTTTAAGTTCGTAATTATCCAAATTGAGTCTTCGGAGAGCAGTGACTTCTATCTGATTAGGAGATTTTTTGAGAACATTAGTGATATTCCATATTCCATACAATTCCGTCAGCCACTTGCTTTCAGAGCTTATTTTATAAACTGAAATACAGATATATAGTATATAAATAAAACGAAATTGCACCGGATATAAATTGTAAAACTAAAGAGACTATCATACTCACTATAATATAGCTTGTAAAAACCGCTACTTTCCTGGTGAATTATCAAAACTTCTGAGTCAACAAAAATGTTGATATCTGACATATTTTGCATTAAAGTTGTTTCGATATCATTAATATCATTATTTATTAGTATCCATCGATACGGTGATCGAAACATTTTTGAATTATCATACTGAAAATATTGCACGTAAAATTTTAAGTTATATGCCGTCCGGCCAACCCGCACTTAGCCAGTGTGGTGGACTATGGCCTGATGCCCATCGTATTGAAGGGATACCCGTGTGCCCAGCAGTGGGACGTTAAAAAAAGGGTTGAATTATAGATAAGTGCTTTGTAGATACGCTATAACTGCTGCTGGACCGTTCTCGATAGAATGTTGCATATATGAATGTAGATAAATTGTATTGAAGAAGCAACTATACGTATATATGGTATCGGTTCCGAATGAAATTTTGTATGGATAGATTTAAAAAAATATATAATTAATATGACCTAGTTTTTCTCTGGTCCACTGATAAACATACAAATAGACGGCAAAGTTAAAGACATACTTAAACATTTACAGTTTCTAATATTTATTATTGGAAGTTGAATACCATTATCAAGGAATTTACAACGTCAGGACAATTCAGATCGGCTAGAAAAACGACATGTTGCTTTTGTTCGATGTTTGTGGGTATGTAACCTGCTTGTATGAACTCGATTACATTGTGCTTATCACCATATTTGCCGGCTAAGGCTGAATATAATTGAACTTTGTCATCTATAAATAATAAAATATCAACTATTTAATATGACGTACAAATATTGTTTTAAGAAAATACGAGTATTATGTCTTTTCTTACATGGTGTCAAGCATGTTATGGCTATCATTGATGACGGTTTATCCAATGTTTCTATAATGTTTGCAAGTAAATTGGCTTCAAATATCCTTTCTGAAAAGGCATATCGCAAAAACCAGACAAAGAGAACAAAATTAACTTTCTCCATAATGAGAAAACTTGTTGGTGGCACAGGTAGAAATGAAATGAGAAATAAGTCGTTTCACGTTTATACACCTACCACTTTTATTCATGAACATAAGTTTGCACAATAAATTTTGCTTCACTATAGTCTTATAATATTTATTATTCAGTCTAATTTATAATTCAAATATGCATGATACCTCGGAACACGCGTCGATTTTTTGTATGTTTAGGTTATATTGATTTTGAGCCGGCTTAAGGTAGTGTTAGCAAAAAAAGATATTAATAATTTGAAATTTATTTATTTAATAGGAATTGCAAACGAATATTTTAAGTAGTGCCAACTTATACATATTAGTATTTGTACGAAAAGCTAATAAAAACTTTTTTTTATAAAAGTTTTAGAGATAGCATTGCCATATAAATTACCTAATCGTGTTTGCCGCTAAGCCGTTTAAATAGTGGTATCTATCAACACTTAGTTTACAAATATAGGTACTTTGTACTTTTCCGTGAAGTTAATGTAAACATCTCATTGCCAACAATGCCTACCAATAATTATGTCCTTACGTTTATCAGTCAGTACATCATTCAATTAATAAATTATATAAACTCGTTAAGATAGTCCAGTTTGGCTTGAGACACTGTTAGGTTCATACTATTATTTAATTTATTCGCGATTTTTTATTTTATCTCTTTTATTTTAGATAATTTTGAAAAGCTTAAAATAATACTTTCTTAGATTTACGCGAATACTTGACATTTTAAATAAAACTATCTTTTCGGATTTTTTCGCGAATTTATTTTGATTTTTGGTTTCCGACGTTTCGAATGCTTTACAGCATCCATGGTCACGGGAGAGTCTCTCTAAATCTCTCTCTCTCTCTCTATCTATCTCTAATTCCGAAAAGATAGTTTTATTTAAAAACTTAGAATAATTGTGAGTGACCTGTGATAAATAGTTCAATGAACACACGAATGTTGAAGAGCAATGACTCAAATACAAGCTTTACTATATATGAACGACTCTTTGAAGGAGTATATTGAACATAAGGCAGAATTACGAAGGTCAGAACGGACCCCATTGCTAAGTGAAGAAACAGAACCGGATATTTGTAAGTAATATCAATATTTGATAGTTGTAACCTATACTTTTGTTGTAGTACAATGTGGTAATAATATAGAACAATAGACTGGAGATTTTTTTAATTACATACATCCTCTTTTTATTTTTGTTCTTTTTTTAAACAATTTCAAAGAGGAGGCTACGTTCGGCCAGTATGTAACTTAAAATTTTGGCAACAAATTATAACACGACTTCCTTAAATCAAAAATCACAAGAATGGAAAAAATGTTAGTTACCTCTTTATCATTTCTAACCAGTTTTATCTCGATATGTAGATATGTCTTTTATACGCGAATAACAGGTTTTCTTTTCAAAAATTATATCAATGATATATATTTATATCCCATTTTTGTGTTACACACCTTCTCATTAGATGTTATGTTATTATGAAATAACAATAGGTATAAACAATAATAGGTACGTTTTAGTTATTTTGAGCGGAAACCTAATTCTTTTTCTAAAATAAAAGTAGCCTAAAATAACATCAGCTATCTTCCAGTGAAAGTCCCGTCAAAATCAGTGCAGCCGTTTCAAAGATTATCCAGAACAAACAGACAGACAGATAAAAAAATTAAAAATTGTCTTTTTCTTATAAGTATCTACCGTTATGCATTTAGTAAAACGCTGTTATTTTGACATTACAAACAGACACTTTAATTTTATTTATCTGTATAGATTATTGTAAAATAACTAGCAGGTCATCGACATTTACCATCATCGAATCATTCAAATTTATATTTGTCTACGGGTAATCTGTCAAATAAAAAAGCAAGAAATTAAAAATAAACAATAATAATATTATATAGGATAAATGTCACAAAATTTGGTATGCCACAATAGGAATTCGGATTCAAAGGTTTAAACCATATGGTTCCGCAGTTTGAACTGGGCATTCGTGGATTTTAATTGAATTAGTCAGGCTTTATATAATTATTATTCTAACCTTGCAAATGGAGTTTTTTTTTTATTTATATATTGTAAGTTATAACGTATTCGTTAAAAAATAATTATGAAAAAATAATTTAACAAAGTTTTATTTTAATAGTCATGAATTGCAAAGATAGGTTAGAGTTCGTTCCACACCGTCGCTATACTAAAACAAGGGTATAGGCTTTGCTCGAGTTCGTCCCTAGGTATGTTTTAACGGTTATAATGGAAAAGATAGACTTAGACTGTATATATATATATATACATATATATAGGTATATATAAAATTATTATAATAAAAAAAAATATTATTATTATGAGTTGTATTATAACGTGTTATTTTTGTGGGAATGAGATATTCTCCCGCGGTAAAAAGCAGTCTGTATCACTCTCCAGCCCTGTAACTATCTCAATCATGCCATTCCCTCACTCTTTTACGATGTGAAAGAAGGACAAACAAACAAACAAAATAATTAGTATGACTTCCCAGTTCAAAGAAAACTATATAATATAAAAAAAATCTATACAAAAGGTAGGGTACAGAAGGTAATATATGAAAGGCAAGGTATGTAAGCTATTTTTTTATTTAAGCATCAATTATTCTTCTTTATTAAGTCCATAAGTGCGATTCAAAACACCTAAGAGGTTCGTCCTACTTTGACTTCCAATACAAACATTTACTTACTATGTTTTTCTAAGTACTCATGCCATTTATGCACGTATTTCTTCATTTTTACAATCATCATGGCTGTTATTCTGTATACCTCTTCTTTGCGAATTGTATCAGCCATTGAAACTATACAAATTTTTGGGATATCGCATTTAAGGATTATCGTCAATGGAAAAACATGGATTTCATGATTTTCCTTTGAATGAATGGACCAGATGAGATCATGATAAAAAAATTGAGGGAAATAATGTGTGTGATTTTGAAGTCGACACAAGCACTGTAATGTGTATGATACTTGATATTACGTAAATAGACAGCATTACCTAGTATCAAGTTTCAACAAAATAAAATTTCAATTCAATAATTTATATATAATATAATATTTTTTATCAAAATAACATACATTTTTTTGTTATATGTACTAAAATACTATAAGTAATAAAAACATAATGAATATTAAATATTGGCGGTCACATTTTTTAGAGCAAACAGTTGAAGGAGTTAGCAAAAAAATATTTTTCTAATCATATTATAGCGAAACTCAAAAAACTTATGTAAATAATTTCTAAGAGTAGATAAGTAATTATACTTAACACAAGTCTTTACGTCTAATGTGAAATTAGTATAACGCTACATTCAAGTTGCCTTAGCAGGCTTACTGGGCTAGTAACTTGTAGCAGCAGTAGCCACACAGTCTGCCGCGCCTACTGCCATTAAAGAACCACTAGCAAGACTTGTACCCGTAATTTCCTATCTTTTTACGTCAAATAACATGTGCAGAAAATTATTGCCGCGTTTGATTGGAAATGGGTAGAAGTTAATGTTAGTTATCTGTGACATTTAATAATTATTTGCCTTGTACGCCAGAGCTACGTTAGTAGTTTTCCATCAATGCTGGGATATCCATGTTTGTCCCAATTTTAAAGGTCATATATTTATAGATATAGCACTAAATTTTTGATAAATTACCAATAAAGTTGTACTCTACCCCTCGCAAACGTATAACGAGAGTCAAAAAATCGATATATAGTCCTGGGCATGGTACGAGTAGGTATTTGGCCCGCGAGGTACGGGCCGTCCGCAGGGGTGTTGTAGTGTGTGCGCAAGCGATCCTGCAACGCCCCATTGCACTGCGGCGACGGGTTCCGCTGTGGGTTTTAGTGAGTAGGAGTCTCACAGTACCTTGCCCGTTATGACGGCCGGCAGGGACCCCATGCTGGGTTTCCCCAGCGAAAAAAAAAAGGTACGAGTAGGTATATTTGTGTGTCAAGTTGCATCCAAACTGCAAATGTCTAAATATCCATTAATTTTCACAGGCTTTAACATTTACAATAGGATAAGAGAATATTAATTCGGTAATGGAAGGTCAACTTAGTAACAGGCTTATTAAAGATTCATATTTTCTCTGTTGGCTCACTCATGCTGGCTGCAATTAATCGTAAAATTTGACGTTATCATTACAAGTGTTG